AATGGAATTTGGGTGGGGTTCCGCGGAGGTGTTGATGGCGGAGACGACTTTCTGGGCAATGGTTGTCTTCCCGGAGCCCGGTGGCCCTGCGAGAGCGATGATGAGGCGGGGGTGCGCATTAGAGGTGTCGAATGATGTGCGCTTCTTCTCAGCCCATCTAGAGATGATACGCTGAACAAGGGTATAGTATGTAGACTCCATGCTTGTGCAGAACACGATGTGCAGTCTGTAGACGCTGCTAAGTCGGGGGAATGTTGACTTCCCGGACACAACGAGCCTAGAAAATAATGACCTCTATCAGTAGAGTCCAGAACTTGGACTAAACTTTCAGCAAAAAAAAGTCTCTGAAGTAGGCAGAGTACTTCTGATAATCTGGACTCTACCTGTTCAGCGCTCAATGCTCATCGGACTACTGTCGCCCGAATTCGATTCACTGTCCGGCCCCGCACGGCGGTCCCACCCCGTCCTCGACGTCACGGCCATGGCCCATGCTTCACCTTCGCACACATTAAGGTGGTCGCCAGACTGAACACTAAAAGATGGTTGAAGAATTCTAGATCATTGAAGGTTATATCGGTCTCACGTATCTAATCCTTGCAAGTAATCAACCCGAAATGTCCGAAATTGTATGTACCTCTTAACTGACCTCGCCCCCTTCATCTCGCTGATACCCTGCACAGAACCCTGCTTTCGTGCTTCATTCTGTCAAGAACGTCTCATTCGAGAACCGCAATGTTCCAGCACTTCGCGATGAACGCGACGTCCGAGTTCACATCGAGCAGACAGGTATCTGCGGAAGCGATGTCCACTACTGGCAACGAGGCCGCATTGGTGACTTCATCCTAGAATCGCCCATCGTTCTAGGCCATGAAAGCTCGGGAACCATTGTTGAGGTCGGAAGCAAGGTCAAGAATGTCAAAGTTGGCGACCGCGTAGCCATAGAGCCAGGTGTTCCGTGTCGGCAGTGAGCTTCTTCCCAATCCTCAGCGCAGGCAAGTAACCGCTTCTAACAATTTCCATAGCTGCGATTACTGTCGTTCAGGTTCATACAACTTATGCGCAGATACAGTCTTTGCGGCAACGCCTCCTTGGGACGGCACGCTGCAGAAGTATTACATTGTCGCCAGTGATTACACTTACCCGATCCCGGAGCACATGTCTTCTGAAGACGGGGCGTTGGTAGAGCCAGTTGCAGTCGCTGTCCAAATTTGCAAAGTGGCGGAGCTGAAAGGCGGCCAGACAGTCCTCGTATTTGGCTGCGGACCCATTGGTGTTTTGTGTCAGGCTGTTGCCAAGGCGTATGGGGCAGCAAAGGTCATTGGCGTTGACGTATCTGAGTCTCGCGCCCAATTTGCGAAGGAGTTCGCTGCCGACGATGTCTACGTCTCGAAGAAGCTTCCTGACACTCCTGAGGATCCTGTTGATGCTGCTCGCGCCATTGGGGAGAAAATTGTGCGAGATTATGCTCTCGGGGAAGGGGCTGATGTTGTTCTGGAGTGCACTGGCGCGGAGCAGTGTATCCAGGCTGGCGTCTTCGCCGCGAAGAAGGGCGGGACTTTTGTTCAAGCTGGTATGGGGAAAGAGGTCCGTTCTCCAATGCATGACTACCAGATATTCGAACACGCTTTGCTGATATGAAACTAGAACATCGTATTTCCCATTACGACAGCTTGTATCCGAGCTTTGACTATCAAAGGGTCAATCCGATACCAGACAGGATGCTATCCTGAGGCTGTTAGTCTCGTTGCCAGTGGAAAGGTTCATCCAAGGAAGTTGATCACGCATCGCTACAAATTTGAGGAAGCTCTTGAGGCGTTCGAGGTTGTGAGGCAGGCCAAAGAGAACACTCTCAAAGTAGTCATAGAAGGTGTACCCAAATGAATCGATCTTCTATTGAGATAGCAACGAAAATATAGATCGAGTATTCACGTCAAACGCTCTAGAGCCTACTGCGTTTTGGGTGATATATAAGATTCGAAAGAATGGATCCAGTCCTCATATCACTGTCACTGCTAAAACTTTTGCACACACTACAAAATCCTACGTCAGCGATGAACGAGGGCATGAGGTGACCAGTGAACAATTCTCATATTCTACTGCCCTTTACCACCAGTCTATCCGGAAAACTATCTGAGAAAGTTTCTCATACCTCGTACTACCTACTCCAAGCAATGCGGACAGACTCCCCTCTTCCTACAGATCGGTGGTCACTTGTCATGTACTAACCTCAGTAGGTTCTCAGCTACCCTCCTTTAGGTGGAGGGGCGGCCGGGGTCACAGGCGCCCGGAGTGCAGCATCTTCCCCGCAACGAAATGGCCCCTCCCGCTGTGGAAGCCTGTCGACCGTCGGCCTCATTCGCCGGTAGACTCAAAGGGCTTTCAAGTCTCTAGTTCCCATAGCTTTTTCGGTACAAATCTCCTGGATGTAGCTTCTAGCTGGCCAACGAACAATAGCCAGGCCATCACATTACATTTCCATCCTTGCCATCAACCCACCAAACTGTATCTCGGTTCCTTAGTCGCAACCAGGAATCCAAAATGGTTCTTCCAAGCCATCCGAACCCGGCAGCGCCCGTCATCGCGCATTTTGACCTGTCCGGCAAGACAGCCGTGGTCACCGGCGGAACCCGAGGCATCGGCTTAGAAGTCGCCCGCGGACTCGCTGAGGCCGGCGCCAAGGTCGCAATCACATACACCAGCACCGACCCCGCAGAAGCCGATGCCACGGCCGCCAAACTATCTGAATCAGGCAACGGTGTGCTTGTCAAGGCGTACAAATGCAACGTCCGCAACAGGGCGGAAGTGGAATCCGTCATTGAGACGGCGACAAAGGAAGTTGGAGGGGGCAAGCTCGATGTTGTCGTGGCTAATGCCGGAATCGCGGACCACATCCCCGCCATCGAATACCCAGAGGATAAGTTCCGTGATATGCTGGACGTCAATTTTCACGGGGCTTTCTGGACTGCGCAAGCTGCCGCCAAGGTCTTTGAAAGGCAGTTGAAGGGTGGGAGTGATGGCCGAGGAAGCATCATCTTCACGGCTTCGGTTTCCGCCATCTTGGTGAACGTTCCGCAGAAGCAGGCGGCGTATAATGCTAGTAAGGCAGCCGTGGTGCACTTGGCCAAGTCGTTGTCTGTCGAGTGGGTTGACTTTGCGAGAGTGAACTGCGTGTCGCCTGGTTTCATTGCAACGGACAGTAAGTTCAATCTCGATGCCTTGAGTCTATGGAGTGACGAAAATCTGACTTTAATAGTGCTTTCGGTGCATCCCGAGGAGTGGAGGAAGAAGTGGTTCTCCATGATTCCAGGTGGTCGACTCTGCGAGCCTGCGGAACTGAAAGGATCGTATGTATATCTTGCCAGTGGTGCGAGTAGTTACATGACAGGTATTTCCCCTTGATTTCATATCATTCTGTCAAATTAACTAACAGAACTAGGCGCAAATATGGTTATTGATGGCGGATACACTTTGCCGTAGGCTTTAGATGAGCTAGAGAAGTAAGCCACTTACTTGAACAATTTTCATAACTCAAAACACTCCATTCCGGGATCTTATACTACTCGGAAGAGGTCGAAACATTCTATGTTAATCCACCGTCTTCACATGAAAGTGAATAAATTACCACGGCTTACACAACCGAGCCATCTTATGACCTGGTGTCTATCTTTAGTCTCGTAATACGGTAAGCCTTCTGGAAATGTGTTGATCATGAGATTGGTTATCGGAGTTCCGCCCTTCTCTCCTGCAAAAGAGACACTGAGCGTAGGACCAAGTGGTTTTCCGACATTACGACACGTCGTAAAGCGCTCCAAGACAGTATTAGAGCGGGCCGAGCAAGTCAAAATGCCGTCCCGAAAGAGGGCCCGCACCCTGACCCGCCGAGGCCCGGGTCGTCCGGAAGGCCCACGATGGGTACCCTTGGTGTTGAATGTGGATCGTACCCTCACCCCACGCACAAACTGGAATCCATGAGCTTCAATCCGCCCGATTAATCTTCATCGACCGCATCAATTGCCCGGCTAGCTCAATCGGTAGAGCGTGAGACTCTTAATCTCAAGGTTGTGGGTTCGACCCGTAAGCATTGGATGCCCATCCTGAATATCACCGGATATATAGTTAACAGTAACCAGCCACGTCGGGCTCAATTCCCGTCAGCGATTGAACTAGCAATCATCCTTTTTTGCTGTTTCTTCCTCTACCAAACTCTGTCATCTTCGAAGTAAAGCGAGTAGGCTTGGATAAAGCCGGCTAAATTGAACCTCACTGATGTTGGCTGTCCTTTTTGGTGATACTCATCCTCAATCACCACAGACCATCCCCTCCTCCATGGCTTTGGCCTCATCATTGAGGAACCCAATAAGACTCGCTTACCTCCAAGAAATTGTTCAAACTTCGCCATGGCTGCAGGGTTCCCCTCCATGTCATAAGTTTTGCCTAGCCCAGCTAAGAAAAGGTGCCACGCGACGCCTTTCTCCAAAATACCAAGCATCTTGGCACAACTTGGCATCGCGGCGGTTGACGCTCCGGCCCTTGCAGAAACGCAGAAAGCGGGAGCCATCTCAGCCTAGCGAGATCCTGCGCCGAGAAAACGATCGTCCCGAGGGGTTGCAGTATCGCGGGTTGAGCCTAAATGCCACGTTTGTTTCGCAAAGGAAGGCGGCAGCGGCAACTATCTCGATTGGTCGGTTATAATGGTGGTGGCGAGGCTCCCATTGCTTGGCTGACATAAAACTTTCCTTAAGATCATGTTGTTTCGAGGACAGCCTTTTCCCTCTGGTTTTCATCTGTTCTGTCTTTGTGATCACGATGGGGTTGTCTTCGCTTATCATTTGGCCTTGCAGTTGCCTTTTGGTGGTTACGACTACTGTTTCGTCAACTCCTCTCAACAATAATGTCGATACCCAATGCTCTTGGCTCGTTCCTAGTCCACTGATCAGTGCCAAGTTTGAACAACAATGCCCATTGAGGCATAGTTCGGAGAAGGTTGTCCGGGTCACAGAATGGCACCCATGGACGCAAGAGCCGGTATGTGTCGGTCCAAAGACAAACAAGACACTACAACACTGCGCTTTCATCAAAGAAGACTTTCGGGGGAACAAAGGTCTTCTCATCATCACAAGCCCAGAGGTTGCAGCCGGCGATGTCAGTCTCGTTGAGGATAACGACTCCCAACGGGCCAATGTTCAACCTTCACTTGAGTCGGCCGACCCACTCCCCTTCGAAGTTGAGACAATACCGGATAAAGGTTTAGGAGCCGTCGCAAACATCCGCATTAGCGCAGGAGAGGTCATCTTGAGGGAGCATCCTGTCATTATGAGATTGGCGCAAGTATCTGAGTCGATTAGCTGGATGCAGGCTCTTTGGGTGCTGGAAGAGGGCTTCATTCGGCTGCCGATAGAGGATCAGCAAAGGGTATTCGATCTCTCTAGGAGCACAGGGGGCCATGTCCTGGAAGATATTATCCGAACAAATACATTTGGCGCAAGTTTCAATAACGTTGCCCATTTTGGACTGTTTCCAGATGTCGCGGTAGGTGGCTAGTCCCTAGCACCTTGTGCCAGCTTCACTGACATCAAGCAGAGAATTAACCATGCTTGTAAGCCAAAGTACGCCTGCACTCATCTTAAACTCCAGACGACTTAAAGATGGAACGCTCACCGAAAGCTAGTGCAATCACCCGCTTCTCGCCCCGGACGTTGGAGCTAGAAGTTGTGGCGTACAAAGACATTCTACCGGGCGAGGAACTAAGTATCAGTTGTGAGAACCTTGAATCCGTCCCGCGCAGCCAGCCGAACACGACTAATGCCAGGTACAGACTCGATGCTAAACATGCTGCACCAAGACCGGCAAAACGCCCTCCAAGAATGGGGGTTCAACTGCACCTGCGCGCTCTGTAGCTCCCCTCCCGAAGTGCTGGCCATCTCCGATGCCTACCGTAGACGGCTGCAGGAGATCTTCTCAGAACTCGAGGACCCGGTCCTCGCAGGCTCGTCATCTTTAGTGGCGGAGCTGGTCGACGAGCTTGAGGATATCATGGTGAGAGAAGGGTTGACAGCGCAGGCGGGTGAGTTCTACGGCATAGTTGCTGGGGTATACCGCAACATGGGGGAGAAAGAGTTAAGTAAGAAGTATGCAGAGCTGGCGGTGGAGAAGCTGGTGCAGTTTGCGGGGTACGACGACGACAGGACGGTAAGGGCAAGGGAAGTTCTTTTGGAATTTGGGGGAACGCAACTCGGCACGGGGTAAAGGGTCTCGTTGGGGAAACGTTGGGGGCGGCGCGGTAGCATCACTCAAACGAGCACGCAGTTCACGGATCAAAGGGGTATAAGTGGCGTGCGTTTTCTAGAACCAGGGTCCTCAACTCGGAGGGGGTGATTCGTTTATCCCACCCCCGTCATAGCCCATGGGGAAGGAAGGAGAAACATGGCATGGCACTTTGCCTGGTCCGGGGAAGCGAGCAGGTTGGCAGGTTGCGGAGAATTTTGTGGTGGAGGATTACTCCGGCAGCGCGGGTTGCTTGACAGATTGACACGTTTTAGATCGGCTATACGGCATTTTCATTGACGAGATAGCGGCCGCGGGCCGGGGGTAATGGTTCATGTCATGTTTCGATTAGGTTGCGGGAGGATGTGCTCGCTGCAGCATCCTTCTGGGGGATGTTGATGTCTAGATAAAAGAGGAAAAATATCATCAGACGATTTGAATGAGAAGTGTAGATGCGGGTCATTGGAGTTGAGGCTCTAGCTGGAGTCCATCTTGGCGATGCCAAGTGGCTTGGAACGACGGTTGCCAAGGTTTCTTGGCGTTCTTTTACGAACGTCGACTTTCATCGGATGCTCAAAGGGATGCGATGTTCTGTTTCAGAAGAACATAACTAACCAACTAAGGAGAAAGGATACCGAAACTTGGCGGTTGTGCACGAATTACTATGTGCTGCGACCAAAGACATTGGTTGTTCATCAAAACTGATCATCAAACAAACAAGATGGCAATTGAGTCGAGACTTGGGTCTTCAGATGACAGACGATACTACTGTTTGACATACAAATTCAAAGTCTGTTCAGCGAGAGTCACAGAGTGGGAGCGGTATTTAGTTGGCTAGTATCAGCAAGCATCCCCTGCCCGCCCAAGTTCAATTGCAATACACCAAGCAAATTTCGGAAACGACATCTACGCACTGATTATCACGTTCAGATCTCACTCACACAGCAGCAGCCATAGATCCAACGGAAGAAAGAAGCGAAAGACTATCAGGACCAGTCATGTGCATCCAGTGGATCGCCTCCGCAAACTGCATCAGCGCCGTGAGCGGGAATACTCCGCGTGACGGATGCAATGGTGCCCACGTCGCGGTGGTACGCCGCGAAGTCTGCTCATCGGCCCGCGGGCAGTGCTTGTGCTTCTTCGGCTCGTGTAAGAACATCGTGACGTTGTCCGCCGAGGACCAGGAAACCGTTAACGCCCCGTGCGAGGTTTGTGGCGTGGACGGGGACCCGGAGCAGATGATGCTGCTGAGAACATTTAACGACGCTTTTGCCGCTGAGTGGGTGGTCGCCTTTGGAGAGAGCCATTATACCACGTGCACGAAGGGTATGTGGAGGTCGTTGGTCAAAAGATGAGTAAGTCGTGAGTCGTGTCGGCCGTGGGTCAGTAATCTTTCACGGATTTCCAGGGGAGTGGCACGTCGCGGAGAAAGGGCGAGACTTTGGCGCCAAGGATGGAGTGTTACATGACCGATGGCCCATGGGAGCGGTCACAAAGAATCTGCGCGGGGAGAGCGTACAAATCAGGTTTCTGGTACCGTTGGTAAGTGCCACTATTAGTGTTGCAACCGTCGATCAGTCGGACTCGCTCTCTATTCTGCCCTCCGAAGCCGGTGTGAGTTTTGACGAAGGATCTTCAGTTCTTGACCAAGATGGAAATTTTCTCAGGTAAAGGATTTGACCAACATCATTCAGAAAGTTAAAAATCTTCTTGTTGGCATGCTGCCGCGTGAAATAATCGTATGAGGTCTAATTTACCAAGACGCGAAATCCCCGTAAACCTGTAGGTTGCATGCTTGATCCTGGGTGGCTGGGAGATGCCTGTTGGACTTCCTCCGCTTCCTTCGCCATGTGACGACCCTGACGGGTGGACTCCGTCCGCGTCGGCGGTGACAAGAAGCCCCGTGTTATTGAGAAATGTGCCATTTAAGATCATGGTGTGCGTCTGTGTCCTGTGTTGCCTGTTCCTTTCTTGGTGTGTGTGGAAGCGTCAAGACCTCACGCGAGCTGTAAGTTGAGCGCTTAGATATTCCAACTCCAGTTTTCCCCATACCGTCCCCATTGAAGGAAGCTTTCTCCGTGGGGTCTTTGGGGTTGAAAGGAGGCCCATGATCCATCAAGGGGACCTGGGGTTGATACCAAGACCGTACCCTAAAATGGGGTTGGGAAACTTGGAATCTGGCCGAGATACCCTGGCGCTGTCGCCGCATCTTCCCCAAAGCTCACGAATCACTAGGTGTATCAAAGTATCACGGCGCAGATTATCGTGCCTCTGGTTGGCCAAGGACGGACATGTAAGCTTATTCTACGGGGTTAAGGTCACTACGAGATCCATCTTGTTTGGCCAAAGTGAGGGGAGGAGACAAAAGAATGGGCACCGAGCCGAGGGAGATGAGAAAGAAAGAGAGCGAGAATCACTGTGAGACCGAGCAGGGAGGCGAATATTGTCGGTCGAGCCCCGATGGGCCAGACCTTGTCGGAGGCTAAGTTGACTAACAGCTGTTCTGCTGAATGGCTGAATTGGCCAGTCTCCGGCCGAGCTCTGGCTCTGGCGGCGCTTTGCATCTTTTCACGTCTAGGTATCAATAAACCGGAGCAGACCGGGGTGCGATGACTCGATTCTACAATGGCCTTGAGGCTCGCGGGCGCATGCCGTCCTCGCCCTCACGGAAGATGGCCGAGCGGCAGTTGCTGGCCCCGTCGACTTAAGCCCGAAACGGTCCATTCAGGATCCACCGGCCGGCGGCGAGCTGCGAGCTTGCGGAGTGCGAACATGTCGGGTATCCAGTTCTTTACGCAAGGCAGCTTGCGTTAGCACTTTAGCCAGCGACGAAACAAGCACTTTGAGATATGGGGATGGGGGGAAATCTTGCGTGTTTTTGTTGGGTTCCACGCGCGCAAACGGCCTGTTGGACATGGATCATGGGCCGATGATGGGGCTTTTGCGAGTGGTTTGTCTTGGATTTCATCTCCCCCCTCCTCTTCGCGGTAGGCTTTGCCGCCTCTGCGTAGACCGTGCCACCATACTCCAGTCTTATTCTCCATCTTCTTGGTCCCTCTTCCTCCTGGAGCTCATCCGTTTGTCAGCAAGACTAGCAAGCATCGGCCGTCGACGAGTCATATCGCAGCCATTTTTTCTAGATATCTTTGAGGAGGGTTGCAATGCCAGAACGGCGCGTTGCGGGGAAATGGTTGCTCATCTGGACCATCTCATCTTCTCCAAACCCCAAAGCGCGGAGAATGCGGAGCCAACTCCTATATCAGCCAGGGGTGGCACAATAGTGCCCGCTCACACTCACACACACATACACATACACACAGAACAACGCAGTCATCGCACACAGACTCACCCACAGTCTAGGTAGGTAGTCGCGTAGTGTACTACTGCAGTCTGTCTCACAGTGAGAGCCAAGGACACGCGAGCAGTCAGCCGGACCGCAACTTTGGATGCCGTTGAGTAAGGTACTTTAGTAAACCCTGCCGCCAGGCCCGACTTGGCCAGCTCTTCAGGTTCCTTCTTGGCAGAGCCCAGACGCCCAGCCGGGGGAGACATCACGTCACTTGGCGCTGGCTGATCGCCCTTGGTGGAAAGTCTTGGTTCCAATCCAGCGACGCGGGACAGCAGCCTGCCGGCGCAAACAAGACTTGAGGCGTATTTCTTGTCCCGACCACCACCATCAACGTTCGCGCACGCCGTCGGGGCGCCATGGAACGAGCGGCGTTGCTCCGTCTGACGATTTGGCTAATGATAGAGCAGTTCACGAAAACTTACTGCATGGAATGGCATGTAGGTGTGTTGCATTACGGAAACTTGCGGGAGCCTCTTGATCCCAACGCGTCGGTTGAGGCAAGTATAGGCTGCCTCGCTAGTCCAACGTATGTCGAAATTTGAAAGCGAACGAGGGCGGCATGAAGACCGTGCTGCCCATAGCCACGGTCATCCTTGAGCTAAACCAACCAGTCATCCGATGTCAAACAGTGGTTATCCTCGTATTTTGAGGGGCAGGTGAACGCTTATGAAATTTGAGTTTTGTATCAGAGCGTTTTTCCGTTGATTCACTTTTTTTCTTGGTCCCTGTTTTCCTGCTTTTCCGTCAGCTTTCACTTACATCAATTCGACTCGGCGGTTCTTCGCTGTGATTCAGATTGTGATATCTCGTCCCAGCAATGAGTAATTCATCAACACATTTTCCTTCCTTTTTCAGCATGCCGAAGATCCGAGAGGATAACGTGTACTCTGCCATTGCATTATCAAAGTGGATAGTTAGATAGGTCCTATGCGGTGACACAGTTACAGGTGTGCCCGAGAAAAACTACGAAGGTGGACGAAGGTCACAGTCAAGATGGACAATAGACAGCGGCTCTCGTGAGTACGAGCTGGAAAAGACCGACGGAGATCTGGCCGGCACTATCCTCGTCGCCTTTCCATCTTCCTTCTTCCCGCCTTCTCGCCCTCCTGGGCTACCCAGTCTTCCTATGCTCTTAGTCTCCCTAGTCTTCCCCAACCTACCCCAAACCCGCCCCCGGCGCGCGGTTGGCATGGCCGGATTTGGGCAAGCTGCCGCCCACTTCACGACCTTGTTCGACCGCCGCCGCTCGCCAGGTCTCCTCCCCACGCATCTCCATGTTCATCCCCATACTGGTACCCCCCATCTCAAGCCACCCTTGCTTAGTTTCGTAACAAGGATACTATCCGTTCATTCCTTCCCCTCGTAAATTTTTCACGATGGTGGAACGGAAGTTGAGCGATTGGCCAGTCGTCGGAGCCCATCCACCCCGGCATCCTCTACCCTTCTTTTCCCACGGGGTCGCATTGGCCGCTGGCTGTCATCTCTCTCTGGGGCGGGGACGGGGGAGATGGGTTGGGTTGGTCCACGCGAAGATGGGATCTAGTGTGATGTAGAACGAGGGAGGTATGGATCTACGTGTGCCCTCCTCCTCCATCTCCCCTCAGATCTAGGTATTAATATGAGCCGCTCCTTTTCCTTTCTCACGTCTCTTGTTCCCCAACCGTCGTGTTCATACCCTCAAGCCCACGAACCTCTTCCCAGCCCTTCCTTGTCCATCTCGAATACCTCGTGTGAACAAATCAGATACTGTCAAAATGGCAGGCGGCGGTGTCAAAAAGCCCATCAACATCTTCAAGTTGGGCGACCTCGGTGAACCCGAGGGCGTCTTCAACTGGCGACTATGGTTCGCAGTCATCTCCTTCGGCCTCATGGGCGCGGCCCGTGGTGTCGATGAGGGTCTCATCTCTGGCGCCTTCGGCTCCAAGGATTTCCAAAAGTTCATTCACTACGATCAATACAGCGCTGCTGAGAAGACCAACATCAAGGCCAACGTCTCTGCCATGGTTCAGCTCGGTTCCGTCGCTGGTGCTCTCTTGTAAGCTTGGCTGCACATTCCCTCTTCAAAGTCTGCTCACAGAGCTCCTTCTAACCACTTATACCACGTACAGTGCCTTCGTCATTTGCGATAAGATCGGCCGTATCTGGGCTACCCGTCAACTCTGCGTCATCTGGATCATCGGTATTGCCATCTTCATGGCCAACAACGGACACCTCGGCGCCGTCTATGCTGGTCGTTTCATCGCCGGTCTCGGTGTCGGCCAGACACCCGTCGTCGGCCCCGTCTACCTCGCCGAGATCGCCCCGGCCTCCGTCCGTGGTCTCTGCACCTGTGTCTTCACCGGTTTCGTCTACCTTGGTATCGTGCTCGCCTACTTCACAAACTACGGCTGCCAGATTCACCTCGGTGACACCACCCACAACCGCTGGCTCGTGCCAACCTCCCTGCACATCATGTTCGCCGGCATCATCTTCATCTTGACCTTCTTCCAGTTCGAGTCCCCCCGCTTCCTCGTTAAGCAGGGCAAGATTGAGGAGGCCACCGAGACCATGGCTCACCTCCGTCACCTCCCCGTCGACCACGAGTACGTCACCCGTGAGATCTATGCCATTCAGCACTCTCACCAGGAGGAGCTCGAGGCTACCAAGGGCACGACCTGGTACGGCAAGGTCAAGGAGCTCTTCCTCGTTCCCAGCAACTTGTACCGTCTCTACCTCACCACCATGGTCCAGTTCCTCTCCCAATGGTCCGGCGCCGGCTCCATCACCCTCTACGCTCCCGATCTCTTCAAGATCCTCGGTATCGAGGGTCAGAACGAGTCCCTTCTTATCACCGCCGTCTTCGGTGTCGTCAAGCTCGTCGCTGCTGTCGGTTGTGCGCTGTTCCTGGTCGATGTCATTGGTCGCAAGCGCGCTCTGCTCACGGGTATCACCCTGCAAGCCATTGCTATGGTCTACATTGCTTCCTTCCTCACCCACGTCCCCAAGCTCGGTGTCGACGAGTCCTTTGAGCTCCCCTCCAACCTGGTCGGCGTCAGCAAGGGCGCCATCGCCATGATCTACGTCTCCGGCTTCGGTTGGGCCCTCGGCTGGAACTCCATGCAGTACCTCCTCACCGCTGAGCTGTTCCCCCTCCGTGTCCGCGCCCTCGCCACCTCGTGGGCTATGACTCTTCACTTTGCCAACCAGTATGGCAACTCCCGCGCCGTTCCCAACATGCTGGCTTCCACCTCCGTCGGCGGAATCTCGCCCATGGGTACCTTTTGGTCGTTCGCCGCCATCACTCTCATTGGTGGTGCCTGGGTTTGGTTCTTTGTTCCTGAGACTTCTGGTCGTGCTCTTGAGGATATGGACCGCCTCTTCGAGCTTCCCTGGTACAGAATTGGTCTCCACGGTAACGCTGATGCCGAGGCGAGGGATGTTGTCTACAATGAGAAGCAGGAGGCTGCTGAGGGTGTCCAGGGAATGTCTGAGCACGCCGAGAAGAAGCCTGCTCAGGTCTAGAACAGCATGTGTATGGAAGAAGCCTGAAAGGTTTCTGATGGTTGAAAAGGGTATCTAATGAATGCAATATACCCAATAATGACATGATTACAAATTTATTCTTTCGTGGTTTACCACTCGAATCATTATTTTCTTCTTTGGCGATACTGCATCTTGTTCTGACCAATGACGTGTTCGCAGCTCATCACATGGTGTGGCTCATATTGAATGAGCGCTTAGGACTCTCAAAGTTGACCCCTACTGATTTCACTCCACGGATAAGCTCTTGCATGTTTGATCTGGGGCACGGATATATGCAGATTGATTGATATCTTGATTAGATCCAGGGACGCTCCTTGTCTTATCTCAACCTCTGACGGTTAACGCTTGAACCTTCGGATGGTGTTGTGGAGGGATTGAAGTAAAGTAAGGTGGGCACACACTCAGATTCTTGAGCCCGTCGCTGAGCGGATGATCTGTTGAATGAATCAATCAGGACGTCTTCCAAATCGCAGACGCACACTACAGGTGGCTGAGTCCAAAAAGAAATCTTATCTTGCCTAAGGTGACACGACGAGCACAACAGGCTGGCTGTTGAAACAAACATAAAGTACATATCGGAGTGTAGCTCCGAGTTCGTTTCAACCCGCTATTGGGCATGGATGTCCCCCACGTGCTTTCGGATTTCTCGCATTAGATACGACGTGCTATTCGGCGAATCTGGACCCAAGTCCGGCGATCTGATCTCGATGTCCGCGGCCACGGAGCATTTACGGCATTGCACGGTAATAAGACCCAGCGGATTGCGCTCTCGAAGACCAGCCTCAATAGGTTAGCATTGTCTCTCTCGATGAGCCACAGGGACCGAAATGCTGCCCATCGAGATGATATGCAAAAAGCGTTTTTTGTTGTCCGAGGAGCTACTGACGAGATTGACAACCATGGCCTCCCAGCCACGCTGCGCCTGTGGCGCAATTATCGTCCTCGACGCAGCCATAGCCATGCACGAAAGCGACCTGTTTTCTTTCAACAGTGAACGCCAGACCAAGAACGCCCCCATTGGCGTCGACAGCCGTCCCCTACTCGCCCAAGCTGGAGCGCCCATAAGCCCTTTGCCCACCCTTTACCACATAAGCCGATCTCGAGTGATCGACTTTGCCGCTGATGTGGTTTTTTGTTGACCGGCTTCTGGGTCTGGATTCCGTGGGCATCATCGAAAAGATAGTAGACGCTAGTATCATTTCCGTCGATTATGTAGAATCGTATAATACCCGGGAATCCCACGCTGCTACGCATGCGATGTGGGATACCGACAATACAGGTTTCAGAGTGCCTAATCAAAGACCATTGAGTTCTCTGGTGCAAACCAAGAGGGAAACCCTTGAAGTGCACCATGAAGGCTTCTTTCCTCTTTTTGCTCTTGATTGGGCTAGCAGGGTTGGCGTCAGCCGCCTCAATTGCTGATGCTCCTCAGTGCGCTGTGAGCAGTTTCCCACGAGCTTCCTACGAGTTTCTTAGGGCCTTGGTGTGTGACCATACTAACATTCTTTCTCGAGATATCCTGCGCTCTTTCGGCTCTTCCCCAGTCATCTTGTACCATCTCGAATCAAACATGTCTTTGTGTCGATCCGACTTTCAACAGGCTTGTTGGCGACTGCGTCAAAGATGCATGCACCATAAAAGAAGCATTGGGTAAGTATGTCGAATTCACCATTCGACACACGCGATCGTGTGCCGGAGTATCGGTACTGATGCAATGATCTAGCTGTTACAAACTTGACATGGTCGTCATGCGGGTTTCCCCTCACTGATCGAACGAGCACGGCACGATACACGACAATATTCTTGTTCATACTGCCGGTGGTTTTCATGGCAATGCGTTTGTCGGCTAGGCTTTTGCGTCTCGCACCTTGGGGCGCGGAAGATACCACAATATGTATCGCATTTGTATGCACGCCAACCGAATGCTCCACATCCAAAGATACAGCTTTAACACGGATATAGGCGTTTTTGATACCTTTTCCACCGATCATCTTCGCCAGTAAGTTCCTCCGGTTAGATTTGAGATACTTTGGCTAACAACTTTGAATAGTGATGCGATATGGCTTAGGACGGGATATCTGGACACTGCAGCCGTATGAGATTACAATGTTTCTGAAAGTAAGAATCTCGCTCAACCTCTAGGATTCTATCTGACAAGTCAACCCAAGCTTCTATTCGTTCTCCAACTCTTTTACATCTCAGGACTGGCAGTCATAAAGGCATCGGTGATATACTTGTACATACGAGTCTTCAACATTCAAGGCTTCAGAACCCTTCTCTGGTGCACACAGATATTCAATTTTCTTCTCGGGGGAGGCTACATCTTGCTTAGCCTCGTACAATGCCAGCCATTCCAGCACTATTGGAACGGCTGGGATGGCGAGCAAGATGGCCACTGCGCAGATCTCAACACAATCGGCTTGACCCACGTCGCATTCAACATTGCGCTCGATGTCTGGATGCTGATTCTACCTGCGACGCAACTGTACAAGCTTAACATGGAGCTGAAGAAGAAAATCGGCGTAATGGCGATGTTCAGCGTAGGCATTTTGTAAGTCTCTTCTTCGAGTAACGTTCTCAGCACTGTTATGCTCCAGTCTAACATCAGAATAGCCTTACTTCAGTCAGCATTGTACGCATTAAAAGTCTTCTGGTCTTTGCTACAAGCTTTAACATCACCGGTATGTTGCACAAGTGTCCTACGATGAAACCCCAAAACTGACCCAAATATGTAGCCGAGTGCCTTTGGGGCATTATTTGGTCCTATGTAGAGCTCTGCGTGGGGATCTTTGTTGCCTGCATGCCTGCTGCCCGACAGCTTGCGTGGAGGTTTTTCCCTAAACTTGTCACTTATACCCGGGAATCACTCACGGGGTCAAGTAAATCGAAGCGTGAGGTGCAGAACGAGGAACTAACTCCCATCGCCAAGGGCAGACAGTCCTCGAAGTCGGGTACTTTATCCTCAAACATTACGCAATCGAATGCCGGGTCTGTCATGGATCCTAATACACCTCGGAGCGCAACCTTTGGTCATCCACAATCAGATGATGCCATTCTGCTCCATGAAGGGAAGGAAAGAGTTAATGTCATCAGGTGATCGGGGTTTAGGGACTTGTAATCATTAGGGCTATTCTTCATTGCGTGTTGTTAGACTTGATGCTAATTTGAACACCAATCATACTTGAGATGTCTTTCCACAATCAAGGCAGTTTTGAAAGGTAGTACATTCGTGTAAGTGTTGTTCACTGACCGGGATAATCATGAAGAGATCACTGGCAAGTGCCTTGTCAACCTTTTGTTCAATCAACTTATCAAACCAAACCGAGTGTCTCAACTACAAAGCTGCAGTCACTGCACAATCGCATTGGAAATCCAGGTGACCTCCGGTCTTCAACATCATTTATGATTTAGACTTAATCTTCAATTAAAGAATCGCGGGCTGAAGACGGATGTGACTACTTGGCCACTTTATGCGCTCATATTACGGGAGTCTCATTATTGTTCATGTTATTCAATCGCGTGCTGTTCTCGGATACGAAGGTACAATGTGGGATGCGTCCATAGAAACATTTTACGCAGTATTCGTTTTGCTACTACAAAGTCACCAGCTGAATATGTACCATGTCTCTACACCGTGTGCTTGAAGCATACGTCGTTTAGATACGTTTACGTCTTTTTTGTTTGCATCGCGCCACCAACCTCGGACATGCGGGCCTGAGCTTGTGGGTAGAAGGCATATTGTCCAACCTCTGTGGAGACTTCGGTTCCGGGTTCGCTATGTGCTCATCTCGGAACTCAACCCATTGAAGACTCAGTCAGAATACTAGTAGTAGTAATAGCCTCTGCACAACATAGCCTGAAGGTGGAAGGATCTCTGAAAAGCCAAACTGTTGTCACCAAGAGATCTGGTGCTACCACGGTCCACGGTTACTAGTGACATAACGCAAACGAATACGTCGTATTCCGGAAGGTCGTCAAAGCCTTATACGACAATGCGTCGGCAGCTCGACCGCGTGACTCATGTCAAACTTTTGAACTTGACCGCACTGATTGTAACGTGCTCAGTCTAGCCACATTCGATGGTGAAGGTTTCCTGCTGGTGTTCCCCATCGATATCATAATCAATCTATTGTAATTGACGGACAACGCTGGCGTCACTTCCCTGCAATCCCCAAAGGACACATTGGTTTCCTTGTGTCAATTCATTCTCATTAACGCATTGCTGATTGGCTTGCCATTATCTGAGCTTGATGTACGCTAACTCAACCACATCATTATCTCGCGTGCTAAACACATCAGGCATCGCGGTACCGTCCCCTGCTTCGCAGCGTCAAAATTTGTCTCTGGCTCAAATCATGTTGGTAACCGGCTTCTTCGACTATCAAAACGAAAGCATTCCTTCAATTCTTAGTGCCCGTGGTTTCCATGAGATTGTCTCGACTGCCTGGACCGCCTCGAGTCTGCAGACGCAACCGAATGGTATGAGGCAAGAGATTGGAGACAGCCTTTACCACAGTTGTTATGGTCCTGCTTGTAGTGATTTTTGTTGTGGTTAATCACATCCTGCCTGGTGTTGTGCTCTCCCCTCGACGCCCTCGAAGACCTCTGAACTCCATAGTCGTGACCATTGTTATGATGATCGTAACCGTTGCCGTTGGTATGGTAATTATTGCCATGGTAATCATTGTGATGGATATCATTATAGTTGGTAGGATGATGGTCTTTGGGATAGTAGGTATTAGTCCTGATGGTCCTATCGTCGTAATGCCCGTTGTTATGGTTATAGCCATTGCCATTCACATGATAGTCCTTGGGGTGCCAGTTGTTGTACTTATCATCCTGGTGGTTGTAGTTATGATAGTCCTTCTCCCGAGCGATTCTCGAATCCTTGGATTCCACGGAACGGTACGATGCCAGAGAATGTTTGCAGCCCGAGCCGCAATTGTGGTTGTCCTGCTTGACGAGGTTGTCCCTATACTTCCAGTCATCCGCGGGTGTGTTGTGTTCGCCCCTCGAAGCGCGGGAAGATCTTTGGACTCCATAGTTGTAGTCATGGTGGTCGTAGTTGTTGCTGTGGTAGTCCGTGCTTCGGTCATAGTATGGCCTGTGTTCTCTGGACACCTTGGAACGGTAAGAGTTGATGGAGCGATGGCAATCAATGCCGCAGTTGTTGGCGTCGAGCTTGGCTAGGTTGTCTCTGTACTTCCAGTCGTCTGCGGCGGTGACGCCTCCAGAGTGGTAGTCTGGGTCAGTCCATGCAGCCTTAGCTTCGCTTCTTGCTTGGATATGAGGCTCGTCTCTGGCGTGGATTTCAGGTTCCATGTCGACGTGGTCTAGCGCAGCTTCATCTCTCGCCTTGACCTGAGACTTTTCACTGAGTTGGACCTCGGATTCCAAGTCATAGTTCTCGAGTGCAGCCTCGTCTCTGGCTTTGATCTGAGGCTCTTCTCGGGCTGCAATCTCTGGCTCGATATCGATTTCTTCGAGACCGGCCTCATCCCTGGCTTGGAGTCGAGGGGCGTCTTGCGATTGGGTCTGTGGCTCCAGGTCCCAGACATTAACCGCGGCCTCGTCTCTGGCTTGGATCTCTGGCTTTTGCTCCCAGTCAGAAACATCAACGATGTTCTCGCCGCGAGCCTCGATATTGGGCTCCGCATCGACAGCTTCAGCGACAGGGTCAGCTCTGAAGACATGGACTGGGGGGTGAATGAGGCTGGGGAGCACCGCGACGGGTACTGCGGTTACACCGGCCGTTAGTATGGCCAAAGTGATGGTGGCGAGGAGGCGCATGTTATAGATGTTGCGGGAAAGAGTAGTAAGATATAATTTGATCGCTAATGTTGTCAAAAGGGTGATTGATAAAAAGAGATGAGAGAAAGCCTCATTAACCGGCCAAGATTCAGTCAAGTTGACTTATGATATGGGCATTATAGCCAAGTAGAAGAAGATATTGCCTGGTATTTATACTTGTCACTGGTAGACACCAGTGAGTATTAAGGGACGACTACTCGCTTAGAACTCCCGAAAAGAAATACGAATAAGACTACCCGAGCCAACCTCTGCACCTCGGCGTCGATATCCCATGATCACTATCCTTCTCCGTCGGCCTCCTTCGGGATATGAGATGAGCCGCTTAGAGAAGCTAGCGTAATCGTTGACTCAACTTTTGAGGTTGATGGCGGCGAGCTTGAAATTAAGCTAACATGGTGGATTTCGTCTTTGACTTTTTCGAACGGCAATATCATGGGTACAGTCATGCCGCATATGAAAACTCAAGGATTGTCGGATACCAGGACGAGAGTCTGGTTAAGCCCAGGTCTAGATGCGGCCTAGAGTTAAGGGGTAATCCAGGAACCAGCTTGGTCATTGCCAGCAAGAAGCTTCGGGTCTACGCAAGCGTCGTGTGTAATTAAGGCCAGTCTGCATGCTGCGCAAGACAACAAGCTTACTTGGTAGTGAAGTGGAGGACAGTATCCGACTTCACCCCTCTTTCTAGTGGTGGACTTGAAGTCAAAGTTGCCGTTTTTGCGCAGGAGTCGGTCTAGTTGAGGAGATATTCACGCGAACAAGGGAACGTAGTGTGAAGTTTAGAACATGCCATTCGGATAGCTCCATGATTGGTACAATTCTTGTAATCTCCTGGGCCTAGTGCAAAGAATTTATCTTCGGCATGGAATAAACATTAGTTTATGATCCTAGCGCGCAGACTTTTCAGGCACCTTTTCATTGTAGTTGGGAATATATCGAGTATCATCGATTCATGCGAAACGATCAACCGTCAACTTTCCAATTCGGTTTGAAAACCATGCAAAATTTTACAGCATAGAAAGACGAGCTTAAAGAAGATTTTGCTTGTAAGCTGTAGAAAAAGCCGCACCGTAAACGTAAACGCGTCCGTCTCCACCAGCTCATCTAAGTGATCCGAAGTACGCTGTTTCATATCGCATGTCGTTCGTCAATGACATTTCCATGTGGTTGAGTTGACATTCTTGAGCCAGGGTTCCAGGGTGACGTTTCCTTCTGCAGATCATTGTCCCGGCACGGCGAAAGCTTTCCTACACGTGGGTGTGTAAGTGCGGGATTGTGTGTGGCAGCCTCAACTGGTTGCTAGTGGCCCCAGAGGCTCGGTGTCCGAAGATGTAGACTGCGAAGATCCTGTTCCGAGCCGTACGGAGTGGTGCACAAGGCTTGCGTTCCGAGTCCTCCTCATGAAGCAACTCCACAATACTGGGAAATCGTGCTCATTGCCTTCATCTATCAGACCGCTAGGGTATTCCAGCCAGAATGGAGACTGTGTGATAGGAACCCAAGATGCTCGACCAAGGTGCTCCAGGATGGTAGCTCTAACTCAAGAGAGCTTATCCAGGGCGTCAGCACGGATAGTGTCGATCATAATTGACGTTGCCGGGCTCACAGACGCTGGAATTGGACATCTCGGCTCGAACAGTGCGGGTGTAAGTCGGGCGTAAGAGGCCACAGCACTTGGCTCTTCCTTCGGACGGTCTCGCCAGCTACTCAACGGAGCTACCCCGCGTTGCCCCTCTTTCCCAAAGAAGTTCAGGAAAAGTCTAAGGAAGGTTCCGCCGACGACGAGGGGCTGCACGTGATGCCGGTGGGAATTGCCTGCCACGGCCCAAGACATGGAATATCCGCCTCGGCGTCGCTTTCGTTATGGCCATGGGATAGGCATTCCCAGCATCATATGATAGTCGATGGAGGACAGATTTTGGAAGCGAGATAGTCCCTGTGAGGCTCAAGGAGTTAAGAGCGCAGTCTTCCAATCGCGGCGGCTCGGACAATGAAATCGGGTAAGCTGTTGAGGGGCTGCATGTACCTAGATCAAACCTTGATTCAACGGTGTGCCATGGACATGGGGAGCAGTGAGACGCGTGTACGATTGTCGGTCCTTACTCATGTTGAAAGTTATGGTCGGGAAACTTGACTTGACTGAGATGCTGGACCGAGATGGCGGCGCCGTGGTAGGTGAGCGCGGGAGGTGGAATGCAGTCGCATTGCAGACATCTCCCGAGATCGAACATCTTTTCTGCCAAGAACCACTTACATGGGCTTTATGGGCCTCTAGCTCCAAGCTGTCAACGCCAAGGGGTAAGCATTCATAGCGCCAAGATGGTCTTCTTAACGCCAAGTCACTCAGCCAAAGTAGCTGCGCACTTCAAGGACTACAAATGCTCAGGTCATGCCCCCAGAGGCCACCTCTTTCTTTCCCATGGGGATTCCTCAACTGCAACCACGTCTAGGCTGACTTGAAGATCTTCCTCGCTCTACAGCAACAAGCTTCAACGACCTTACTCAGCGCAGAGAAAGATCATCTCAACATAGGCGCAAGCAGCCTTGTATTGCCAGCCGGCGCTCCGAACTTTGTCTGTTCTCGATCAAATCTTACTCTGCCGCGCTTCGAAAGTTTTCATTTAGTCCTCGGTTCAAGAGGCGGCACCATGGTCGACTCAACTGACCTCCAATGCGCTGGCTGGCGGGCGCCCGAAGAGAGTCTTTCCGAGCAGCCCAACCTCGGACGGGAAGTAAATGCGAGTATTCGAGAGAGGAATCTTAGTAGCGAGACGCATTCTAGCATCATCAACCACCACCACTTGGAGCGGAACATCCGGAACGATCACCTTCTTTTCGTCCCATGTCTCACGGCCGTGGTCCATAGAACCTGCTCGAGCTGTCATGGGGTCAAAGCCATTACGCAGCCCGCCCGACTGACCCCTCATGATCGTCTACGCCCTAGGTAATGCACCTCGGATTCTGCTCCGGCTCAGGCTCATTGATCCCAATTCTAGGGGCAAGTGAGAGTCAATTCACGCTTGCTCCCTATCATCGGCCTGTCTGCATAGCAGCCTCTGGAACTTTCCGTAGAAGCTGCCAGGAAGGAGTTGGAAGCCTCCCGAAATCAGGTTTTCGTACAACTCTTTCTTGGGCGGTGATGCTTGATCTACATGGCCAAGCTCTTGACGTCACATTCAAGAGGTATTAGACTTGGTACGTCTGCGGGACGGGTGGCCGTTTACTCTTGCGGCATAGAAAACAGACCATACATCTACAACGCCGCAAAGCAGAAGAAAAAGATTAACAAATATTCGGACAGAGTTGATCTGTAATCATAGTTCACCGGATGTATACAAGACGAATCTTGCTTGAAGTTCCAATTCCTTAGAAACAATTGTAAGGAAAAGAAGAAGAAACAGAGAAGGCGCAAAAGAAAGAAAGAAAAAGAAATTGCCTCATGTCAAGGCGGGATTTAACCGCTATAACTCCCCGAGGTGGGCTCGAACCACCAACCTCCAGATTAACAGTCTGACGCGCTAGCCAATTGTGCCATCGGGGATATGAGATATGATTGGATGGTGATTCGGGCGCATTTAGCGGGTTAGTAAGAGAATTCAATTTCGTCTCCGCGTTTTGCCCCAGGCCCCTGCCCAGCTCCGACCCCAGATCCAATCACCAAAGTGGTCGCGATACAGGTGGCTTGTGTTGGAAGGGAAAGAGGAAAAGAAGGAGCGAACCTTTGGCATGGCCGAGGATGCGCGTGCCTTAGACAATCAGAATGCCTCACGGAATAGTCCGGAGTACGGCGATCTAAGATGCACGAGAAGTGACGCTTCGCACCAAACTCCCCCATTGGGAATAAGCTTTCTTGATGAACAATTATTGGTTGGTTTGTCAAACCCACTCATCTCATCGGTCTTGGTGATTCCCCCTTGGATGGAGGCGCAAAAGGATTTTGAAGTAGCTATATCGATGAGAGATCGATTTTGATTACATTTCTTACTTTTATTCGTCATGACGTAGGAAAAGATATGAAGACTGCTCCCGACTGGTCGACCATGGAGCGCACAAGGCTTCATGTCACCATCAACCATGATATTTCTCTCGAGGTGTCTCTGAGACAACGCCCAATTCGATATGACTCTCATCTTCACGATTGCAATTACCAGACCTTCACTTTAGCACAGATGACCCTATTTCTTTCGTCCGGCAGTCACAATCGACGAATGTAGCAACGAGAACCTCTGCATCTGCCAAGACCCTTCGTGCAGGTACGCCACCAATTTTCCACCACTGGCGTCGATTCCCCTCATCCCAAGCTCAACCCCGCGTAGGTCATCACGCATCATGTCTTCGGGTTAACATCGCCCGTAGGCGATCATTCAAAATACACTTCAAGAAGGCGACCTCACCCTCATCGCCATTGAAGTTGACTTTGCATCAATCCATTTGGCCCATCCTTTCTCTCTCCCTCGCAATTATGTCACTCTCCGACCACGCGCAAAAGCTCACCAGCACGCTCGAGCAAGCTAAGCTCGTCCCCGGCTCGGCGGCGGTACTGATTCCAGAAGGTTTCCAACCGACGACCAAGCTCAAGGTCTCGTTCGCGGATAAGGCCGTCGACGCGGGCAACTTCTTCCGCGCGGGCGAGTGCAAGCTTGCGCCCAGCATCTCGTTCGCGGCCGAGGAGGGAGCCGAGTCGGGTACCTCGTACACGCTCTTCCTGACGGACCCGGACGCGCCCACACCGGACAACCCGCAGTTTGCGTTCTGGCGCCATTGGGTTCTGCCCGGTCTGCAGCCGCTCAGTGGGGGTGCAGTCGTCGCGCAGACGAAGCCGGCATTGACTGACTTTCTCGGACCCGGACCCAAGGATGAGTGAGTAGACAGACCCGCTCCGCGCGACTTCACCCAGCCATGATCCCAATGACTTGGGTAGCCTTCAGAAGTGACCTTGCTGATTCTGATTCCCCCTTAGCTCAAAGCCGCACAGGTACCTCTTCCTGCTCTACCGGGAACCTCAAGGACTGGATCTCAAGAAGGAGGATGTTGGCGGAGAGGAATTTGTGCAAAGGCGTTCATGGAAGCCTGCTGAATTTGCCCACAAGAATGGCCTGAAGCTCGTTGGAGTGAACTGGATGACCTGCGCTGGCGATGGCTGGACGGAGTGAGGCACAATGGCCGGATTGTGAGGCTGATGCAGACAGGAGACCCAACGCCATGGCAATTTGAGTCAGCGAAGGGTCACTGCAAGACTGTACCGTCCTTCAAGCTGCCTGGATCGAAGCTTCACGCCACCGGCTGCTCTAATTGCGGTTCTCGACCCTCGCTGGTGGTCTGAGACGCGGCATTGAGCCTCCATGTACGGCGAGATTCGGCGGCATCGTCATCGAGAATCATCGTGAAGCTGGTCCTATAGTCTAGTTGCTTAGGACGTCGGATTCTGATTGAAATATAATCATATCCTTCCGTAGGCCCAGGTTCGAATCCTGGTAGGACCTGAATCTTTTGCTCTGAACTGATATCTTTCCTTTTGCTGCTTAAACCGATATTGGGACTGAAGTCGAAGTTGTATGATGCATTTGTTAGAAGTTGTAGATGTTCAGTGTTAGAGTTTGGTGTTTCTTAATATGCCGTCCGTAACAGAAACCATGTCTTGCGTGCATGCCTAGATTGTAGTGGTCTGTGCCTGAGCCACGGTACTCCGGGACCCCTAACTGGCCTCTGCGATCTGAATTCCAGTGAGCGCGTCCCTGAATCGACGCTAATTATTTGCCATTCACCCGCCAAATATGTGGCCCGAATTGAATTTCGGACCACTTAACTAGTACTCCAAGACGCGTCTCCTCGTCGCGTTCCCCAAACATCACCATGATCCAACGTCGCCTAGTCCGTCGACAAAGCTCACTCGCAGCAGCGAAGAAGATCTTGGCGCAAGCCGACAGCGATCCAGACGTCGAAAACAAGAAGTCAGCGTCTAGACCACGTTCGGTAGCCAACAAAAAGTCTACACCTGTTTCACCACCGGCATCCAAGGACGCGTCGGAAGAAGATTTCAATCCAACTCTTCAAGAAGATGACGGCGACGATGTGAAGGACGTCATTGAGCCGCCGCCAAAGAGGCGCAAGGTTGAGAAGAATCCCAAGGCTCGAAAAGCAGACACTGCGAAACTCCATGCGCGTCTCTTCGGTCCACCGCAGCAACAGCCGGGGACGCAAGATGCCTGCTGCTTCGGTCCACCGCAGCAACAGCCGGGGACGCAAGATGCCTGCTGCTCGCCCGCCGCATCAAGAACGCACGCCACCTCCTACCATCGCCCTCTCCTCCTAGACGGTCAACCAGGCCGACTCGGGCGCGATGCTCTCCTCGGCTGGTTCGACTCCATCAGCACAACCCGCGGCATGCCCTGGCGCAAGCCCTGGATCGATCCTGCAGAAACCTCGCCAAACGACGCCGCCGACCTCCGCAGCGCCCTCGAAAAGCGCGCCTACGAAGTCTGGATCAGCGAGATCATGCTCCAGCAGACCCGCGTCGCCGTAGTAATCGACTACTGGAACAGATGGATGGCCCGCTGGCCCACGATTCAGGACCTCGCGGCCGCTGAGCCTGAAGATGTGCTGAGCGCCTGGCGCGGGCTGGGCTACTACAGCCGTGCCACGAGGATTCACGAGGCTGCGAAGCTGGTCGTCGCAGACCCGACCTGGCGGGGCCTGATGCCCTCCGATACAGCCGAGCTTGAGGCCAAGGTCCCAGGCGTGGGGCGGTACACGGCCGGTGCCGTCGCTGCAATTGTGTTTGGCGAGGCCGCGCCCATGGTTGATGGGAATGTGCTCCGCGTGCTGAGCAGACAGTTGGGGCTTTATGGGAATGCTAAGACGGATAAGGCTGTTATTGATTTGCTCTGGGCAGCTGCAGATGCGCTCGTCAAGGCGGTTGCAAGAGACGGAACCGACGAAGATGGCGCTGAGCTTGCTGAGAATGCGCCGCTGAGTGACCGTCCTGGACGATGGGGACAGGCCTTGATGGAACTCGGGAGCACCGTCTGCACACCGAAGCCAAACTGCGGCGAGTGTCCCGTCACCTCCACATGCCGTGCGTACGCAGAGGGTCTCCAAATAGCAGCCAAGAAGTCGAGGAAAGCGGCTGAAAAGGTCGAGGATATCGAGGACCTGTGCCCAGTTTGCGAACCTTTTGAAGAAGCCACAGGCGAGACCACCCCCTCTGAGGAAGATTCCGAAGCTGAGTCGCTCAAGCGGAAGCCGGCAAAGGGGGCTAAGAAAGGCGTAAAGACACAACCGGGGCCAAAGCAGGCGACATTATCCGCCTTTTTCACCTCGAAGACGGCAAAGAAGAAGGAGGAAGCGCAGCCTAGGGTTGCCCAAATTGATGCAAGAACACTAGAAATCATCGCGGAACACGCTCGAAAGTTCCCCCTCAAGGTGGTCAAGAAGGCAGTTAGAGAGGAAGAGGCCCTGGTCTGCGCAGTCCGGCGTAGCGACGACGGTCGATTCCTAATACACAGGCGTCCGGAGAAGGGACTCCTCGCCGGGCTGTGGGAGTTGCCCAGCCACACGCTGCCGTCTACCAGCGGCAACACCGCGACGTCGCGGAAGAAGGACGCTCAGGGATATATCTCGGGACTCATCGGCGGTGGTGGAGACAAGAAGTGGAGGCTGAAACATGCTGGGGAGCTGGGCAGCGTGCCGTGGCTTTTTTCTCACCTGAAGCTTACGATGCATGTGCATCTCTTCGAGGTAGATGGCTCTGAAGACCTCGTCTCGTCGCACGCGCGACATCGATGGGCTACGGTTGAGGAGATTGATGAAGAGTCTATGGGGACGGGGATGCGCAAGTCCTGGGCTTTGGTGAGGGAGAGGTACGAGTAGTGTAAATATGAATGGATTGGCCCGCGTTATGCGTCGGCAACCATGTAAACAGCACAAATTTCCAAATGGGCCATTAAACCTTACCCTGTTTGAAGGTACTTCATCTTAGGTAACTTCGATTTGGGGAATCGTATGAGATGTAACTCTGCTTAGTTGCACTTATGGAACTGCGGGCTTCCAGTGCGTAACAATTCCGTCCCTACAAACACTGTACCTGAGTGTCACCAACCTTCTTAAGCGAGAACCAAGGAACATTTCCTACTTCGTGCCTCATTGTTTGTCTTAGTGATTGATTTGATGGAGACGACAGTGAACGAACGTGAGAACCTGGGCTCGGCGGCCTTTGGCTTTTGCATCCCTCGGCACGGCATTGGTCAATAAAATCAGTACTGCTTTGTAGATTGCTGCTCAGTTCCTTGTTGACTACACTAGAGGCCACTCGGCAGTCCTCATTGAGTGCGAGCGAACCGGTGCCGTAGAATGTAGAAATATGTGATATCGCACGTATATGTACTTTTGCATAAAGATATTCCAGTGGTCCAACCATCCTTGAGGAATTATTAACCCTATCTCACCTAATCCTGAGACATAATTCACGGCTTATCTTGGCCTCCTAATAACAACCATGGCGACATGAATATAGACCAATCAAGTTCAGGTCATACAGTTAGTATATGAATTCCACTGAAATATATGCTCTCAGAGACTACATGGAATCAATAACCTCACGGCAGCTTACAAGTGGGCAACGACATCTCCATGCGCTACTGATTGTTGAAACCCAGGAAACCCCGCAGAGACCTCTTCATCAACAAACTTCAGATAGGGCCGCAGCCCGCCAAAGAAGAAGTTAGTGTTGGTCTTCTTCCCGGGAATGTTCTGGCTCAAAATCCAACTGGGAGTCTTGGCGAATAGAGATCCCTTCAGCATGCTGTTACACAGCTCTACCCAGTCCGACTCGGCTTGCCTCTTGGCCTCCATGATCATCCGCCTCCTTTGGCTACGTGTAAAAACCGCTTCCTTGCCCAAGATTCCGGCCTCCTCACCTTCTGCTGGCTCTGCATCCGAGTGCGAGCCTTCGGCGTGCTGAATAATCGACATGATGAAGTCGACCTCTAACTCCACGACCGGAGGGAAATTTGCGAAAGGGCTCTGCGGCCCAGAGATGAGAAACATGTTGGGGAAGCCAGCGCAAGCAACGGCGCCGAAGGTCGTAGCTCCATTACCCCAGTGGTCTTTCAACGTGCCATTTCGACCCGTCACATGGATCCTCGTGTAGCTACCGTCGACCGCCTCGAATCCCGTAGCGAAAATGAGCACATCAATGTCGTGGACGGTCCCATCGGCTAGCTCAATCCCTTGAGGAACCAGACGTCTGATGCCGTTCGCCTGAAGGTCCATCACGTCAACGTTATCGCGATTAAAGATCTGATAATATCCAAAGTCGCAGAGCGGTCGTCTCGCATAAGCCTCCCGCGGTTTCAAAATGTGCGCCTTGCGAGGGTCTTTGACGATCTCGTCGATTTTGCCGCGTATGAAATCGCAGGCCGCTTCATTGGCTTCTTCGTCGGTGACGATGTCGCCAAAGGCGCTGAACATGAAGCGGAACCCGTTGCCCTGAGACCATACTTCCTCAAAGGCCTGTTTCTCTCTTCGGGCGTCGCGTCGGTCGCCTTGCGCGTCACTTCTGGGACGCCGAACCCGACACTCGAGGACCAGACGTTGTCCCAGATCTTATCGTAGTCCGCATTGATATTTTGTCGATAGCTAGGGTCGACTGGCCCCTGGCCGCTGGGCACCGAGTATTGTGCCCGTCGTTGGAAGAGAGTGAGGTGACCCACGATGGGCGCAATTGCCGTCATGACTTGGACGCCGGTGGAACCGCTACCGATTATGCCGACTCTCTTTTCCCTTAGCTCGATGGTATCATCCCACTTTCCTGTATGACACGTGGTGCCCTGGTAATCTTTCAAGCCGGGAATATCTGGATAATTCGCCTTGGAAAGTACGCCAAGCGAGTTGACGAGGTATCGGGCATGATACACGGTTCTTTCGGAGCTGGTCCCTGTCGAGGAGCACTCGATCCGCCAGCGATGTAGACTGTCGTTTCACGTCGCTGACTGCATCTGACAGTTGAAAGTCATGTACTTTCGCAAGGCGTGCTTCGCTACAACATGTTCGAGATATTTCAGGATCTCGGACTGGTAGACGTAATGGTGCGACCAGGGGTACGTTTGCAGGTCGTCCTTATCCCAGGAGTAACGATACAGATAGCTTTCTGTATCGCTCATGGCGCCGGGATATCTGTTCCAGTACCATGTGCCTCCGACGTCGCTGGCCATTTCGACGGTTTGGACCTTCATGCGCGGTTGCATACGGGTTAGTCGGTATGTTGCGTAAATGCCGCCGAATCCTGCCCCCACGACGAGGGCATTGACCTCGATAGGCTGAGCCATAATAATCATACTACGGGATGTTGTCGTCAGAATTCCGCTTCACATAGAGATGAAGTGATGGCGTGTGTGATATGGATTGTATTTTCACAGGTTGGTGGGATTTATATCTCGCCATGGTAGTAAATCAGGGGCTGGGCGGGGTTTACGACAGTTATGGAAGATGTCATCCGCAGGCCCAGAAGCCTCTGGATGGACACATCAGATCACCTTGAACGGTAGCATGAATGTAACCGCAGCTTTCTCGAAAAGGCAGAATCGTCTAGTGGACGTTAGTGTGATGTTCATCTGGAAAGATGCACTCATGCATTTCGATACCACCAGCGAATCGGATTCCGTCTGGAGAACTATCTGCGGAGAACGGCCCGAACAACTCTCCACACTAAATGCGCCGAGCAAGACATTGACGTGCCAGTCACCGAGGCATTCGATATTTCGTGTTTGAGAGCCAAGTCACCAATGCATCAACGGATTTCCAAGTTGAGCCACGTACAGCGGGCGGGGTAGATACGTGGCCCGATGCGCCCTGATTTTCTCATAACGATGATGAGCTTGAAGAAGCATTCCAACAACCAGTCCATTACGGGAATGCGACATCCAATGAGCCTAGTCTCTTTATCCCCTGACAGCACAAGCCGGTACCTTGATTTTCTCGATACTTAATACCACACGAGGTTATTACCGATTGGTCAATGTCAGATTGATATCATTTTACTCAAAGTCGACCTTGAGGAGATCTGCCTTGAGAGCCTTCGTGATTTTTGTTTTTCCAGTAGCTTCTTCAGTCACCAATATCTCCATATTGACAACCTACCGCTCAACATCATGGTGGAACGTTGGCCTAGCAACGCCAGCCACTGGTATAGTTTGAACGTCGAGTCTTTAGGCTTGAGACAACACTCAATGTGAACTACTAGCTGGCCGGAGCTATTGAAGTTTGGCTTTTCAAGATCCCATGGTTCACCACCGCTGATTATTGCGTATCTTCCCTGCGCAGTTGCGGCAAAGTGAAGTTGATGATCATCAGGTACTCCAGTCAATGAACTCTACTTGTTATCACGTATCTATCTCTCATTCTAACTCTCAGAGCCAAATCCCCGTTAGCGAGCCCTGAACCTTCATGTAAGGACAGAGCTAGTCTGGTCAGGTTTCGTCTACTGTCAGGCCTTTGATAGGTGAGTTCTAAGGTTCATGGTATCTAACCATGGACAAAAAGATTGCAAAATATGATCGTCGAAGTCGTGAGCACAAGAAAATCAAAAGGATTGGGCCCTAACCAGGATTCGAACCTGGGACCTCTCCCAGATGGTTGTATCCGAAGATGCACCCTAAGGGAGAATCATACCGCTAGACCATCAGGGCGACTGAGGGCGGAGTGGTGAACTCGATGTGTTGGCGAGGCCGGGAAAGGATTTTTGATCAGTTCACGATGTGTGGGGTGGAGTTTTGACATGGATGGCGAGGGTAGACAGAAAGAAAGTGGGGCTGAAAGGGCTCACCACACCGAGTCACCGAGGCTGAGTCTGACCGGCGAGGACTTAGCAAGAACGGCCAGTTGAGCCTAGGAAACTAGCAGATCTAGCAGCTTGACGGAGCTTTAGCCTTTTGCTCGCCCTGTAGCCTACATGTAGAAAAGTTGATTTGTTCCATTCAAATCAGAATGGAACTTGAAATCTGTTCGGTGGAAAAAGTAGTCGTACCGGCGCGGAAAATCAAAACGCTCGACATGAGACAACTGCAATCAACAGCCAAATGCTCAGTCGTCTCTTAAACCGTCACTCCTTGGGACTACGAGGCTATTTGCGCGTTTTTGCAGACATTTCAGTGACTTAGGCAAGCTCTCTCTCCATCGTGGAAGATGTTGAGCAGTTCGACCTTCGATACTTGCAACTATCCTTCAAGTCTCTTCATCATGTTGTGACCCTTTTTCAGTTGACAGCTTCGGCTTGGCCTCAATTACACTTACGACTTGGTGCATCAACTTGAGATGAACAGGGTGGATCTTTCACGCTCGAGAAGCCCGACATTAAATTGAGAAGGTTACAAGTCGGGCCGTAAATTTACTTTAACTCATTTTGCATGAGCGTCTATGCTCGATCGATTCGGAATTTTCGCCAAGGCAGCAGTACATCCAATTTCACTGTGACAATTCCTGTCGTTGATGAAGCACCAAGCCCGTCGAAAGCACGCACACGGTCAACTTTGACACCTTTATGACGAGACTCACCCACGTGTTGACTAGAAAACGACGTCTCGGGTCGTCCCTTGTAAGAGCCATATCGTGACTCGTCGCGTTCTTAGTTACCATGGATACCCCGGCAGAAGCCAGCGGAAACGCTCTAAATGAAGTGAAATCCAGTTTCGTCATACTTGATTGATGTTGTAATATCTGTGTTCATGCCACATCAACTTCATTGCCTCTTCCGCCAGTAGCACCGGCCTTCTAGAGCATGTACTACGTAAGGTCCTATTTTTGACTATTTTTGAGACCACAGCGAGGTGGAAACAGACGAAGCAGAGCGCTATAGTCTTTTCCCAGCAAAGGAAATGCGATTTACTACTGTATCCAATTTCAGTCTGTGTTCACAGTTCGATTGGGAGGAGGCTAACGAGAGGTTGCCGAAAGGTCAAGATGCCAAATGACGCAAGATGCGCGAAGTCCGGTTTACCTCATGAGCGTGAGTGCTGAGCGAACCATAGTGTCATCTGTTAATGATGGGGGCGGAAACGAGTTCCCACGTTGCGGCCTGCCGCACGGCTGCGTAGAGTGAACTCAAATCTTGTTTCTGTTATTGTGACCGAGCGTCGATAGTAACATGGGACCTTCAAACTCAATATTGAGCCAAGAGTACACATTCCTAACTTTTGGACGTTTCTTCAAGAAGAAAGAAGAAATCGAAGCCACCTTGTGGAAGAGAACAACGCTCACAGTTTGCCGTTTAGAGATTTCGAAGTCCATCAGAAGAGGTCTTCAACTGTCTTTTTATGGAGTACTGTAGGCAGGAACATGACACTAGAGTCTTTTCAGTTTTCACACGTGAGTCTCGCCAGGTCAGCTGATGAAAAATGTTTTGGTTTGAGTTGAACCATGCTGCTCGGCATGGAGTGAGCCAACTCGGATGTCAGGTCCTGAGAAACGTACAGTTGCACCGCAATGTCGATGGAACCTGGGTCAACGTTCTTCTAAGATAGGACGACCTCGAATGTGATGCCTATGATTTTCCGCCAATTGCCAGCGATTACAGATAAAAGTGTATTTACCACAAACTCAATGTGCGAAGTTCGAGAGGTTCGCGCCGCTAATACACCAATGAGCTCACATTGGCCCTTGATTCCTTCACATGTACACTCTCAGTGGTAGAAATTCTACATGCTTGGAAGCAGAGTACAGCTTGCTCAAGTTTCTCTGCAAGAAGTTCAACAACTTCCAAATATGCGGTGAAGGAAAGCTTGGCCAGCCGGTGACGAGGGCTGACGTTGTCAAGCTACCGCCAATTGCTAGTTTGCTTACTTGTTGCATTGAACCCAGACTTTAGAGGATTACCCAATTATCACAAGGTCAACGAAACGCCACCAAATGATCCAATTTTCACGCGCTTGGAGGCTTGACTGCTATTGAAAAACGGTCTGCGGACAAACATCAAAAGTCCAGAGGAGGTTCGGCCATTACTTCGGTTCATTTAGACCGAGTGGATGTCGCCACGCCGGCACTTCTAGCAAGTCCCCAATTGCTGATGAAGAGATGTACCGAGCCATGTAATGGATATTAGGGGGAGGGACAAAGCATATGCACGTTGAAATTCCCCTTGCAGCGGCAGTGGTCCGGCGGTAACACCTGTCTGATGGAGTAGGTAACGCTTTGCTAACGGGCGGCTTCCTCCGGTTGCAAGCACCACAGCGCCCGCCGTCGAACAAGGTTGTGGAGATGTCTGTCATATGAGTGGACGCTGCCTGGTCTTGTGGGGAGTTGGGAGTCAGAAACCGACCAGAGGCTTGGAATGATGGTCGCTTGGGATACCTTGGCGGGGCTTCTACTAGGACTATCGGAGGCGGACTGATAGACCGCAATTTCTGTAACGTCTTGTCCACAACGCGAGATGGCTGTGAAGTAAAAGGAGAACAAATTGATGGATCTCTGGATCAATCAGTAGAGAGACGCAAGGAAAGCATACCCATCATCCCCATCCTCGCGCGATCTCTCGCCATCATCTTTACAAACCGCCGAGTATTTGCAGACATTGTATGCGGATGAAAAGTTCCTGCTTGACAGGGAGAATCTCAAGGTGGCACGGATTACGCTGGGGGTATCTGTGTATTTGCATAGTAATACGGGCCTTGGCAAGGGTTCTGATCTCGGCGCCATGGGTATGATGTGTCCAGGGCAATGGAGCAAACAAATTGGATATCGCGGACGGAATCGTTTTCCGAAGAGCTAGATTAGTTTGCAATCATTACCGACGCTTAGTGTGCAAAGCTGGGGTTCTGCTCATTCCCGTATACTTAATTCAAAGGCGGGATGAGGGGATGTAGAACCTCAGTTTATACACTCCGGATGACCCGAGTCAGCGCTCCGAATCAAGTGCAGTAATTGCACTTCGCAAGCACAAAAGCCGCCTAAACAACATTATTCTCTTGATTGTTGACACATCTGGACTTTCAAGATTGAGACGAAGGTTGTTAGGTAAGCGGAGATGGAATCAACTATTGTACCCAGAACGGCCCCGAGGCATTAATAGGAGGCATTATTGGCCTGCAAAGTACGAGTTCTGCCCTTGGAAGTTCTCCCATGGGCAAATCGCCACGGATTCGTCCGAACCCAATGATCGCCCTGACGGCATCCCGTCCATCCAGAAAGAGTGCGTTCCTCGCATGTTGTATCTGCGGATGTAACTCTGTGCCTGAGGGTCAGGCGTAATGTTGTAATCGCGACATCCCAGCCCACATGCGGCAAGGCAATCTGTACGATGCTTGATCATGGGTGTAAGCAAGTCTGGAAAAGATAGCATAAGTTGGCCTATAGTCAACAGACCCCTGTCTTAAGATCTTGCCATTTATGAGAGGTGGCTGGGTGAGGTAGTAGTCCAGTGCGTAAAGGCGCTTACTGCTGCTTCACAATGAAGATCAGGGGTCAGCCTAGGTCGTTCACCTGAAAAGAGAGAATGCAGATAGATTGCGAACTAGACACAACCTCCCCTCATTATACGAGGAAAGGGAGATGATGCACTATCCAAGGAAAACTGGCACGTCTGTCTGGCGCGGCTGGCAAGAGTCTCCAACATAGAGCTTTGTGTTTTATATCTCAGAGTGGAGTTTTTGACACACGGGAGCGCAGAGCATGAAGCAAGAGAAAGAAGCGGGAGAAGAATACCACTCACACAACGTTGATCTCAATGTGGCCCCGACATCCGGATTGGCCCCTCCAGAGTCTCGTGGGCGGTCAATTTGAATGTCGAAAGTCTTGCGAGCCTTGATGGGCAATGTTGATTGCTGTCAGCCCAGGGGGTCTGTTGGTCCAGCCCGGCTTTGGTACTTTGGCAATTCCTGACCGATGCTTATTGTCCCGTAATCCCTTTTGGGGCGCAATCTCGGGGTGGGCTTCTCACACAAAGACATTATCCACCCATGGGCCATGACCCCCTCAGCTAACAATTCTGGCCAGACTGTGGCCGGGCGACTCCGACCCCCACAAACGGCCGAGCGGCGAGTCGGAGTGCCCCTTATGACCGATTGTGGTTCCTGGGGAGGCCTCCCGGCTCAGTCCGTACGGAAGCCGATGAATCTCTAAACTCGGCTCCCAGTGTGAGCATCGCGGAAACAGAAGAGAGTTCATCGAGAAACACCAAAAAGTCAAAAAACCACAGAGGTTTGGCTGGTCTCTCGAGCAGAACAAAGCTCTTCACGACTGAGTTGTCTCGATTGGACCGGGAACCTCGGCCAGCGCAGCCCAAATGTGCGCCGATCTATGGGTGCCAGAATGTCTTGGCACACTCTATTGAAAAGTCTTGGCGACTCCTTTCCAGAATTTTCTTGGCACACATCACAACCCATCACGTTTCTGGAGTGAGTGCCGGGGGCACACACGACCATCCAACAGAACTTGAGTCGTTTTCGCATTGGTGGAATTAGGTCCATGACTAGAAGAACTGGGCCTCGCCAGATCACGCCCCCTTGCCAACCTGCCGGGCTCATCTGCTATGATGCCCACCCTCATGGGTCAATATTTAGTGTTAAGGTGACAATGTTGAGAGCATCCGATCTCCGCTCCCATCTTCGCCTATTCGTGCCTAGGCCACGGGTTATCCGCATTCCCAGGTAGTTCGGCAAACAAGCGGATTTTCACTCACACACCGCCAGAGCACAAAAACCGGTATCCGTTGTTTAACCATGTCTCGATGCAACGGGAATCGGAGCCTCGTCCGACAGGGCAGGCCCAAAAGCGATGGCAACGGTGACATTGAGAGCCTCCTTTGGCCATTTTCGGATCCCGATGGTGCTGTTTCCGGCCTGCAAGTCGCATCCCACCCGCAATGCCAGACGCAGGCGCGTTGGTGATATATTGTTAGAATTGGAGATCATTTGACTCTATCGCGATTGTCGCATTATGTCTGGCGGGGTCTGTCTCGGGTTGTTTGCAATTTAGACATGTCGCAAAAGACTACCGAACTGATTCAGCAGCTTTGGACTTTGATCCACCAGTGACGGAAGTTGAACTTTGACAGTGGCATGCCGCATGTTGGATCTGGTTCAGATGAGCGCTGTCTCAGCGGCAACGTGCTTCTGCCGCCCCCCTTGCTGCTAGCGCACAGCCTGCATTGCGCTGGTCCAGCTTTTTCTCTCTGCTTCGGCTCCAGCGATACCCCGGAAAGCTGATTAAGGTCAATAAGCTTGAACAGGGGTGGTGGACATGTGTCCATGGGAGCAGATTTTGCGGTCAAGGGGGGACTGGGCTGCGCCGTGCACTGACAATATGCTGCCAGTAGCTGGGGGAAATTCGAGAGAGATAATAATATCAGGCTTGCCACGGGTTAAAAGTACCATCCTGGGTTAGCCGGGACCCTCATTGTGCGGCAGAGAAAATCAGACTTCGCGGGATCACGCTCCACCCCAAAACACGTCAGACAGATTTTCCCTAAACCTTCGAGAGGTTATTCGATAAACGGCTCAACCATGGCTGCAAGGAGCCAAGAACTCATAGGCAACTACCGTAGTACCGATGTCTTGGGTATCAGCTCTCGCTAGAATACAAACAGAAACCAGCTAGAATAGTGAGGACACTACCGCCACCCATTGCCACTTTTTTGAGTCTCTCTCCTCCGACGCCAGTCCGTGAGGCCGGGAATTACTCAGGACCGTGGTAACGGGTCTTATCTAAATAGACGTTGGTTCCATCTCGAAAAGGCCCCAGTTCATCTCCCTTCGATATACAACCGAAACCAGGGTACGGACCAATGGGAGCTGTTCCCGCGCGCTAGCGACGGAAACATTGCGGATTCTGGCCGACAGTCTGCTTTTTGCGTCTTTCTGCTCACGGCATAAGCTCCGAGAGCGAGACACGGTTTCTGTCAACAGAGTGCTGCCCAGCACTGCAGAAATCCCCCAAATCTCTGACTTCCCATCCGTAGTTTTCCCAAAGAGGACGTTACTGTGGATCCTAACTCCATCTTTTTGAACATGGTCTAATCTTTCAACTCACATACTAACCTTGTGACAGCCCCTGACTTGTTTCATGGTTAACCAGGAAGACAGCGCCACATTTTAGACAAATACGAAATGCGAGCCTACTCTGGGTAAGCGTAAGTCCCGGGTCTGCGAGGCAAAGAGTGAAATTCCAACTTGCTCAGGTTCCCCATCTCCAACACATACTCAGCACGGTCATGGATCACCCCCTGAGCCCATAGCCGTGGACAAATTGTTGACGGGAATGCCTCCATGTCATGCTGTGTACCTCCTTAGACACCGGGCAGTCTTTCTGCCCCCTCAGACGTTGAAACAGCTTGTCGCTGCGCTGATGACTGCGGCTCGCCGAGGCGCCCGAACCACTTTCTGATATCGGGGTGGATCATACGGACAGGGAAGGAAGGCTCTGCCCGAAATGAATCGACAGACTCCTCGCTAACTACCCGTCCTTGTCGATTCAGGCAGAGGCGAAAAGGAAGAAGGGGGCCTTGTCCCTTCCATCCCATTCTCGTGAGCTCAGGTCGGGGGGGGGGGGTGTAGCTCGTCCACGAACCAGGACACAAACTAGCCACTCGCCAACACTCCCGTGAGCTCCATCGTGGGCCAGACTGCGGGCTGTGAACTTTTGGACCTCGTCGCCTCAGTTCACCCCCAGCCCTGGGCAAAAGCTTGTGTATCCGTGTCACTGTGAGCTGTTCAACCTGCCAAGGTTCCACTATCTAAGGTCTTGGCAGCGTGAATGAGATGCAGGATCAGGATGACTGCTGCGGGGAGGGGAGAGTATGTGGTTGAGGAGCTTCGAGGAGAGCAGAATTTCCCAGAATCTGCCCAAGATCTAAAGATATAAGAAGGTTGCAAGCTCCCGTCCGTCAAACCTTCTTTTCTTTTATTCCTCATCACCTTCATCAGCATCTTCCGCTACAGTCTCTCTTTACCAATCCAACTACTCACATTCTTTAGCCCTGGTGGTTATTCATTCGTTGTCAACACTTCCAAACTACTTCCAACTCTACGTGTTTTCTTAAACCAACCACCACATTCAAAATGAAGTTCTCCGCTGTCCTCGCTGCCCTTTCGGCCTCTGCCGTCATCGCCGCCCCCGGCGCCGAGTCCTCCCCCAACAACTTCGGTGCCATCGAGAAGCGCGCCTCCTTCCCCATCCCCGCCTCCAAGGGCACCGTCACCTACAAGGCCGCTCAGTCCGTCAAGGGCACCTTCGATGGTGGCATGAAGACCTACGGCCGTGGCGTCAAGTGCACTGGCCAGGCTGAGGGTGGCGACAAGGACGCCGTCTTCCTCCTCGAGAACGGCGCTACCCTCAAGAACGCCATCATCGGTGCCGACCAGATCGAGGGTGTCCACTGCAAGGGCTCCTGCACCATCAACAACGTCTGGTGGACCGCCGTCTGCGAGGACGCTCTCTCCCTCAAGGGTGACGGCAACGCCTCCATCATTGGTGGTGGTGCCCGCGGAGCCGAGGACAAGGTCATCCAGCACAACGGTCTCGGCACCGTCACCATTGACGGCTTCACCGTCGTCGACTTCGGCAAGCTCTACCGCTCCTGCGGTAACTGCAAGACCATGGGCAAGCGCACCGTCGTTGTCAAGAACGTCAAAGCCTACAACGGCAAGATGCTCACCGGCATCAACTCCAACAAGGGTGACACCTCCACCATCACCGGCACCTGCGCCACCTCCGTCAAGGAGATCTGCACCGAGTTCCAGGGCACCACCCCCGGCAACGAGCCCAAGAAGATTGGCAGTGGCCCGTCCAGCGCCTGCAAGTACTCCACCCTCAAGGCCTGCTAAATGGCTCGCTCCTGAGCTGTTTGCTGTTCTTGAATTCCGATCTTGGTCGCCGACACAGCTTGCTGTAGCGGCAACGGTGCTGCTCTTGCCGCACTCGGTCTCTGAGAGACTGCTAGTGAACTTTGTTTTTGGTTAAAGAACTTAGGAAGGAAGAAACCACCTTTTCTTTTCTGTGGTGTGTAAGCTGATGCGCATCACTTGGCCCCTTGGCCATTCTCTGTATATATGGACATGGGGAGCATGTACCTACAATATAATCCTCATGACTTGACTCAACTACTTTCCCTTCTCCCATCGTGAATCCCAATCGACTAAGTGACAGTGGTGAGCATAATTACTCCGTCTTGATTTCTCCGCGCGTCTACATCAACATCTGAATGGTTGCAAATTCTTATTGCGTTATCTCCGCTCTATACATCTTCGTCGACAGCCATAGCGACCTCATTAGTGTCTCTTCGCCTGGGAGTCGGCGATCGTTCTCTAACAACTGGGAGAGCAGCAGATACTCGGTCAAAATAAGTTGTCGAGCGCAATAATCGGCAGTAGCCCGACTTCACAGCCTACCGGACACAGTCGTCCAGCATTATCTGCACCATCACAGGAGAATGCTCACTTTCACCCTCTTCATCTACCACGTCCTCCCTTGTATTCGTCACATAAATCTCTTTCTACAAGAATCTGGAACACGGAATGCTGGAAGAAAAGAACAACCAGTATATGAATCCTAAAATTGTCAGCGAGAAGTGAGTAAGTGGCGTGAATTGTTGCATGTCGATGCGATGAAGTCTTCATAACATGAAGTCAAAGAGTGGGGCGCTTGGATCACCAAAAAGCGCATCCACCGAGCAGACTGAACCTTAAAAAAAGCGTCGATCCGATAGATCGGATCTGTCAAATGCAGGTCATCGCAAGTGGCATCCACCGGCGCCAACAAGGGGAGTTTGTTTCCTCCCGCAAAATGGCGTGGAACCTTAATGCTAAGAATGTTCGTCAACGGCTATCACGGCATCGCGCAGACGGAAGCACGGCACCACGGCATCGCGGCACACACAACCGAGGCCAAGCTGGGGGTCCTTAGTCTTACGCGTCAACTTCGAGCCAAGTCTGGTCTAAACATCCTGGCAAGTCTCCAGAATTTCTAAAGCAGCAGTTCTCATTGAGATTTTATCTTAAATAGCCAACCTCGCCCTCATCAGGCCTGGTTTTGGAAACGACGAACGACCGGCCCACCATAAAAACACCATCGTATCATTCTCAAGAACAGCGACGCCTTCACAAGGCACCGTATGCACCTCCACCTGGACTCCCTATGACCGAGCTGTTAGCAAGCCGATAATCCCGACATCGATGAACCACACTCACTGATGATGATCCGATCTCCCTTCTTCATCTCGCAACTGTTCTTCCCGCCGAGGTTGATCTCCCGTGTCCCGTACTCGTCATGCCGAACCCACACGTTCTCGCCGAGAGCTCCAGGTTCGCCTCCAGCTAGACCGTAAGGAGGAACCGTCCGCCTCTCACTGAGCACACTGACGTGCAAGTCTCGACGAAACTCGATCTCGCGGATGCAACCGTCTCCTCCGTTATACTTGCCTCGGCCGCCTGACCCACGTCGAATACCGAATTCGCGGAGAATACACGGGTATCGACGCTCCAGGGACTCCGGGTCCGTGATTCTAGTGTTGGTCATGTGGACGTGTACGCCAGATTGGCCTTCCCAGCTCGGTCCTGCACCGGCACCGCCCGCGATGGTCTTGTTTCGATGGGAGTTAGCATACGGAGACTAATATGATGCGCGAGAGAGGATCGATGACTTACCTCGTAGTATCCGAACCCAGGCTTTGCTTTCCCATCGACCATCTCACCTCCATACCCAAAAGTCAAGTTATTACACGTTCCCTGGCTAGCCGCTGCAGCTTGGAAGGCTCTCAACACCACATCCGTTACTCTCTGTGACGTTTCGACATTCCCACCGACTGTAGCAGCACCCAAGGAAGGTGATATAATCGTCCCAGAGGGTATGATGACGTTGATGGGTGCCAAGCAACCCTGGTTCAACGGAATGTCCTCCTTGACTAGCGAACGCAAGACATAGATGATGGCGCTAAAGGTAATGGCGCGGGGTGCGTTGAGGTTACCGTACATCTCCCGACTGGTCCCTGTGAAATTAAAGACGGCAGAGCCCTCTTCGCGATTGATGCGGATCTTGAGCTTGAGCTTCGATCCATCGTCCATCTGGTCCTCGGCCTCGAGTGGGAGACCACCGAACTGGTCGTGGACTTGGCGGAGAAGGTTTCGGACCACCTTCTCGGCGTTGTCCTGGATTCCGAGCATGTATTTCTGTTGTTGACCGTCAATGATACGCTGCTCCAACCATGGAAATCTACTGTAGATGGACTGCACTTACCTGAACCGTAGGTAGACCGTATTCCTTGATGGAGTCCTGAATGAGTCTGATGCCCTTCTGATTGGCAGCTATCTGTGCCTTCAGATCGCTCACGTTGTCATTCCACGTCCTTGTTCCAGAAGAACCAGGGTACGACGCCGGCTTCTTTAGCATGATCTCAGCAAGACCTTCCTCGTCGAATCTACCCCCGTCCACCAGCTTGAAGGACAGGAACGAAGCTCCCTCCTGCCAGATCTCCTTGGAATGCGGCGGCATGGAACCAGCAGAGATGCCGCCAATGTCAGCATGGTGAGCTCGAGAAGCTGTCCAAAAGAGGACCTCGTTGGTGTTTTCATCGATCACTGGTGAGATTACCGTCATGTCAGGGAGGTGAGATCCGCCGGCGGCCGGGTGGTTGGAGACTAATACATCTCCAGGTCGAAGGGAATTACCCCAGCGCTCGGCCTGGTATGCCACCGCATAGCTCATGGCGCCTAAGTGACACGGGATATGCGGCGCGTTGGCCACCAGACCACCTGTGGGAGAGAATATGGCGCAAGAGTAGTCCAGCCTCTCCTTGATGTTGACGGAGACCGAAGTCATCTGCAGTGACCTGCCCATCTGCTCCGCTATGCTCATGAACCGGTGACCGAATACTGATAGCTGAATTGGGTCGACCTCAGCCGTCTCGACTGGAAGACCGACGGAGCCTTGCGAAACTGAATCCTTGTCGAGAAGTAGGTGACGGGGAAGTACCGTCGCAGTCCAAGACGGCTGGATCATAATGGTCTGAGTCTGGTCCAGGATGATTGCCGGACCAACGACCCGCTCACCCGGCGCAAGATTTCCGAACTTGAAGAGGTCGACCTCATGCCACTTGCCACTCGTGTACAGCTTCGTAGTGCTGATCTTCTTGTCACTCTCTACCAGCTTCGTCTTAACAGACTTCAGAGCTTGCGATACGCTGGTCACGTTGGAGTCGGGTGTCTTTCCAAGCGCGCGGACTCGAATATCCTCCACCAGGATGTCGCGGTCCAAAACGAAGCCGAACTCCTCCTCATGGTGCTCGACAAATTCACGAGTGAAATCCCATGACTCCTCGGGCTTCCGGATCATGAGCGAGCTGTTGGTTCCCTTGTACCGAAGGTTGAGGAACAGCTCGTGCTCGATCTGTTCATCTGAGAACCCCTGGGCGACCAGTGTCGCGGTAGCTTCGTCCGTCAAAATCTTGAACTCCTCTGCCAGCTGCTTATCGGAGAGGTCAAAAAGCTCAGCCGCCTTGGGACGCTGGATCTCATGCGTCAAATCAGCCAGCGCCATGCCGTACGCTGATAAAATGGACGATAGCCGGTGAATGACGACGCGCTCTACGCCCAGCGCTCCAGCAACGTCACACGCATGTTGCCCGCCAGCGCCTCCGAAAGTGGCTAGAACATGATCTGACGTGCGAATGCCTCTGCCTTCTGTGAGCGAGCGTATCGGTCTGCTCATGCTCTCGTTGGCGACGCGGAGGAAGCCGCTGGCGACCTCTTCCGGCGTGAACGACTTTCCCTCTTCGGCGTTGATCTTCTCGGTGAGAATGTGGAAAGCTGCGGCCGCTGCGTCGTAGTCTAAGGGTTCGTTTTCCTTTGGTCCGAAGATGGAAGGGAAGTATTCGGGACGTAGACGACCCAGGAAGAGGTTTGCGTCGGTGACCGTAAGGGGCCCGCCTTTGCGGTAGCATACAGGTCCTGGATGGGCGCCGGCAGACTGTCAGTTGACGTCAGTTTACAACACGAAAGAGCTGCTTAGATGCTGTGATAACTCACGTCTGGTCCGATCGCAAACAGCCCATTTTTCCAATGCAGAATCGAGCCGCCACCAGCAGCAACAGTATTGATGTCCAACTGTGGTGTCTGCAACGTGACCTCAGCTGTCTCCGTTTCGAATACATGATCATATGTACCCGAAAAGCGACTGACGTCCGTCGAAGTACCGCCCATATCGAAACCAATCACCGGCATCTTGCTCTCGGAGTCATAACAAGACTTGCCGAAACCAATAACGCCGCCAGCGGGGCCGGATAGAATGGCGCGCAGACCAGAGAAGTTCTGCCAGAGACAGAGCCCGCCGTCGCTTTGCATGAAGAGGAGCTTGCCCGCGATGGCGTCTAGGCCGCCTTTAAACCCGCTGCCAAAGTCGCGGACGTAGCGGCGGATAAGAGGGGAGAGATATGCGTCGGCATTTGCGGAGTTTCCTCGGGATACCATCTTGATCTGGAAGGATGTGAGCTTATGCAGCAGTGTATCAGAGAAGGAGGTTTGGTCTTACCGTCGGCTGCAGTTCAGAAGACACGGAAACGTCGAAACCCATAGATCGCGCAAGCTCCGCTACCTCATCCTCATGATTGGGATAGAGATAGGAGTGGATGAAGCAAACCGCAACACTCTTGAACCCCTCAGCCTTCAAGTCCTTCAACTGACTTGCCACAACCTCTAACTCAGGCTTCTTGAGAACTCGAACCGGCTCGCCCGTCAACCCCTTCACGAGCTCGGGATCGCTTTCAATATCAATAGGCTGTTTCTCCGGATTCTCCAAAAACTCCTCCATCGTCACGCGCTCGTCAATCTCGACAACCTTCTCATACAGGCTCTGCAACTTATGGATACTCAAATCAAAAATGTGCGGCCGGGCCTGGTTGCCGATTACGAGTAAATCTCGGAAGCCCTTCGTTGTCAGGAACGCTACGCGCTCGCCTTGTCGTTCCAGTAGGGCGTTCGTCGCCACAGTCGTTCCCATACGAACTGATTCAACGTCGCAGATGTCGAGGGGCTCATCGCGGGATACTGGAGCCCCTCTATAATGTGCCAGGACGCGTCGAATACCTTCGGTCGGTGCATCTTTGTAGTTTCTCGGGTCTACTGAAAGAAGTTTGAATACCATCTCTGGCTCATCAGAGCCGGGCATGTAAGCGTGCACATCCGTGAAGGTGCCACCGCGATCTGGTGAGAAATTGTGAGCAAAAGACTGTCAAGACACTGGCCGAAAGTATGTCCACTGAAGACGTCAACTTACCTATCGCGATTCTAATCTTCTTTCTACTTGAACCGAGCGAGCCCATTGTGAACAACGATGAAATACAGGTAATTGAAAGACAGAAATGTTAGGGTATGTTGGATCGGTAAACGCTGAACCAATCGAGCTAGACACTTGGACGCTTGAGCTCAATGAAGTTATAAAGCATTCTCCATCTCTCCTACGTAGGAGTCCATCCCCGATCTAATCAGTACGTTGCATGTCCCCCGCATTGTTCCCCGAATCGCACCATCCGATCTCACACACGCAGCTTATCAGAGCTGCCGCATTCCCGGGCTCGGCACCGGAGACGAACCCCGAAGCCTCCGAAACCTCCTCCGAAGTGGGGCTGAGTATCGCAACCTGGGGGATCAGCGGCTCGGCTTGCTGGCCCGAGATAACTACGACTTCATGAACCTAAGAATCATGCTTCCTAAGTTCGTTGATGTGCATCTAATCAAGGGCTGTTACACGTCCATAACTTGGTGGCTGGCTGATCTTAAGTTATGGCATCGAACCAGTCAGCCTGCCGCACCCCATGCCTCTTCTATGAGGTAGTATCTATCGTCATATCAAATTGATATCTCGTTGCGGGATAACAGGTGATATCACAGAGCAGAGGAGTCTGGGAGAAGAGATTCCCTCTGCGGGAGGACCACAGATGTGAGGTCTGGATCTAGGTACTAGAACGCGACCACCTGTCAAGGCTTGGAAAATCCAACGACTGGGGGGTCATGTAGCTGTCTAATGAACCGGCTGGAGGGTAGTCATTGATAACGACGGCTTCGCGACCCGCGCTGTGTGCCAGGAACGAACGTTAACCTCGGATGCCAACCCGCTCCTACTCGATCATCAACGCACGTTGTCTGCACATTACGCTCTTCAATCGCCAATGACATCGGTTGTCGAGGAGAGATCCCATCTGCCAAGGTGATTGTCATGTATCTGAGACCCTGTCATAGTGGCGGGTTCTTCTGGTTTTGGGCCGAATTGCGGAATGAAAATGCGAGCAACTTATCTGATCTTCAGATACCGGTATGGGAAGGCGATTAGGAAGATGATGCCGCATTACTGAATACCAGATGAACCCATAATCTGTAGATGGGCACGATATGGGATTGACTGCATAAACTCTAGGCATGAACTCAATGATATTCTAGTCAAGTTTCTCACAAGTTGTACATGAAATCATTTTTCCACATTTGAGGACTACGATACTTTGCTCTTTCGAAATGTCTGAAATTCAAATCTTAGAGGAAACCAAGAACAACACCAGACACGATGTCAACAATCATGATATAAGCGTCGGTACTTCAACCGATATCCAAATCGATCGTGCCAAAGAAGCCAAAGTCGTGAGAAAGCTAGACCTGTATATCACGCCCGTACTCTTCATCGTCTATCTCTCATGTTTCATTGACAGAGCCAACATCGGTAGGTATCTCATAAGTTCCTTCGAGCCTCTCCATCATCTTACTGAAAACCCTATTTCTGCCATCCGCTCCTTAGTCCCAATCGGAATCCTAACCGCGACGCAGGAAATGTGAAAGTCGCCGGCATGCCTGAAGAAATCGGCGCCACAAACCAGCAATACTCAACAGCCGTCTCCCTCTTCTTCGTAACATACGTGCCAGTCGAGGTCCCAGCCGTGCTCCTCGTCAAACGTTTCGAACCCCGCTTCGTTCTCCCAGCACTCTGCGTAATCTGGTCTGTCACGACAGTGGCCAACGGCCTCATTCGCAATGTCGGTGGCCTCTATGCGTACCGTCTAGTCCTCGGCGCCTGCGAAGGCGGTCTATTCCCTTCTCTTAACATGTACCTCACTATGGTATATAAACGAGACGAGATCGCAAAGCGCACGTCCTACCTCGTCTCGTGCACGGCATTATCCGGTGCCTTTGGGGGCCTGTTGGCGTACGAGTTGTTGCAAATGGACGGCGTTGGTGGATACGCTGGCTGGGAATGGGTGTATCTTATCGAGGATGCGTTTAGTGTCACATGCGCCTTTGCTGTATGGTTCGGATTGCCTAGTGATGTCCGCAAAGCGTACTTCCTCAGTGAGGAGGAGCGAGTGATCATGGACATGCGGCATCAGGAGAGGATGGACTACATGGGCAGCGACGAGCTGGATTGGAACGAAGTGAAGCTCGCTGTCTTGGATTCAAAGACTTGGCTCAGGTACGTGTTGCTCGAAGATTCCAACGAGAGGGAGAAGCTACTGACATCTACGCCCCCAGCGCATGGACTCAATTTTGCCAAAATATTCTGACAAACGGATTCGGCACTTTTCTGCCCTCCATTTTGCACGCTATGGGCCATGGCACGCTGGCTAGCAACTATCTGACCATACCCGTGTATTGCCTTGGCGCGCTGGCATTCTTCACTTTTGCGTTTCTGTCAGACAAGTATGGATAGTGCGGCACGGTGAGTTGACCCGGAATCGACCAATTCCTTAACAGAGTAGCTGATGATTCAAGTTTCTTTTCGCGACCAACCTTGTGGGCGCAGTAGGCTATGCGGTATTGATTGGTGTCAGCAACAATGCTGTCAAATACTTTGCCTGCTTCGTCTGCACTATCGCAGTGTACAACGGCACAGGGCTGAATCTGGCCTGGCTCAACGTCAATACAGCGCCACAATATCGACGTGCCACGGTCATTGGTATTCAACAGACAATCGACAATTCAGCTGGTGCTGTGGCAGGCCAGATATACAGAAGTTCGCCGTATCTTCTTGGGAATAGTTTCTCGCTCGGAGCCATATTCGTGGCAGAATGTCTGATCGTCATTCACTGGCTATTCCTCAGACGCCTAGACAAATAGAAGGAGGCTATTCTTGCCGGGGCCGGGCCAGACATGCGAAAGAAGCGAACAGGCGACCGAGACGTTGAATTCAGGTACCGTCTTTGACCATGGCAGCTAGCTCTCTATCCTTAAATACACTGGTGTGAGGTGTTGTTGAGGTTAGACACAGAGTCGTAAATTATGGTAGATATTCGTGGCGTCGGCTGGAACTTACATTGAACTTGCGTCGATGTCTCGTCGACTCGAGCCGCCGGCAGATTCGCGTTGGCTGAAATTGTTCTGAAGTAGATCTGAGACATCAAAGCCAGTATTTCGCCCACACTTCGTGTTCTTCCTTTGTTCCTCTGAAGGCGAACTCAAGTTCGGTGATGTCTTGGAACCCCTCCTTCACTTTTGGTTCCTTGAAGCGGGATTTGAAACCGTTGAAAGCCATCCTAGGCAGTGCCGTTCTTGACTCGGGGTTAAGCTGTCCTGCATGAGCTACAGTCATATATGTGCAGTAATTTGGACTTACAGATTCATTCATAGATCGTACAGCATCATTGTGTTCGCAGATATGAAGAGGCGTCTTGAACCAAACACATCTGATCGGCACGTCGTGTTTCGCTGCAAGCTGGACCCAGACAGCTCTCGTATCGGGATCAGGATTTGTGTTGTCTGACTGAGTTAGTACTTGGAAATGGCCGAAGGATTGGTGCGAGAGCTGACCTATTGCTATAGATTGCCCCCCACTGAGTAGATCTTTCGCGGCTTGCACGCACTTGTCTCGACTGCCAATAAATTAGTATTTGCAGGACTTGATCATGTTGAGCTGAACTGACGTCTTCAAAGTGTCTTGGTTGATGCGCTCATAACCCAATGGCTTTAGGTACTGCCAGAAGAACGTACTCTTCCCAGCACCTGGCGGACCGCAGGAGAGAACAATATCTTGCTTATTTTTCTTCTCAAACAGAGCACTCGGTGTCTCTGAAGTGGGATCCTCCGGGTATGGGAAATGGACGATGTCGAATTCTCGGACAAAGTCCCGAGGCTTCTCGTCGAGAAAAAATTCTTCTGGTGTCTTATATGTGATTCCAATGTTGTGGGCGAGATTTCGGTCGGAGCAGCTGAAGTCTTTGGAGAATTTTGATGCCGCAATGCGACCGCCAGCGTCACCAACGAAGATGCTCCCCTCCAGGTCGACGTCGTCAGTGAGGTCATAATCAGCGCAAAGTTCCTTCCACATCCCCGGCCTCGGTTTTCTGTATATGTCTTTCTCTGTGGCTGCATATATAGTGGTCGGGATGTTGAGCTGTGTCAAGACGGCATTGACCTTTTGCTTGAATGCCGAGGCTCTATCTTTTGTCGATTTCGGCGTTTTCGCTTTCGGATCGGCGTGGAGAACAATACCGGCTTGATTGGACAAAACCACAATACGATATCTATCGAGATTAGCTGATGTCTATTAATCTCAGGGCCAAGTGCTGATGGTGTACCCTTCGTTGTTGTACATGTCCCGCAGCTTGCCAGGGACAGAAGCATGCCACCATTTCCAGTCCTCAGCAGCGTCGGCATGTTTCTTGCCCGAAGCTGTTGTGATCAGAGTCGAGTCCTAGACGGGTATTCGTCAATTTTAACGGTTTGGCATGTGTGAAGCTGCAAGATTCGTCATACCAGGTCAAAAGCAGCGACCTTCCTCCTCTTCTCTGGCTCGGCCGTGGGCTCCTCTGGTTCGTAGCGGCCAACGAGTAGTGTCGCAGGGGTGTCGTTGTTCGGTGCGCGTTCGGTCCATATTGTGCGGTCTTTTGGCTTCTGAGAAGTAGGCTTGAAGAAGTTGGCAACTGCGTTTTCTATAGAAGGTCAGATGTCAAGGGTGGTCGATGATGTAGGCAAAGAAGAGCTTACTCGTTGTGCCGCTCTGAACTTTCCGTTTGACCGCCGGTGGAGAAATTGATTCTCTTTGCTTCCGCTTGGTGGTAGACGAACTTGAGGATGACATTATCGAAGTAAAGTGAATCGTTCTTTTGCTGAGCAATTGGCAAAGTATTCCGCTGTTGACCCTCAAGAGCGACGTTCGCATGTCGATGATCGTAGCTCAGAGCTTGGAAGGAAGCATCGAGCTTTGGTGGGGCACGGCCACTTTACCGGCAGAAAGCGCGACGACGCCCACGCGCCTGAGTGACGGGCGGACACGTGACCCAGAATGCGCGGCAGGTACGTATCGGTGGAGCGATTTCACGGGACCTTCACATTCACCTCGATGAGACGCCTTTCATGAATCTCTCTCATTCTTACGCCCTCACTGCCCTAGTCCTTCCCCAAACTTGCCCTTATCATCGCCAAATTCGTCGATCAAGATGTACGAGCTCTTTCTCACGACGCTCGTCGACGACGACGATATCCAGGCGGCATGCTCCGTCCTCGGCGGTCTCTGCGCCATGCCGGCCTGGCAGAGTCTCCATCGCGTCCTTTACTTCAAGGGCCCAGGCAAACCCGGCGGAATCTCGAACCAAAGTTCGATCATCAAAACCCCGCGCAAGGACATCCAGATGCTGTGGAAAGACCTGCATCAGCAACTGAGCCGTCAATCTTACATCCTCCAGGCCCGATATGAGGTCTTCAAGGATAAGGACTTCGGCCCGACCGCTCCGGAAGTGGACTTCAATGCGCGCGCCGGTACCCTCCGATGGACCGATTTCCCTGATCCTCCCCAGGTCCGCTCATCGGTCACTCAGCGCAAGAAGACTGAAATTTGGGATCAAAGGAACTTGTTGTCTGTGATGAAGGACAACAACTACCAGTTAGTTTTGGTCATCCGTTATTGCTGATAGGGATCTGACAATATGCAGGTTCAAAAGCGAGGCTATTGAGGAGACCTATCAGTTCTTCCGAGAAGATGTGGAATTTTGCCTCTCGAGACACTACATTCTCCAGATGAACGGTGACAATGGTCCTCTCACTCAAACAGCTACATGGGACACCATGTCACCGGCGGATCCCGGGCAGCGTTGGATGTTTCTGATTAAGGTTCATGTTCATCAAGACAACAAGCCTGATGAGATTCTCAAGGCGCACGAGCAGTTGGCCAATATTCGACGTGAGCTCGAGGGCGTCTTCGAGTTCAAGATGTTTGACCGACGTATACACGATACCCGCGTTGCGGTTGAGATGCGAAATGCGCCTGCACCACTGCCTCAAGTCATGACCATCACAGACCAGCGGTAAAAGATAGCTATCGTACCGAATTTGTGGATCATGGCCATATCCCTGATCCATGTTTTATAGCACATATTCATCAGTTGGCAAAACGAGTGATGAATATAAACACACAGTCAAGGTCGAGCACCATCGCTGGTCGTTGGAACTGTACTCGCCAATGCTTCGGCCTCTAGGCGCCTGCCGAGCATCCATGTCGCGTTGGACGCCGTCAGGTCTGTCAATAGCTTGAGAAGCTTAGACTAGAGGTTCGAAGACTGCGGCTTAGGAATCCAGCAAAGAGGTTCAGAGTCAACCCGTGGATGCTCATGAGGTTGCCCCGAATCGGGCCAGAGAAGAAGCTTACCCTCATCGAGTGCATTATCATGGAATTCTGCTCTCACAATGGCGAGCTTCTTGCAAAAGAAGACACGCAGCAATCAGAAAGAATTGCAGAGTGCAAAAGTTGAGAAAAGGACATTGGGAGTGGACGGGGCAGGAAGACAGTACTCGGATATTCGGCACGAGTACGAAATGAAGTTGGGATACCTTGATAGGGAATCCACAGGTTCCAGAAGATTTCTTCAGTCAAATGAGGTGGGCCAATATGTGTCGTCAAGAATAGCCTAGGACCACAAGCTACCTTAAATCAGAGATGGCATCAAGCTTATTTTTTGACTGATGCATGCTGTCTTTAAACCGGCAAAACAGTGCCGTTCGTGTTTCTGCCGTTCATAAATTGACGTCTTCTGATTCTTCTGGCCCAGCTCAACGACAATGGGGTTGAAAACATTGCCCAATTGGTTAGTAATTGCTTTTGGTCAACTTTTTCTAGCTTGAGTGTCCGTGAGTAGAGAAGAACCAGAAAGAGTAATAGATAGCGCAGCAGGAACACCAGAGTTGAGGGTAGTTTACAAAGTGTCATTGATCTTGGAGTAATCTCAGACAAAACCACAATTATGCGAGACGATCAAAGAAATCGCTCTCAGACTTTTAGAACTTTGGACCTCACTACAGGATATGACGTACGATATTCTCACTTGCCGCCAGATGCATGGTCGAAAATATTGGCCTTATTTCTTTTCAGAGCGGCACGATATGGCCAAGACTTTTCTATGCTGCCGTAGCCCGTTCCCCCCTTTGCTCGTTGACGGTTGGCGCCATCATCCATGGACCATGCATGGCCCAGGCGCTAGAACTGGCGGCCCTGGTTTCGAAATGATTAAACGTGCAGCGGTCAACGGTGCGGTGCGCTAAAAGGGTAACCCCCCATCGAAAAATTCAGTCGTCCCCGAACTGGCCCCCAAGATCTAGGCTCGTTTCACTCGGAGATGATTTCCCGCCTAAAGGCTCGGGGGACCACCGTATACTCTCCACATACGGCCATTGATAAGTTGGGAACCGAGGTGTTGAGGGGGAATATTGATCCAAACTTGTATTTTGGCGAAGCAATAGAGACGGGTTGGCATCTACAATAGGCGCTCATATACGGCTGGAGCTGGTCGAGAGCGTCAGTGCGGCATACGAATTGAGTCAATCAATAACCGCATAGGGAACTGTCAGAGCCAGCATATTGACTCGAGAGCGGCTGTGTTCTGCATCGTTCTCCTCGCCCTCCGACTTCAGAAGTTCAGAAGGACCAAAAATCATCTCTACCCGTAACGCACGTGTCCGCCAGTGGTACAGGCTTCGACCACTGAAGACGGGCTTGCAGGGCTCATCCAGGGTTGGACCACTTTGGGTGACACAATCCATCGAGCCCCAGGACCGTCGCTCGCCCCTGGGTAGGATGACGATCGCGGATCACTCCTTTGCCCAATCGGAATCATTCAAGACGAGGGTTGATTTGCGCCAAACGGTCCAGCACCACGGAGACACGCGAGTACCAAGGAAAGTATATGTTAGTGATTCTCCGTCGATCTCGCGGGTGAGAGCTAAGTTTCAATCTATTCAACGTCGCCTACAAAACTCTAGTGAGACTTTTGCTGCTGACCCATATTGCATTGTACGAGAGTTCCACCGAATTCTGCCTGCGTTCGTTTATACCAGTAAACTCACCTGTTTCTATGAGTCCTGAAAGGGAAGAAGGCACAGTAAGCACTTTTGCTGTGGTCTTATCTTGGCCAAACTGAGTAGCGCCAGGGGCCACATGCTGTTTGTGTTTCAGGTTCGGACGGCCAGCCGCGAAGGGGGATCAAAAACCGGGGGTCAGCACTGGTTGCCAACACGCCAGTGGTCGAACACTTGGATCCGACTCCAGGGACATCGATGTCCTCCAAGGGGTTAAATTAAGCTTGGGGTCAAGTTGGGACGACTGAAGCGAGGGATGCCCGCCTTGGGAACCTGTCCAGCCGAATAAGCAAAGGCGAATTCGTACAGAAGCCGCACCAACTAGCTGCAAGTTGATGAACCCTGGTTGACAAACCCGAACTGGGCGCGTCACCCGCGCAGCCGAAGCTGCAAGGCACACATCCCGCAATTTAGACACAACAGCGGGCATCCCCACAACGTTAACCCCTTTCAAGATTATTGCTCCAATGAACGATCGGTGACACCCTTGGGCATGCCCGGGACTGCTTCTTTACGGCGGGAAAGCGATGCTGCAGCCTGTGTGCCCATTCAGTTCCTGACGAACCCTTGCGGTATAGAGATTAAACGCTTCCCTTCGAGGTATCAAATCCCTGGTTGTTAGTTGAACCGATGAGGCGGCGTCGTGGGCCAGTGGGACGGGATTGCGGACCCCCTTTCCAGAATTTAGGCTTGGCAGCTCTAAACTGGCCTGACCATGTCCGGTTGGTGGGGAGGAGGAAGACCGAGGACGATGTTGGTGGTTGAAGACGGGAGGGGAGGGGGATAGAGGGGGAGTGATGCGAGCCAGAGAGGCCATACATATACCATCTCGGTCTCCTCGTTTCTCGAGAAGAGAGTTTGTTTTGTCTCTTCAACAGTTTCAGTCACTCATCTGTCCACTCTTTACTTTCAGTCCTTCTCTACAGCTCGACGCCGGCGTCATTTCACTCACTTCTCACCTTTGTGTGCACTTCTTCTAACGCCCGGAAATCACCTTCTTTTCTCAAAACAACAACCAAACCAAAATCACCGTCAAGATGAAGTCTGTCGCTGCTCTCGCCCTTACCGCCTCCATGGCCAACATGGTTGCCGGCCACGCTATCTTCCAGCAACTCTGGGTCAACGGTGTTGACCAGGAGTCCAGCTGTGTCCGCATGCCCGTAAGTCGACTTACACAGACTCTTTGCCACAATTGTAACGTCTGAGACTAACATGAACATGATAGGCTTCCAACTCCCCCGTCCAGGACCCCACGTCCAACGACATGCGCTGCAACGCCAACTCCGCTGCTGCCACCACCACCTGCGGCGTCAAGGCCGGCGACACCATCACCGTCGAGATGCACCAGCACAACACCCGTGCCTGCTCTGAGGAAGCTATTGGAGGTGCCCACCACGGCCCCGTCATGGTCTACCTGAGCTCCGTCGCCGATGCCGCCACCGCCGATGGCTCCAGCTCTTTCTTCAAGATCTTCGAGTCTGGCTACTTCGCCAACAACAACACCTGGGGTAACGACCTGATCAATGAGGGCTGCGGCAAGCAGAACGTTGTCATTCCCTCCGACATCGCCCCTGGTGACTACCTTCTCCGTGCCGAGACCGTCGCCCTCCACGCCGCCGGCTCCGAGAACGGTGCCCAGTACTACATGAGGTATGTACAACCTTCTTTTCACTCATCGCCGCCTTCAAATCAAGAGATTAACAGTGAATTAGTTGCTACCAGCTCAAGGTTGAAGGAACTGGCACTGCTAAGCCCGAGGGTGTCGTCTTCCCTGGTGCGTACAAGGCCACCGACCCTGGTCTGTTGATCAACATCTACAACACCATCACCTCGTAAGTACACCCATTATCACCCATCACCAGTAGGAACACGATGAAACTGACCACCAAAAAGCTACGTCATCCCTGGCCCTGCTGTCTACGAGGGTGGTGGCTCTTCCGGCTCTGCCCCGGCCTCCTCCGCTCCCGCTGCCTCCGCCCCGGCCGCCACCAGCGCCGCTGCCGCTTCTTCTTCGGCTCCCGCTGCTGCCGCCCCCACTACCCTCGTCACTAGCGCCGCTGCCGCCTCGGCCACCCCCACCGCTGCTGCCCCCGCTACCACCTCTTCCGCCGCTGCTGCCTCTACCTCCGCTGCTGCCGCCCCTGCGCCCAGCAGCCCCTCCGGCTGCAAGCGCCGCCGCGCCCGCAAGGCCCGCCGCTCTGCCAAGTACTAGAGTGTACTAGGTCTGAATCTAGACGCCGTGGAAAGGCGATAGATGGTTGTTTATAGAGGAGACGTATCTTTCCGGTACATATTAGAAGTTCTTTGTATATAGTATACCGCGTAATTCTGCGATTTACGCCCTTTTCGAGTGGCACAATACAACAAGACTTTTCCTTGTTCAAAAAAGTTCCAATTCCTTGGTTGTTCACATGCTTAGAATACCGCTCAAAGTGAGGCGTGCTGAAATGCTGACGAGTATTGCAACTATGCTAACATAAGATCATTAGAGCGAATATTTAGTCTTCCAACTCAAAAGTAGGGCAGCAACTGGTACTGAAGCCAAATAGAATCAATGGGAACGGAGAGATGGCTAGCCCATCTAGCTCAAATAAAGTTGTTTCAATCCACAGAGAGAAGAGAAGATAAAGGGTGGTGGTCTGAGTGTTCTTTCATCTGCGTACGTACTTATGCTAATATACAAAAACAGGACTCGCTCGCAAACTCCAACAAACTAAGCAAACAATATCAAAGCCGCTCCAAGTTGCCATGCAAATGTCTTTCAGCGCCGATGTCTAGATCAAAGCAAGACCAGTATGAAGAGAAAATAAAAAGTCGCCAACTATAGATGGCAAGAAACAAAGGACCTAAGTGCTGTAAACAGCAACGTACTTGACCTCCATCCGAGAGTCCTTCCCGCCGACAGTCTGGGTATTGGGCGTCTTGGTACCAGCCTTAGCATCAGGGAACTCGCCACCGATAGCAACGTTGAGCAGGATCATCTTGGGGGTCTGAGCAAGGTTCTTCCACACAGCCTCATCGCCAATCTCCTGGCCCGTGATGGTCTTGGTCACCTTGTCGTTGAGGTACCACACGAGCTTCTCGGTTGCGAAACCGCCACCGGCAGAACGATCAACCTCGCAGGCAATCTTGACAAACTCGCCGCGCGGGAACTCGGCGCTGGAGCTGAGACCTGTCTTCTCGTTGCATGGACCGCCGTCGATGACACCGCAGTGAGCCGTCTGGAACACCGTGCCGACGCCGTTAGAGACCTCGAGCATGTCGATCTCGCCGACGCTAGGCCACGAGGTGACGTTCGTGCGGAAGGCGGAGCCCATGGACCAGAAGGCTGGCCAGATACCGGACTGCGTCGCCGGGTTTGAGGCCGGAATCATGATGCTTGCCTCCATGCGCAGCTTGCCCTTAGCCGGGCAGGTGAAGTCCGAAGCGGCATTGGTCTCGATGCGAGACGAGGTCCACGCCTCGCCGGTCTTGATGGGCGTGATGGTCAACGTGCCGCTCTCCGAGATGGCAATGTTCTTGGTGTCCTTGGTGTAGGTCTGGATCTCCTGGGTGCCCCAGTTGGTGGCGCCACCGGGGTAGCCAGTGCCGACGTCAAAGGTCCACTTTGACGAGTCGGGTAGGGCGCCGGCCTTTTGCGTCGAAAAGTCGTCCTCGAAGACGATCTTTGCGTAGCCGGCGGGGAGGGTCGGCCCGCCGCCCGTGCTGTTGCCTCCCTTGCCTGGGGTCGTGCTGGCGGCAGGCTTGAGGGCGTTGTTGATCGGGGTAGCGACACCAGACTCCTGAGGAAATGAAGGGACGGCTCCGGAGGGTGCGAAGCCTGGCTTGCTGCCATCCGGAGACGGGAAGCCGCCGGGGTAACCTCCCTTGGGAGGGAACGGCGCCGGGGATGACCAGCCCGCGCTGAAGAGAAGAGGAAGAAGAGACAAAACCTGCTTAGTCGTCATGGTGGTGAGCTTCGTCGAGAAGGACTGGGATAAGGAATGGGAGAAAGGAACGAGAAAAAGATAGAGGTAAGATGGAAAAGAAGAATGGCGCTTGCGCTTGATGTCCAGCAGATCGGATGATGATCTAGAAAATTCCCTTTCGATGAGATGAGATCTCAATCTTCTTTATATTTTCCGTGAAGTCATATTAGGAAGTCATTATAACCTTCGCTTAGAAGGTTCGTCCTGTACAGATCACAATCTCTATTCCAAGTCTAAGTGACAGCACGCTACTACGAGTGGATTAGGACAAGGAAGACACTATTTTGAGCATCCAATTGCACCATAGTCATGAGGTTTCCCCATCTTAGCAAACCGGTGTTAAGATAGAGTCGCTTACCAAGTAGATGGCTTTTTGGGGGCTGTCATCCCATCATTCGCTGCCGCTACTGGCGGCCGGGTGGGACCCGGAGGGGCCTTGAGTCTTGACGTGAACTATTCCGGGGCACCGGCGCGCCGGCCGGCATCAGAAAAGAGCCTTGCCAGCACACGTTTTCTTAGCGACTCCTGATCCGGAACTCATCTCGGTCCAATAAGGGGTCTCGTTTTCGCAACAGCTTGGTATTTGGCTGACAATTAACACTATTTTGTTTATAGCCAATGACTCGGCACTATCGTTACTCTCCCGCTGTCGTTCATGCGTTACCGACTGGACCCCGGATCGGCCAGGCACAATCTGGAACTTAATGTCGGTGCTAAGACGATGGATCTCCACTCAACCCACCATCAATGTCAAACAGTCCATTCTATTTCCAACCGACGAACCGGCCCCTAGACGTTTGAATTTACTTCTCACAGGCACAGCACCAAAAATGGATGTTCCTGGCGCAGTACGTCGAGACTGAGTTATCCGCGCGCGCCAAGGTGATACTCACGGGGATTGAATCGGACGCAACGCTGCGCTTAACTTGCCGTGACTGACTGACAGCTCACTCTGCACGCGACAACCTGGTTGAGAGGCCTAGATTCTGTGGTTCGTCGTCGGTGATTTTTCCTGTTTCTCATATTCTCCGTTAAAGTTCATCAAGGATGGAGGGTTCGGCTGCAGCTTTTTTGGACCTACAACTGCTGTGCACAATATACCCCAGACTTGGACAGCTTGCTGACCTCATGCGTACCAAGCAAATTGTTAACTAAGATGTTTCCTGTGTCTATTTTGACTATTGGGCGATGCCGTGATAGTGTCAACTATTTCGGAACTTACACTCGCCACGTGAAATCTTCTTAGGTTCGCGCATATAGGCTTTTGCTCGGCCAAACATACTTCGAGAGGAACTTTGCCCTTAATTTCCACGTACACAGCCAACCTTTCTCGCTTTTCTCACTGCAGTGGTTAACTCCCCGCGATAACAAGCTCGCTTTACCTACCAATTGCTTACTTCGTGGTGATTCCTGGATCTTGGCGATCGGCAGCAGGACATCTTCTATCTTCCTCCCATGGGAGAGACTAGCCTAGGCTGGTGCCGTTCCACTGCCAGCCGTAGCTCGACCAGACCAGAAAATTACTCAGGAAATCGCCTTCAGGCGAGGCGTGTCCGCGATCGTAGCCAAAATTTACGTGACGGGGCTGGGGGCCCTGGGTTTGGGATAGGCAGGGCTAGATGCCTTTTTGAGGATCGCGGAGGCATCGGATTCTTCATACAGACCTCGTAGCCTTAGAATGGAACCTCGATCAGAACCAGCTTAACCTTCAATCTTTAGGCATCGGACAGGCCACAATCTCATCTCAAGCTTTCTTTTTGCGAGTTCTGAGTCCACAATCGTTTGTCGCAAGCATGAAGGCTGGTCACCCAGCGAAATGTGGGAGATACTAGAATCGTTCAGGGTGTTATTTGCAGACATCTGTGATTAGAGGCTGCAGATAGTATCGCAAAATCCAAAGCCCACAGCCGACACAGGACCTTTGGCCAACCACGGACGATGAATCGCAATTTGCAACTACCCAAAACCACATGCAAGTTTCCCTGCAGAGACGAATTCTGAAAGTAATCGAGGTCAGGGCCAATTCTACTATTGGATAGGTTTTCGGCAAGGAGTTAAGGGAATTGAAGAGGATTTCGACCTCCTTGTCTCATTGAATATAGACCCCAGAGAAACAAATTATGCGCTTCAAGAGCCATCCCGCCTATCTTACAATGACATGAACCATTCAGCAGCAGACTACCTCCATACATTTCCTGCCACGCTTATTCTGAATCTGAACAGCTGGATCGACAGGTAGGTAGCTCAGGCGGACAAGGCTTCCGGCCATTATCCTATCACCTTGTGGTGACTCATCCATAGACATTGAGGTGTGCCGATCTTTGCAGAAAGATAAGGCTGCAGGTGTATGCATGTATTCGGAAATACATCTAGCTGAGCGCTGAAGTCAGATCAATCGGTCAGATATTTGCCAAGTTCCAATTATATCTATCTACCTAATACATCACCAATCGGACGAATGTGAACATGTAGAAGCCTTGCCTAGACCCAGCCACAGCGCGAGAACACAGCATACCGACATGAGTTGGTTGCACCAAACAGATCGCAGGGCGCTCGAGACATGCGAAACCCAACCACCGCTCAAGCTGCTGTCTTACTCTCAGGTCGGTTCGGTGAATTTGTCCTGTAAGGCTGTAGCCTGCATATGCCTTCATTCTGGAGTAATTGGTGGTTCGCGTCCTCTGCGCCTCCACACCCTACCCACATCGGAAAGTCTTGATTCTTCCCATTCCATTTGTATCTGAAGTATAAGATGTGGCTCTTTTCCCAGGTTGAGAACTAGTACTTAATAACTTCGGGTGCGATTGCCGCAAAAGGGAATTGCCTTACGATTGACCAGCCTTTGGGTCCCGTCCAGTCTACATGGCGTCTACGAGAAGTCAAGCTGAGGGACTGTCTCAGGGACCTACTCGTACAGGTAGCCCTGCGCCAGATGTCTCGTCAACACATGAAAATGGAACGAGCAGTAAGTATCTCAGAGAACACAGAACCAACTTTTACAGGCAATGAAATCAGAAAAGTCTAATTAAAATTCATCTCCAGAGGAAATCACGGCCAGTGATCCTGCATCGATGCCAACAATACCAAAGCGGGATAAGTTGGATTATCGACCGTTCATTCTTTCCAATATAGCTCTTTTCAGCTCAATCACCATAAACTGTGGTATCTTGGCAGGTCTCATCGTCTTTGAAAACGGACTTACTTCGTCGTCAGTACGCCAGCCTACTATGCCTTGCTAGCTTCACTCATCCTAATCGGAACTTGTACGGTAACCCATTTGGAGACCATGCTTCTCAACCTCTTTCGAATGACGCCGTTCATTCTATGTGCACGAAAACAAGGCGCTACTGCGGGCCAAACAATTCTTCGAAGCTACTTCCCGTCACCAAGCTTTCGAGATGCATGGGAGACTAAGAACTGGCTTCTAATGCTCGCCTACACCATCTACTACCCAAGCTACTCCGTCATCGGTTTCAAATCGGCTCTGCTGTATGAGAGCTGGGACGATACAGACATCCGTCTACATGTAAATGACTGGGCGTGTTATACGTTGATTGCCTTCTACAGCGTTATTCAGCTGTATCTCATAATCGTTTTTGTATATCTCTGGCGACACAAGACCGGGCTACAATGGGACCCGGTTTCAATAGCAGACATATTGGTTTTGTTTAGGCACTCCAATGTTCTCAAATACTTCGAGGGATCATCCATAGCACAAAGGCAGTCAATGTTCGAAAATTTGGAAAAGATTCCTATGTATCTGAAGTATTGGAAAGCAGAAAATGGCAAATATTGGCATGGCTTTGGCACAGACGACATAGGTAAGTTGTGAAGGGGTTTTGATATTTCTTGAATCTTCATGACGGTTACAAGATACTAATTCAACCCCACAGAGTCGGAAGATATTTCGCCAAACGTAAGGGCCGACAGTTCGAATCCAATTGGCGAACCCGGGATTGCCCAGTCTCCAGTTGAGCTGCGGGACTTAACACAAAGTGGCTCAAGTCATCCAGACCAATCCCCAGATGCTTCTTCTCACCTTTCGGGTCAGTGTATTCCAGTCAAACCGAACGGAGCAAGAAATTACTGACTGATGTGCGTTCAGGTTCTCCAGGCGATAGCAAGACTTCACCGGTCTCTATGGACACTCTGGCCTTGATACGCTATAATTCTGCTTGGGCAGTTGCCAACCCAATGTCCGTCTACTGTCACTTTTTTCTGGCCTTTTCGCTCATGATTCTTTTCACTGTCGGCATCAGCATTACTCCGTCCATCACACCAGATAGAGGTTACTGTTGGGCACCGCAAAATTTATCCCGTAATTGGGCCAACTTCCTGTTGGACGTTATTCTTACCACTGCCGTTAGCTTCTTGTCTGATTTTTGGGCCGCCTTATCCCTCTTTGTGGTCCACACCGAACCTCTGGCACGCATGGCAAGACCCTCGGAATCAGGAGAGCCAGCAAAATACACCCTGCTTCTCAACTACACTTCCTCATTCCTACCTATCAGGATATACAACGCATTCACGAATAAGCATTGGAAGCTTGTGCGAATCATGTTTTGGGAGCTCCTCCAACGCTTATTCCCCACACTGATCGGAACCAGCATTATTGTTTATTCTAGAGTCAACAGTGACAGGTGTGTGGTCTGCTTTTCAATGCCGCTATTCATCGTCGTTATAGTTGGACTAGCATCTTGTGCCGGACTCATATTTTTCGAGCTACTTCTGGCATCAGTCTTTCGTCGCACTCCGAGGGACTACCTCTCCATCGCAGACATCGTGTCTTGGTCCTCAACCAGTCAGCTTCTACATCGTGAAGCAGACAGCAAGAAATCTGACAAATTGAACTACGATATCGATGATCCACTAGACGTGGATGTTCATGGAGAGAAAGGCAAGAGATGGTATATGCAGAGCCGACTGGAGTTGCAGCTGAAGCAGTATCGTCTCGGGTACGCCAAGGTTCCCGGTCAGGAGTACTATGCTTTCGGCATCACAGATGAGATCCCGGAAAAGTTACCAGAGGTGCGGCCAACCAGGCTTGCACGCAAGCTGGAGTTGAAACAACAGCCGACCGAAGAGAGCGGTCATCCCTCGAAGCTTGACATTGTCACGCGCAATCGATTCAAGACGTTCGAAAGACTCTTATTAGAATCTGAGGATACGACGGTCTCATATGACAACGGTGAGGTATTCCAACACCAGATTCAAAATGAGCCAGAACGAACAGAAGAGAACCCGTAAGGGTGTAATTTAGTGCGAGTACCATTGATGGCAGGTGGTTAAGACCATGCGAATTTGTCAACGTTGTCGCGTTTGGCCATTGACTGTAAACTCAACTGAGTATGTGACAGATTATAGATTGATTTCTCTCGATTCCTTTGATGAAATTGGTGTAGATCGGTTTGTAGAAGCCATAGAACTTTGATGTCATTGTGCATCACATTTGCATCTTGGCTCGCCTGATTATGTTGGATGCACTGAGTGTCTCGAAACTGCCTACAAGCACCTGCAGTTCTTATGTCCGAACCAACGAGTAGACTTTGCATGCCAACATGCCTACTTATATTTGTAATATGCAATGCATGTGACCGAACGCCACACGCACGCTTAGCCAATGGCGATCCGATATTCAAATGAAGGTGAGAATAGGAGCAGGTTCATGAACCTAGCCACAACCAATTGAGGCTGTACAGGCTAGGAGCCTGCTGATGACGGACGCCTTTTCACTGAGGCGAAGCGAATGATGGTGTGAAGACGTGAAAGCAGGCTCTATTGCCTTCCATACTCATTTTCATCATACCACCGTGTTCATTCTCCTCTTTTCACTTGGGAGCAGCAGAGCACGAACGGATTTTGGGCGAAATGGCAGAAGGGGCTGCAGCTTTTGCCATTGCCGGCAACGTTCTACAATTCGTCGAATTTGCAACAAAATTCAGTAACAAATGTCTCGAAATTCATCGTGCTGGCGGGAGCGCTCCTGGCGACTTGCAGAGTCTTCGCTATCTTGTGGACAGCCAGCAGAATTTTTTGCAGCGACTGCGGGTGTCCGATTCAGAGCATTCAAAGATATTGCTGGAGCATGTAGAGGTCGCAAACGTTGCAGAAGCGTGTCACAAGAGGTTTGCAGACATTTCAAAGTCTCTGAATCAAATCGGCATAACAGGCGGCAAAACGGTGCGAAGTGTCGTTCTCAACGCTTTCAAGGCAACATGGAATCAGGACAAGATCGAGGCTCTCAGAAACGAGGTTGCATCGTTCAGTCAGAGCTTGAACACGTCGCTCCTCCACTCTTTAAGGTACGAGCTAAACCACTCCCTTGGCTATAGTAGGGCGTTGCGACCAATCCCAATGAACCCCGATGATGGAAGATGACCGTGCGATCTAGCATGGTCTCGATGTGCGGCGCATAGCTAATTATTTATCATTCAGAGAGTACGCTGCCAAGTCAGAAGAGCAGCAGATTGCTATATTGGAAAAGCTTGACATCATTCAGGACAACACTGGAACTTTGACAAGCACCTCTATCGTTGAAGGACAGGAAGCCTCATGGAATGCACCCGGGGATGCTGTCATAGCCTTCATCGTCCGCTCTCTTGACGCAGAACCTGAAGACCGCGAAAAGAGCGCCATGGAATTGCGACACGGCATACTCCAGCGTATCCTCCTCAATACAACCAGCAGGGTGAATCATGGCGAAGAGGTGGGCCCTCCGTCAATTAACCTACCTCGAGATCGCGAGAAACAACTTCAGGCCACGATATTGGCAAGTTTTGTTTACGATGTCATGGATGACCGGCATTCGAGGATCATTGATGCTCACGAGGAAACATTCCGCTGGATATTCGAGCATCCCAAAGAGGATCCAGGAAAGTGGTCCGACTTCAAAGATTGGCTCAAGTCCGATGAGCAGCTTTATTGGATCACAGGGAAAGCGGGTTCAGGAAAATCTACCCTGATGAAGTTTATCTGCAGCTCAGCCCCGGAAAGTCGTCCAGATAACACGATTGATCCTGACGAATCATCCGACAACCAGTTTGAGCGATGCCGTCACGACCTGCTGGACTGGGCTGGAAGTAGACCCCTGATAATCGCGTCATTTTACTTTTGGGCATCCGGGAACGAGTTGGAGGCCTCGCCGAAGGGTCTCTACATGTCACTCATATTTCAAATCCTTCAACATTGCCCAGAAATGATACCCCGTGTGGCACCTCTTTGGTGGGAAGCAATGTCGTTGTTTGACGACAAGCCCTCACAAATGACAGAAGCTGAGTTAGAAGCAATGATACGACTTGTTATCATCGAAGCTCAGAAAGAGCGAAATATTTGTTTATTCATCGACGGCCTTGACGAATTTTCGGGCAAGCCACAGAAACTTATTGATTTAATCAAATTCATCTTGGAATGCCCAAACGTCAAGGTGTGCGTCTCCAGTCGTCCTTGGGTTGTCTTTGAAGATGCTTTCCAGCACGATCCCAGTCTGAAGCTCGAAGATTTGACCTACAAGGATATCAAAGGCTTCATTGCCAAGAACTTTGCTGAGGATCCGGGATTTGCTAGACTGGCAAGAAGGGAACCGGAATACGCAAGTCTGCTAGAAAGTCGCATCGCAACCAAGGCCGCTGGAGTTTTCTTATGGGTCAGCATGGTAGTCAGGTCTCTTTTGTCCGGCATGGGAAACGACGACAGAGTTTCCGACATGCAAAGAAGACTTGATCAGTTACCGCAGGAGTTGGAGACTCTTTACAGCACGATGCTCGAATCTCTGGAAGGGTTCTACTTCGAACACGCAGCGCAGTACTTTCTTCTCCTGGAAGCGTGGAAGACATCGCCGCCTGCTGTGTTGTTTGACTTTGCCGACGAGGAAGTTGGATACCCCATCAGTCTCCGCGTGAGAGAGTGCTCCCAGGATGAGATCCGCGAGCGAGCCGAGACGGCTCGTCGCAGAATTAACAGTCGTTGTCGAGGGCTGCTTGAGGTGACATCCCCATCGACAGTCACCAAAGGTGTCGAGGGTTTCGGAACAGTACAATATCTCCACAAGACTGTGAGGGACTATATCCTGAAACCAGCTATAGACACAAGAATCAAAGCCGCCAGGCCGAATTTCGACAGTCACCTTCGTATATGCTCTGCATACTTGTCCGCCTTCAAGACCGTTGTGATCCAGGATAGACACAGGTCCGTTCCTGGCAAATCCTTTTCTGGCAAACCGCATCCTGGCAAATCTTCTGTTGACACTGACACAGAATGCGACGAAGAACTGGAGCGAAACATGAGCAATTTTGCTGCGTGTTGTCTGCAAGCGGCATCCAAGGTCAAGAAAGAAAACACGACTATAATGGTTGACTTGCTTGACTCTCTACGCGAGTCATCTGCACGGATGATCGGTGACGATGAGAAGAGGCAAGCACGCTTCTACCGTTCGGTATCCCGCTCAGAAGGTCTCGGCAACTGGTACAACACGAAAGCGGGACCCAGCTTCCTTTCGCTTGCTGTGCGGCTTGGTGCGGTGAACTATGTCGAGAATAAGGTATCTACAGGATGTTTAGTACCTCGGGCTTCCTTTGAGTCGATCAAAAAGTTCGAAATGTCCCCAGCACTCCGATTGAGACAACTCATTGGCGATACAAGTAGAAGTGACGCGACACACGTGTCCAACGACGAGCGACATTTGTCTTGGCCATTACTTGTAGACGCACTTCACCATATTCCACCGAGACTTGATATGGTCAGGCTCTGTCTAGAAAAGGGGGCCGATCCGAACTTCCAGCTCCACGGAAATGGATCGACTATCTGGACAGAGTGGATTGCAGATATGATTTTACGCATTGCTGTCGTGAAAGAAAAAGGTTCAATTCTAGAAATCACACGAGAAAGAATGAAGGACTGTTTGACGCCACGGTGGGATGCTACGCAGCTGCTGATTGAACATGGAGCGCGTGTGGACTCACATGCTCTATCACTTGCAAGGGCGAGATGGGCCTATTTGAAAACGCAACTCAGCGACAGGGAGGCAAAGAGGTTTGGTGAAATGCTAGTTCGCAAAACACAGGACAGAAGTTACGATTCGACCCATGCTCAAGCAGCTATGCTGATTACTTGACGGGAAGGGGGATAATTTACAATGTATTTAGGCCGTGGGAAGGTGTTGATATACACGTCAGCAGAGCAAACTTTTCGGCCGGTACAAAGCTGAATAATTGATATTGAAATGCGTATATGTATATGGAGGGAGGAAGTTGGTAGTTAATGCCTCCGACTCCTCCATTGGGTGTAAGTAGGTAGAACCTAAGTCCCTTTGTACCGGTCCGACCACCTGCCGCACCCCCCTTTCCTAGGTACCCTCAATACTCCAACAGAAAGATTCTATAGGTAGTGGTCATCAACGCCTTCTTATTCTGTCATCTGTCTGGAGAATCTTCCTCCCTACCTGTAGCGCCGGTAATTGACCTTCCAACCCCACCTCATCCGAACACGCCCCACATCCAACCTCCGTGACCCGATCCCCATCATCAACCACCGCGGCCCGGACCGAACTTCAGTCGGGACCCACCCATATCCGCAAACCAGGAAAAACAATCTCATCGCAAAGATCTTCTCCATCAAGATTCCATCTGACATCCGGAAGACCTCTCCAACCGACCCGGCATCAACCCCTCACCATAAATAGCATCCCATCTACTATCCCCTCCCGAGGGAATCGAATGATTCTCCGTCATTCCAAAAGCCACTGGTGCATGGCGTCCCGGCAATACACCTGCCCGTCCCCGTTGCCACATCACGCCCGCAACCCCCCCCCCCCCCTTCTCCCTCCCCCTCCCTCATGAGCTCGGATTTAGCCTCGTCTTCATCGGTCATTTTCACATTTGACATCTGTCACATTTTCCCACCATGCCTACCCGCACCCGAACCCTCAGCTCAACTCCAACGACCAAAGCCAAGACCCCCCCATCCCCGTTGGCCACGTCCTGTTCCGAAGTTGAAACCTGAGTAGTCACATTTCGAAATCCCGCCGGAAGAGAAGCTCAGTCGGAAAACTCAGAGAGACACCCATCCATCCTGCTCGCTTCTCACCTCCGAACCCTCCGTACGGCGAGCTGCTTGCATCCCCTCCTCCTCCCCGGAAGACATCTCACCCAAACGATCTCCCCATCTTTGCTATCATGTTTCATCAGCCGCAGAGAACCCTACCAACGCAAGCCATCGACGCCTCCCGCTCGCCTGCACCTACCCTCTCCAAACGAGCACAGGCATGCCAAACCCCGAAGAAGCTCTCATCTCACAGTCACACTAACCGCATATCAAGTCTCTAGAGTGACCAAGTACACCAACCGTCAGAGAAAAATTCCGTCACTCCTGGCCGGACGATTGGGGCACGCTGGCTCCCGCCGGACTTGAAGCTGCGCCACCACACTCTTCACCAGCAGTTATCCCCTACTAAGGGAAGATACCGAAGAAACAAGCACAACAGCCAGGCCGAGTATCTACCTTGCGCAGTTGGATGAAGCAGACAGCAAAAGTGCAAAATGAGGCAACCCGCAGTATGATCTGCAAAGTGCCGCCTTCACTTCCTCAGCCATCCTCACCTCCCCCAACCAACCCCATCTCACCTCCAAAGCCAGACATCAAGTGTCTCCCCATCTCCAAAACATCCAGCCTTCCACTCTCTTTCCAGCGAAAGTCACGGCGACCTGCATCTGAAACACGTGGCGTCAAACGCCCACAACCTTCTCCCACTCCAATACCCCCCTTCCCGTCGAGTCCAGGCCCAGCCCCAGACTGAATCCAGTCCCCCAGAGCCGCCTCGACATACCTACCGTGCGTTTCCCCGGTCCCTATCTCCGATGTAATCATCGCCGTGGCGAGTTTGCAAGCATGCAACATGGTAATCTATTCATCCCTCATCATGCAATGCACGACGCGCACCTGTCATCCGCAAATATAGACAATCAACCCACTCTCCCAATACACCAAAACACACGCCAAAAGCTGACGGCTGCCGAAGCGATACCGATAAGCAGTAGACACCAATAACACATACCACTTATCACGCACGTAGTACTCGCGCGGGGGAACCGGCAAGACTAGCAGGCTACCTTAGCTACCTACCTCCCCCGGGCGATGGACCGCTTGCCGCGGGGTAGGCAGACCCCCGGCGATCGACAGCATTACATCCGTCGCGGTCGCGACGCGCTGGACAGAGGTACGAAGCGAGGGGTCGGGTTGTAGCTTGGGGGACCTTAGAGTAGGGGAGGGGAGGAGGGGACGTCGTGGTTCCCCAGTATGCCCAGCAGCTGACGAAATGGGACAAGCTGACTTCTGCGCTCTACGAGGCACACCTCGTTGGGGCTTCATACGAGGCATACATCACAAAGGTGGCGTGAATCAAGACGCAAACACGAGCGCGGGAGCTTAGGACGGGTTATAGGTATTCAAGTAGGTTTATTTTCAGCCATCATGTGATGGCAGTCTATCCACCACCTTATACCGGTCGCTCGCAGCTCGAAGCTGGAGGCTTGAAACTGCGACCAGAAAGACGGTCGCAGCAGGGCTCGCCAATGTGGTAGAGTCCAAATCAAAGAAACAAGTCTGTACAAGATGGCTGGGCTCGGTCCTACCGCAGCGCCGAGCTTTGCGCCTGTGAAACGCCCAAGTAAATCCAACAAAACAGGCTGCCACTTTATCCCGTGGGCCTAGGTCTGCAACTCCGGTGCGGTTTTCCCCCAAGTCTAAGATTTTTCTCCTCCCTTTTGAACACTCCTCCCATTGGCTCCATATGTTTCTTCCGTAAGAAAGAAAGTATCTACAGGCCTTGCAGCGCCGCCATGGGCGCTTGCTATTTTAAACAATAAGAGTACTAAATAATAAACATAAACAATAAGATTTGTGGTGGGTGAACCCAAAAAGAAGACACGGTAAAAGGAAAGGTTGGTTCGTAAGATGTCGTAAGACGTGGCCTAGTCGAGGCGTGGTGGTAGAATGAGCGACGATAGTCGGGTATCTTGTGTGAAGAATGTTCGAAAGAAAAAAAGATGGTGATGTCCGACGTGAACCACACGCTATCATCACCGTTACTTCGGGGTCGTTAATCGTAACAGTAGGTTTTCTAGCCGCCAAATCCGTGTTTGAAGTGACGAGGCAGATAAAATATGTGAAGGGGCTGTGTCTGACCAAAGGCTGCATTCATCATCTGCGAATGCCAACCTTCTCGGCCAAGTTACGCCAGAAACGGCCTCCCTTGCGCTCCTCGCTCCTGGAGCGAATCATTTTCGTGTCGCGCTCCATAGGCCCGACAATATCTTCATCGCCACGCTCAGGGAACTTGCCCTCGGCATCAACAAGTCGAGGGATCGCGGTGGGGAGGCCGTCTTCGAGGCGACGCCATTGCATACTAGCAAAGGCATCGTCTTGGGTAGGTCTGCGCAGTATGGCAGAGCCGCCACTGCTGGCGCGAACGCGACCACGACTGCGGCTGCGGGAGCTTCCTGGGCGTTGGCTGCTTGACTTGTTGGCAGCCGCAATGCGCTCCATCGTCTGCTCGTGGAAAGTTCGCCAATTTTTCTCAGTCTCGGCCCACTTTGCCTCAGTGAGCGCATAGATTTTGGAAGTCTCGCTATAGTTTTCGCCGGTTCGCACAAGGTGCTTGGTGTAGCTGACACGAGCGGCTTCCCAGTCGGCTCGCAAGAGCCGGAGAGTGTCCATGTCAGCCTCCACCGGTTGGTAGGGTTGCGGAGTAATGGTGAAGTTGGCATGCCCAAGGCGATCCGACCACTCGTCGTGGTCCTGAACAATAGAGGGGAACCCAATAGGCAGCTCTTGGCTCGATTGAACGTGTCGGAAAGAAGAAACTGACGGCTTCGCGCTCAGCGAGGGCGTCGAAATCTGAGCAATCGGCTGAGGGGAGGGGATTTCCAATGAGAGCGTTGAAGGATCCACGCTGGGGGATTGAAGAGGACTGGGATGAGGGACTTCTGTTGGTGGGCTGTTCATCAAGAGGGGAGGAAGTAGAGGGGTTGCGGCGAGGGCCCGGTCACGCTCGATGCTTTCTCTCTCATTGTTGGCCTTTTCAATGTCGATGGGAGCCGGAGAATCAACACTTTCGCTACTTTCCCAGAAGGAAGTGGCGGGAGTAGGGACCGAGTATTCGTTGAGCCTATCGAGTAACTGCCGTGTAGGGCCAGACAAGGAGGAAGACCGACTTGATGATGCCGCGCGAGAAATAGGATGAGCGTTCTCAAACGTCAACTCGGTAGTAGGCGAAGCAGTCAACTGTGCCCGCTTTGTAGACTTCCATCGCGAGAGCTGTGGAAACCGTGACCCCAAACGTGTAGCCAAGCCGGAGAAGGGAGATTCGGTTCCACTCCTCTTTGTATCCAACGTGGATGTAAAATCGCCATCACTGGAAAATCCAAGGTCATAGTCGATATCGAAACCGGCAGGGTACACGCTGTTGAGCGTCTCAGAGCTCTCGTGGTGGATGCATGGCTCGTCGCCTATTTGGTCATATTAGTGTCGAGCTAGTCAACAGAAGCAGAAGCCGACTTACACAAGCAGTTGTACAAATCGAACGGCTCAGCCAAGATAGTGTTTTCGTCAAGTTCGTCTCTCTCCAACGGTTCCTCTTGCACATCAGGAAGTGGCCTCTTGGAAGACTTCGTGTGGATAGTTGATGTTGGCGACGATGGGCTTTCATTGACGCAGGTGGGCGGGAGGTCAAGTGATGAAGATGAACTGGAGTAGCGTAGATGTCCCCTTGTTGAGAAGGTAGGTGTAACGGGTGATGCAACGTCGGAAGACGAAGAATTTGTCGTATAGTAAACGTACTGTCGGTCCATTTCGCTTTCTGTGAACTCGGGCTGTTGCTCTTCGAATTTGCGACGCTCTTCGACAAGCTGAGGTAGCAGCAATGGTTTCAACCTGGGAGACATGGTGTCTGCCCCAATGTTTTGTAGGATTTAGCAACGTTAGTTACTGTTGCGTCAGATGTTCAGGTTGGATGTTCGGGGCTTGTGTCGTTTGGTTATATCTTGACAGGCGTGGTGGGGTAGCCAGACGTTGGATTGAACAGAGAGAAGCTGCTGCTGCTGCTGCTGCTGCGGTGATGATGAGATGAAGCAAATGTGTTGTGCCAGGTTCTTATCCGATGTCATTCCAAGTACACATGCGTTTAGTATCCGATTTCAAGTCGTGTAAGGTTGCCGTTATTGTCGCGAAGTGGGTGCGTTGGGGTTTGGTCTGGTGTAAGTACTCTTTGGGTACTTGGTTGTTGTCGACGCCACTCAGATGGTTCCTGTCAGCCGGATCTTCCCACTCCACATTCTCGTGAACCTGTACTGGCTGCTTATGTTGTCTCTCTTTCCCCCAGCCGACAACAGCGACGTGGCGTTTTGCTGTTGCGAACTCTTTTATTTTTCTCCCCTCGGAGGCGGTGATTGTTGTCGTGACTGAGTGAGTGACGGCAGTGTAGAAGCCCTGGAGGAATGCCCTGGTTTTCTCCAATGAAGTGAAATCAGATGTTCGAGCCGGCCGTTTGTCAAGGGCGGTAAGTTGTCCCACGTGTACGAAACTGGTGCAGGGTACCTCGGCCTGTCTGGCGGTGGTTGGGCGTGAGTGTGCTGGTACTGGGGGTCCAGCAGGAATTTGGTTATGCGTGCGTTGTTGTTTCCTCAGTGCAGATGCCTCCTCTTCCAATCAAATGGGGGTGACGATGGACCCAATGCGACACTTGACTTGATAGCTCCGGGTCTTGCTGCAGGGCGCACACGTGAGGGGATGACAGCGTCGTTGAAGGGTCGCGGGGAATGGGGGTTCGTAACGCAAAGGTCCAGACGCAAGGTGAGGCGGTCGTCGATATATGAGGCCGTGGAGGTGTTGCTGGGTTAGACAACGGAAGAAGCCTATAGTCTAAGAGAGGATCGAACGACTGGCGACGGGTGCTAGCTTATGGCTTGCGACGAGTGACTATGCTTCTACGGGAGAAGAGATGACGGACGGGAAACAAGTCGAGACAAGACCAGACCAGACGGCGATGGGTTCCCAGCCAGGTGATATTTCCCACAAGGAGGGTGGGAGAAGAAAATGTTTGGACAGGACAGACGGGTGGCAGTCGGCAAGGAAGACAAGGTTGAGAGGCAAGGTTGTGGGCGTGGGTCCGGACGGAGGGGGTGTGTGCGAGTTTTTTTTAGTTTTTTTTTGCAGCGACGGCAACGAAGAAGACGAAGACTTTCAAGACCGAGCGAACTGCGTGGGCGAAGTGGGTGAGGAAAGTGGAGACGAGGTACCCAGAAGGAGCAACCGGAGCAGGGGGTGTGAGGATGACCGTGGCCGGGAGCTAGGATGCAAAGGCTTGGTGGGAAACTCAAGCTTACCTTCCTTGTCTTAGCTAGAAACCAAACCTAAGATCCAAGCTAACTTTTCTGTGTGCTTACCTTTTGTGTTTTTCTTTGGAGGGCAGGAGGGCAACTGGAGTCTGGTCTGGATGGGAAGGGGGAAAAAAACAATAACATTGGTTACCTGAGGGCGGTACGTACTATTTTTCACCTGACCTGACGAAATGGGAAACCTGCAGCAGACACCGATTGGGAAGGAAGTAAAGACAGCGAAGGATACGTACCCATCTCTCAAAGCCTTCCTTCTTCCCTGCGTCCTGGGCCTTTTTACCCTGATCCCGGCCGGAAGAGGAGGTACCTAAATACGTAGGTACATGGAAGCATGGTGAGGTCAGGCAAGAAAGGGAAGGAACGAACTGGTGCCATGTGCGATGGATGGGAGGAAGGCAGGAAGGAAGGCCGGCCAGACCTTCTTGCCTTCCATGTCTTCCTCTCCTTCCGTGTAATTCTAGATAAAAGGTACATTGCTGGACTTGGTGGTGGAGGGAAAGAGGATCCTATTGTCTATCAAGTCGGTAGGCAGCTCCCATTAAGCCAGTCGAGAATGGCAGGAGCAGAGTCGGTTGACGAGGTTGACAAAGAATAGGAACGGAGGAGGGGAGGTGTCCGCATGTCCTGTCGGTTTACCTTAGTCATTTTGGCTGCACCTCTGATGGGAGTCATCGTTGCACACATTTTTCCCTCATCCCCCAGCTAAACCCCACGATGGACGGCGGATACTCCAACTCCTCCATTCTCCCGTGTACAAGTACACAACTCATCATCAGGACACTTACGATTTTTTTTTTTTTTTACCGACACCGACTGAAAACACTCTTCCGCTTTTCTTGCATCTTGCCTCTGCCCCCCAAGACGGGTCTGTGGGACGGGGATGCATGGAAACTGCTGCAACAGGGCGCCTCTGTCGTTTCGTGCTATTCTTTCTTTTCTTGTCTTTCTTTGTCTCTCTTTTTTCTGACTCTATCGGCACAGCCAACCCCCGTCTCTTTCAAAGTCACTTCCCACACGGTCAAGCCTCGAGGCAAAAGAAGAAACAAGGGCCCTTTCCATTAGGAGTCCGCCTTCCGGTTCCCTCTGTCAACAACAAGCTCGCCCGCAGCCTAACTACGGAGTACCTACGCAATGCCTACCCAGCGACCCGTTCTACGCCAGATGCAGCTTAACCTCATCCCCTGGTCCGTGTGTCGCCGTCGACTAGGCCCCAGGCTCAGTGTGGAGGAGGATAGTGGAGGAGCTCCCTCAAGCGTCTTCATGCCATTTTCTCTGCCTCTCTGCCTCCGCCTCTGCTGATGGGTCGATTGGTTGACGCGGCGGTCAGAGATCTCTGCCTCAAAGACGGCCCAAGCCTTTCGGGATTCAGGGTTTTGCGCTGTGCCCTATACCGGAGCCACGTTCCCATGTTGCATGTTCGTTTGCGGCTCGCGGCTTGCCCTCGGCTTTCGACGTTGGTGGAGATTTCCTTTGGAATGGGGAAAATACATCTCCGACCCGATACCAGCTTGGGTATACGGAGTACCTATTGAAAGGCGTTTTCAACGAGTTTCCCAATAACTACAGCAGAACTATCGGATGGAGTCATGCTCTAATGGCACCAGTCGTCCGTCTACGCCGGTGACACCCCCTACGGCTGCACCCCGTTCCGATATTCGAGACACCGGCGATACAGAGCAAGACAGTACGGCTGATGTGACTCTCGTGTTTCCACGGCAGTTGGTTTGCTTAGTCCACTGCCTAGAGAGACTGAACCTGACTCTGCGACGAGAGGGAGGCGGTCCTCAAACCACTTAAGCTGCGTCACTGCTATGCCAACGACACGGAAGAACGCGGTGCGCAAAGCTAGCCCGCTAGCTTGGCAAAGGTAGTTCATCGGGGTTTTGTGGTGTTGTCAGTCCACCAACCCACAATACCATCGGTGACATTCTGCTGACACCAAAGATACGTGCCTTGGACTCCAGAGATTTTGACCGCCGATTCTGCCATTAACATGGGCAATTAACGCTGCCGATTGCCTGATGGCACCTCGTGTAGTTACCAGGCGCAGTGCAGAACCAGGATGGTGTCATTGGCGAGGGTTTTCCGTCTTCTCCGAGCTATTCTACAGCCAACTCTTATGCAGTGGACGTCACAGAGCAGACCTTGCAGCAGCCAACCGTCGGTCGAATTCCCAGTATGTATACGGAGTACTTCGGCCTTCCTCTGCAGTCTTAGCAGCCTCCGCACACCAGTTGAGCGGCTGCCAGTCCATCGACAGAAACGTTGCTGCAGCGGAGCGACGGACACCAATGGACATGCGTCAGTCAATGGCTGAACAGACAGGGAGCGGGGCAGGGTTCAGGGCTTCTCCCCGCCCATAGTCTGCCCGCCAAACCTGGCTTTCGCGTTCTTCATTGCTGGGAATGTCGGAGCCTCAATGCTCATCATTGGGTTAACTTTGAGGCATCCAGCTGTGGCCTGTAAGTCTTCGGTCACCTACGCAGTTGGTTAACTTCTACGGATCTTATTCCTCCAGACGTTTCTCAACGCCTCTTTCGTCGCCCCCTCTTCTCTCCTCGCGATCCGCATTTCCTCGTCCGGCAGATATCACAGCAATTCGAACCATGGATACGTATCAAACCTCGCTTCTGCATCCACCTGTTGTCGGTGACGGCATGCCCTCTTGCCGCTTCGGCCTAGGGTCCGCCGTCTCTTTTGCCCTGCTTTGGCACTGCCTCTGGTGTTCCGAGAACGCTAACCCCGATTCGGTTTCGTTTCCATCGCCATCAGGGATCATAGCTCGGCCTCCTCACCTACCCTCCCCTTGTCTGTCGGTTCGGCCAGGGTACCAGGCTCCGGTCCAACGTTATCCTCTGTCTTGACCGGGGCTACAGAAACGGTCAAGCGTCCTTGCACCAGTTCCCCTCATCCCTGGTACGGGTTGTGCTCCCCGTTGGCCGGAGGAGGGCTCGCGGGAGACGCTTGCAAGTCGCCAGCCACTGACAGCTGGATGGACAATGGCCGACATGCACCGCGGTTGAACCAAAGAGATGTCCACTATTTCACGGCACGCTCTGCTGGGACAGCTATGGAGTACGTTCTGGGCCTTCTCAATCTCTCCACCCAGGCGGATCCTGCTTTGCCGATTTTGGGTCCGGCTCCAAGAGCCCGGTGGACCTGACACTGAACGTTGACGGGGACACTTGAGCATGGCTCCGGCGGATCTGCATAAATCGGCTGGATTCGTCCGCTGCATTATGCATGCACAATGATCTGGCTATTACGAGGTCGACCGTCGCCGACCGGTCCCGCCCTTCAACGTCCGTCACTTCGAAATCTATGTTCCCAGTCGTGCCATATCACTCGCCTACGAGCCGATAATTCTCTAATGTACACGGACAAGACATCACCCAATACTATGCCGTCCGAAAGTTCAGGCAAACAAGGGACGAGAGCCTGAGCCTTGAACAGGCTCCCACTCGATTGTGTATGGTACCCCGCGCAGCGCAAACCGTTCGACGCCCAAACCCACTAAGTTGTCCCCGTAGCCTTCAGCAGTCCTCGCTGCAGATACAGTTTGCCCGATTGGCTTTTTCACATTGGCTATCTCTATTCTCCAAGATTTTCGCTTACTTGGAGGTCGATTGTCGAGTTGTTCCCAGCTTTTCGGTCGCTTGATTGGGTTCGTTGTCCACAGGGGCCAGGGCTTGATGTACTTCCCCCAGCGAGAGGTTCGTAACTCCACTGCGCAGCGACCAAGAGCTCGGTATGGATACACCACTGAAGCGCCGGAAACTGCGGACCTCGGAGCACAACAAAGAATAACGCGGATAAGATTTGCTAGTGCTTGTCACCAAGTATGGTTTGGGGCATTGGCCTATTGGGTATCAATCAGTGCAGTCATCGACTCCTTCAGCGACGTCGGACAGTGTGGTGCAGTTTTTTACAATGCAGAAAACCTGAAGAGGTCAACTTATCAAAATCAAGGCCAGTCGATGTGCCAGTATCTCGACTCCATACTCCGTACTCCATACTCTCTTCTGAGCGAGCATCGCCGACGGCAAAGCTTTTGGAGGATCCCGGCGGCCCCTCAGCCCGTTTTCGGCATATCAGGTCCATGCTCCAGTCACGACTCACGATTCACCCGCCTCTCGTTAGGGTGCCTTCATCCCCTCAACCTTGCGAGCGGGTATGTTCCAGGTCGGCGGGTAACGCAACGCTGTGGCGCGGGGAGCGATGTAGCTGCCTCCTTCCTGCTAAGGAATAGTGACCAGCCCCCAGAAGATGGGTGTTGATGGAATGGCATGGAACGATACGATGGAATTTGAGGGCCATATCTTTGAGCAACGCCGCAGCAGTCGCAGCTAAGCCGTGATGCAAGAGTCAGGTTGCTCACGACATGGCCCTAGGCCAAGCAACAATCTTGAGTGGAAGATCTGATTTTTGTGCACCTACGAAGCCCTGAAGAGCCAGCTTCGTGGTCATTGACAGAACATCAAGACCTCGTCAATGTGCATGTCATTCCATGCCAGTCGCCATTCTTGAGACCACCCTCAAGGCCTTCGGATTTTGAAAGGTCTTGCGTACTCGGAAGCTTTGAGTATAGGTATTTCAACCTCAACCCAACGCTTTGGGTTCCAAGGAGCCTGTGCCATTTTGAAGCAGTGCAGCCCACAGCGGAGACCAACTGACAAGTCTGACATGGATCTGATCGACGGGTGAGAATCTCGATGAGTTGCCAGGACCTGAGCGAGGAATGACGATTGTCGAGTATGGCCAAGAACTAAACTCCAGCTTCTGGTGGTCCACAACGGCGCAATTGGCGAATGACGTGCTGCGCCCTGGTCCGATATTACAACATCCTCTCAAAGCCAGGGCCACCCATCGTAACCTCACGAGGCCTGCCAAATCCCCATATGGTTTACGGGATACCGAGGGTTGAAACTATCCGTGGACAGGTCATAGCAGCGACTGTCACTACGATGGTTTCCTGTTATTACGACACGGGCAGATCCCCACTCAGGTCAATGCACCACAACAAACAATTGAACTCACGCCCATCGGCTGCCTAGGTAAACACTGTTTGCTTTGCAGTGGTTGTCATAACAGAGCAGTCACACATCAATACGCAGAGGACATCAGGAGACAATAGCTGAACTGCGACAAGAGGATGCTCTTCAGTACGCGGGGCGGTATCTTGCCCATTCATCCGGCCAGGCATATCAGCTTGCTGGATCCCTTCCCATTCTGATGCAGCGCCATGGTTACCGTTGGCTTGGGTCCTTCAAGCGCTGAGTTTCGTTGGTCGAACATTGTCCTATGGTCATCCGCACGCAGTGTTCGCTGGTTTTCCAAGTTCCAACCCCGGAAAATCTACCCCCCAGCAATTTTCTGCCTGCAAATTCGATCTTGACGACTAAGGCAACTTTTTTCTTAAGGAAAATGAAAGGCTGGGGAATGTTGACGTCTTCTCCACGAGCCGCCGACTTATCAACGCTGCCGCCCAGCTGAAGTCGCAAAGAGAAGCGCATTGCCAGTTGCCAGGCTGCCTCTTGACTTGATTCAGCCAGCGCCTCGTGTATAGGTATTGCCTGTCAAGCGTCGCTGCTACAGGGAGGCTTGATGGCGCGAGACCATTGTCGCAAGTTCAGAACATTGTAGCGAAACGCTGGTAACCTCACTCGGGGCAACGAAGCGCCTCCTTTGAGGCTGGCGGAATGGATGGAACTTGGTGACTGACTCTGCTTCTACCAGGCGGATTCCTGGATCCTGTCCAGTCAAACGCTTGGGGCTCATTTTGTCGTACACACGCCTGCTGCCGGGGCGGGGTAGCAAAAGAGGGACGAACGTACTCTCCCTGTCTTTCGCCGCTAGGTATAGTACTGCCCCGAAGTCCTGGAAGCGCCTCGACCAGTCTGCCAGTTCGTCTGGGCAACGGACAAGGGCCAGCCATGTTCCCGGAGTCGCGCGATCATCTCCTTTTACCTTGCCTCGTTGAGATGTGTCGAGCCAGGCATTCGTTGACTCGCAGCTTGTCGATCCCTTCCTGTTCCTGGCTGAAGGACGTTAAAGGCACGGGTACACACTTAATCGAATACTCCGTGGACGACTACCTATACGTATTGGTTTGAGGCTCCCGACGGCTCCAAGATTCAACGAGCAGCCTGCGAAAAGGCGGGCCGGCTTTGTGTTGGCCGTTTGGACAAGGCCTACACTGAATCAGCTTGCCGGCATCACGGTCACATTGTGCTTTCACCATGGCCAGACTCAGCCAGCATCCAGAGTCATTTTGCATCCACCACTTTCCGCATATCCATGTACAGAAGCATCTTCTCCTTGGACATCGACATCGACATCTCAGCCCTCTCTTTGACAGCTGCACCTTGCTCCGAAATTGCACTGCCCTTCGTCAGCGCTGCATGTGTTGTCTTAAGAAAAGAAAAGGAATGCTACGGATACAGCCCACTAACATTACGCTGCGACCATGAAGCAAAGATCACGACGCGGAGCCCCTCTCAAGTCTCAACTCGCAGGTCTGAGCTTCGATACCACGTGTGTCGGGCATTCTCCACCAACATTCTAACAAGGATCCTCCACTCTGGCCAACTTCTAAATTTTGAATTTTCAGCAACGACTCGAATGCAACCTCGTTTTCTGGCCGCCCCATCATTGCTTCTTCTCGGATGATAGCACCACATGCGGCTTTCAGCATCGTCATCTAGCTTGGAAGCAAACTCTGTTCCACGTCTCGCAAAGATGTCGAGGTCTAGGGGCCAGTCTCACTATCAGGTGGCTCCACAAGTGACAACGCTGGTCGGTTCGCCCTTCCTATCCCGCCTCCCGTCTTGTGACTCCAGTCTCGAGGATAGATGCCACTGCACCGGCACGACATCAAAGCCGTATGGCATAAGGGCGAACCACTGCGAAGCTTAGACGAGAGCACAGTTGTCCCTAAGAACCGCCAATGCATTCGTAACGTCTTACTTTTCCTGCAGGCTTTCCCCCTCACTATACGGAGAGAGCTCCCACATCCCTCTCGCCTGGTTCAGCCCGTTAACGGCCGCAACATCCAGTTGTCACTGAGAGGTTGGCTGATAACCGCGAGAGTTTGAAACGAAACTTTTTCTTCTCCTTCTAGGTTGTATGACTCCAGTCTGCCAATTTCTCGCTTGACCTTCTTGCGTAAAAGTCCGTCTCTACAACCGAAGTCTTCCTACGTAGCTAATTGTCTCATACTCACTATCCACCTGGCTTCCGTGCCGCCTGGGAATGTTTGCCGTCATCAACTGAAGGGATGTGGCTTTGAGCATGCTAGCCGACCTGCATGTACGGCGGGTTTTGCGAGAAACCCCCCCGGCATGATGAGAACGTTTTTCTTTCTACTGCGCCGTAGTACATCGGATGCTTTCGTCTCTCAACTCACTTCATCTAGGCCTGCCGGTGGAATCTCAAGGTGGGGCCACAGATCCTTCCTCACTGCAGCGGAACAGGCTTGTTCGCTTATTGCATGCTCGACACTCTTGCCTGGTACTGCTGATTTGACCTAACACTACGCCGCTGAGCTCAAGCCCTTGGTTCACTCAGCAAACGGCGTACGACGAGGGACGCCGGCCAGCCCCGGTGGAACCCAGATAGGGACCTGGCACGCCCAACAATTGCCTCCTCAGATCTGACGACATCTTGTTGGCTAATCGATCTAATGATATATGATTATATCATGATCACGATGGATGGAGTGCTCTTTTGCGGGTCAGCGAGCCCACCCTGCTATTTCCGTTGGCTCCCGTGCCTTTTGCCTGACATCGAGCAAAATGTGTAGCGAAGACGAGAGCTTTCACCAACGGTCTTCGGCCTAGCTATTCGCCCCTCCTGAAGCCGGCAAGCGGCGTAAATCCCGTGGGCGCTTGACCCAATAGCCCTCAAGGCTGCGCCGTCGACCGGAGACGGGACAGCTTCGAGAAATTTGGGGCCGGTCAGAACATGGCCGACCGAGGCACCTGGGGTTCGACACCCTCACGAGAGCACAGCCATTGATTATACCCAAAGCCTGCATCTAACTGGTGCAGCCTTGTCTACGGAAGAGGGTGTGCAGCGTCACAATCTCTGCAGTCTGCACCTATTGAGTCGATATTCCCAAGCCCGCCGGTACGGTACCTGGATTGGAGATGAGGTTTTTTCCCTCTTGGTCTTGCGTCCCTTGCATTAGTCGTGCCCTGATGGAGGGTTGGATTGGCAGTCCATTCGCCGATGCTGACTTGCCAAATGCAGAGGGGACGGAAGCGAGAGGGGAAGACACGGGTGGCCGGTGACGGGCATGACGGATACCATCCGGTGCCTGGGCTCTCGCCTTAGGGCTCCGGTAGAAGCGCGCGTGGAAGCCTCACCTTGCAGCAGGGCCGCCTAATTCTATTCTCTGTCAGTACGGTTGCATCGAGGAAGCCCACCCCGTCAGCGACAGGAAGAAGGATCCATCATCTAACAGTCTCTTCGCTGTTGCCACTTCACATGTGAACTGAAAAAAAGTTGCACACATCCATGTCAGGGAACGATGCCGGCTGACCGGGTGGGGGGCCGATGTGTCTGAATTTCTGACGGGGGATTATGACCGAGCAGGAGGCCGATGCGGAGGCTCGAGTGAGTTTTCTTTGGCCTTTTGAGTTGAGCCGACGTGGAAGACCGGTGCCTTTGGACCGGCCTGGACTCGGCCAAACAGGAGGAAGAAGAAGAAGAAATGGGAATAGGTACTTCCATTGTGACAGTTGGCCATCAGCGGTTTGGAAAAAATCTGCATGCGTCAAGACTTTTCGCGAAGTTCGAAGTCATCGGTCGGTGGCAAGCCATAGACCCATCAAGCCAAGGTCGGCACTCGAATCTCAACAGAAAAGGGCAGAAAAAAGAGATCAGAAATTTCACTCTCCGGTCCCGACGGAATTCAAAGTCGGATGATACAGTGGCGTTAGGTTACTTCTATGGTTGGGATGAAAGAGGGTAGCTGGCGAGGGGCGTGGCGTCCTTACCTGTAAGCCATCCGTTGAAGCGGCTTACAATTCTCTCGGAACCAGGTTGTCGACACCTGGATAAAGTTGATGTCGCGTGCGCCACCTCCTCTATTTGGTAATGATGATGGTTCATGGGTCTTCTAAGACTCCCAACAGTTAACGCCGGCAGATACGAGGGTAAAAACGGCGAACAGTTCTACAAGGTGGACGATTAATACGTTCAATGACAAGTCGTCTTCAAGGATGAATGGATGGCCTTTGAGCAGTTCAGATCAAACAGGCCGCCGCCTAGACAGAAGGCAACAAAGTCCCCGGCTTTCCTACCGAAGAGCTCGGTGCGCTTCCGGGCGGTTTCGCCTTTCATTCCAGGCCATCCATCGTCATGGTGAGGCGTGTGGCAAAGAATGGGGTGTTTCTTTTGGGCCTCCGTCGCACGATGCCACGAGGCGTTGCGGGAGACATCGGCGCCAACAGTTGGTGTCACGATTGCGTGTGTGCACGGGCGAGTGTCCTCAAAGCGGAAACATGGATGGATTTCGATGTGACCGCAAATAGTTGTCAAAATCTTCAGAGGAACATTCCTGCGACAATGACTCAGATTCCAAGGATCCCTGATATTGGGGTTGGTGGCGGCGATGCCTAGGAAACACTTCATGGCGCTTTGGAGGGCTGAAAAGTCAATTGAGAGAGAGGAATGAAAAGCCAATTCCCGCTTTGGAGCCATGGAAGAGTCTCTCTTCTTTGCGTTTTTCCGTTCAAAGGAATGGCGCTGCAGCAACAAAGTCAATCAATAATACCTTACTCAACAGGGCCAGCAAGCCCAGAAACCGACATTGAAGCCCAGCCTAGCCAATAGAAGAGGAAAGTGACAGCAGCTTACGCGCGAAAAGGCGAATGGCCGAGTTTTGCGCGTAAGGACTCTGTCTGCCCTCTGTTTGACTTACACCGAGGCGCATGTAGAGCAAAAGATTCGATGCTAATTCCGAATAGCCACCCGTACCTTACAGACTGCGCCCTCGTGGCAGCTTGGACTGGCGCAAACGCGCACGCTCACTCGGGGAATTTTCTTTTTATCATTACCTATTCTTTCGGGACCGAGGAATGCTGCGGGCTGATGCAAAGGTTCGGCGCCACCAATGTCTGAGACCCGTGATCGCCCGTCAACCCGCGATAAGAAGAAAGCCGCAGGCTACTTCCTACTCTACTACGTCTTACCATGGGGATGATGTGCTTTTCGCTGCGAGACATTCGAAACCCCCGGAATCGATCGATGTGATCTCGGGGAAAGGGGGACGACGGCGCACTGATGGGGAATATCGAGCGACAAACTTAGGTTGCGGAAACCTCGAGCTGGGTTCACTTTTTGGTCCCGCCTAGGCAGATCGAGAGAATGCAACCAACTGGTAAGGCTCGGGTGAGGTCTCTATTGCAACTTCACCTCAGGCCAAACCGGTGAAGGGCAATCCGTTGGTGACGACACCAACGTCTTGTAGCTGGCACCCTTCGAGACGCGACGTCGTGGCCGTTGGCGGTAGTCCACGGACGCGGGAAAGGATTTGCCCAACGGCATGTCAGGCACAATGCAGTGCATTGCTACTCTGCTGCTCAACAACTGTCGGGAATGAGGGTGATCCTTCGACACGATGCCACGGCTGCTGCTGTTGGTGATGTTGCCGCCGCTGCCATCACATCACATCCCGTCACTGACCAGGTACCCTCGCTCCCCCATTGGACCACGTGTGGCCAGCAGCGATGCCACGTCCGATTTGTGCCTCGGATGCAGCATCGCAGGACAGGGCTCTTTTGTCTTTTTTGGGTTCAGGCACGAGCAGGACCCTGCGAAGTGCGAGCTGAACTCTGCGCTCTCCCCCGTCACGGTGGGAAGAGACGAAATAATCTTATGTTCTGCAGACGGCATCTGTTCGTTGGGGTGACCGTTCGTCTCTCCTTCGTAGGGGAAAAGGATGGGATGGAGGGGGTGTAGACGTTGGTGTTGGGTGTTCTCGATTGATGCGGGTGGGATGCGCTCGGTCAGCGTGGTTGGTGCCGCGGTTCGCGGAGGTGGGATTCCGGGGAAGACGGGCTGGTTTCAGAGCCGAGAAACTTTTTGCGCTTTGCTCTTACAGAGTCGAGAACTCCCAACCGCGACGCGGGCGACGACGCGTATGGTGTGGTGAGCTTACACACTTTGTGTGTGTGTGTTTTCATGGTTCTTTGGGTTGTCACTAACATCGTACACGAGATTTTGCAACGGTCTAGCTTTTTTGTTCCTTTCACGCGGCGACGCGTACGAAGTTCTACCGAGGCATGATCGGCTGCGACTAGTCGACTGGATGTGGGAGAACCTCAATGCGCGCGAATCATCAGGGAATGGATTGGAGGCATTGCCCTCCGAGGCAGACGGCATACATTCAGGCCCGGTTGCTATTTGGCTTTCTGGATGTCCGAGTATGTGTGGCGTCGCGTCATTCGCCCGGCCAACGGGAGGCAAACCGCGGGATGGGACGGGGCGCGCAATCGGTGACGAGATGTGATTGATGGGTGGTGTGCCCCGGGACGGGCGGGAAGGGCGAGAGGGCGGGCGTTTGATGGGCCAAGCTTGATCGCTGAGCAACTGAGCCTTGGTGAGTCCTGGAGGTCGGCTCTTTGTCTTTTGAGATTGACATTGACACGATCATTGCTCTTGGGGATGATTATCTCTCGAGAAGGGAAGCTTGGTTCCAGAGAGCGAGGAAAAGCGATGCCGGATTCTGCAATAGACGCGACGGGGAGATAGGGTCGGTATGCCACGCTGCAACAGACCCGGCGGATGCGGACGGCGGATGTGGATGCGGGATGGACGGTAGTCCCGCGGTGGTGGGTCGCGCGGTCCATGTGGTTGCAGGAGGAAGGATTTGCGGTCCCGGCGGTGCGGGCGCGGTATTGTTGTATTGTGGTTATGACTGAGTCTGTCCGTTACAGCATAATTATCCCAGAAAAGAGGAACAGGAAGAAGAAGAAGAAGAGGTCTATGCTGAGCTGTTTGCTCAAGCGCAAGCGCGACATCGGAGGTGACATGTCGAATCGCGCGGCACATGCACGAAATACTGCGAGACACTGGGCAAAGGGCACAAGCCTCGAGGCAGCACACCAGAGATGGCAGCACAGAGGATGAGGTCTAGACCTGGCCGAGCGCAGATGTCTCTTCCTTCTCGCTCTTTGTGCTGGAGAACGTTTTGACTGCCCTTTCTTGGTCCCTTTTTAATCCCGTTTGGTGCCCACAGTTACTTACCTTAGTTGGGCTGCAGGTTGAAAGACTGATAAGGGTTTTCGCGGGTTGAGGATTGAGGGTCGAGAGGACCTATGCGCCTGTCTGTCGCTGTCTGAGCATGAGCGTGAGCAGTATTTTACCCTTGGTCTGAGGGTTTGGCAGGTTTAGGGGCAGAGATTCCGCGGATGCCGGGTCCGAAGGTTAGGGATGTTGGGGGGTAGGCGGAGCAGTGGCATCTTTGAAGATGAGGGATACGTGAGGGTTTGGGTGTTCTTTGAGACCGAGGCGCCTTGCTCGGATGGGATGTGATGTAGGAGGCTTTCTCGGACGTCCCCTCCAGGCTTCGCCCATAATGTGTATAGCCGTTGCTCGTTACGGACTGCGTTGTGTACTCCGCGCCACGGGAGGGTTTCTCAGCAACTGACGGGGCTGCGAGGGTGGTGTTGAAGGGATTCGGTCTGGTGATCACGGACGATTGAGGTGATTCGGAGACGAGTGTCTTGCCTGTGGGAGATTTTCGAACGTGGCTTGGCTGGCGCGACGTACGGCAAGGCTGCGTGGTGCGCCTCTGGGATTCGCGAGGCGGACTATTCTAGGTAGACGTTTTACGGGTTTGAGGAGCTAGCTAGCTAGCACAAGGAATTCGAGGCAAGGTAAGGTGAGGTAAGGTAAGGTGAAAGAAATAGAGCAGAGGGCGACTTGAGTCTGGTGGCTTTTTGGGGGGATCGTAGGCAGCAGCGCCGAAAGCGGGGTCGTTTGGCCCCTCGCCAAGTATCGTCTCAACCTCTTCGTGAATCGCTTCGTACCTTGAACAATGGGGAAAGCATTTACCTCGTTTCGAAATATTGGTATGTCTTTTGTGACTCATTCTACGGCACAGCAAAGCCGGTGAACGTGAGACCTTGAGGACGATGTCTATAAGGCAACTCACCGCATCTCCCACCAGCGACGTGGAATCTTGACCGTCCACCTTACAAACTCACATAACCATGGCACCCCGAAAACAACCCAAAACATGCCAACACACATCCATCATCGTCGACGCCTCAAACTACGGCCGCACGAGGGCAGGGTTCCTCCGCGTACCCGTTGAGAAACGCGTCGCGGCGACGACGAGGTCTGGGAGGGTTTTGCCGGTCGCGGAGGCCGGTACCTCCAACTCCAACTCCAATCTCGGCCCGGGCCCTGGCCCCGCCCGACCCGGAGCGGCAGCTGACAACACCTCCGCACCACTCCCGCTCGACCCATCCACTTTTCCCGGCCCGCTTGTCCTCCCCGACGACGACCTCGCGCTGGAACCGCGGTATCCGCCGCAAAGTTTGAGGGCGTGGGCTGCGGGGGAGTGGAGGAATAGGATTACGGCGGGGAGGAAGACGTTGTATGTTGCTGATTTCCCGGGGGTGGATGTGCAAGGGGGTGTTGGGTTTATGAGGGAGTGGGAGGTTCCTGAGCTTTCTGGGGAGTCGTCAATAGGTGCTGAGGAGAAGCAGCCGAGAGTCGAGGATGTTGTTTCGTACTTTGAGGCGTTTTATCATCCCCTTCCGGTGAAGGTTCTACCTACTGCGTTTCGGTTCGTCGGGTGGGATGATGAGGGCGTTCCTCGCGGGAAGGCAAAGGAGAAGAAGGCCTTTATGATTGGCCTCGCAACTGGGTCTTCCGTCGTCGGAATTCGATGCCGTCCGTCCCCTGACGGCTTAGCGAAATACCAACTCAACCTTAACGACCTCCTCGACGCGCTTTCAGGGGTTCTACCGGGCGACGCGTACGCTGCGTGTATGCTCATCGTGCAGGATCTGTATGAAGACGAAGATGATGATTTCTGTTGCGGGCGGGCGTTTGGGGGGAGTAGGATTTGTACGGTCAGTTCGTTTCGGTATCGGCCGGCGATGGATGGGGTTATGGGGGTTGAGAGGGGGCATGGGTGGCCTGCGAGTCATTGTGGACGGTTTGTGACGGAGGCGTGTGAGTGGTGGGAGGAGCAGGAGGAGATGGAGAGGGAGAGGGAAAACGGGATGGAGGTGGATGGAAGGGGGAGGAAAGGAAAGGGGAAGGGGAAGAAGGATGGTGGTGAAGAGGTTCTTGTTGATTTGAGGAAGATGAAGGGGACGGCTATGGGTGCTGCTATTTCTGCTTCGAGGAATGTTCTTGTTCCGAGGGAGGTGTCGCGGAATAAGAAGCTGGCGGAGGAGGACCTGTACGGTATGTGGCTTTCACGCGTTGCGAGGACGGCGGTTCATGAGGTTGGTCATTGTCTTGGGATGGATCACTGCGTTTACTACGCTTGCGTCATGCAGGGTACGGGAGGGTTAGGTGAGGACTCGAGACAGCCGCCGTACTTTTGCCCTGTTTGTGAGGCCAAGTTCATCTGGGGTTTGGGGGAGATGGGGGTCGTTGAGGGGGGAAGGGGAGGAAGGTGGATGGAGGGGAGGATGAGGGATGTTGAGAGGGAGAGGATGGAGGTTATGAGGGCGTTTTGCGAGAGGTGGAAAGGGGTTGGGATGTTTGCTGGATTTGGGGGGTGGTTGGAGGCTCGGTTAGAGAGTGATTTTGGGGGAGGCGAGGCGGATGTGTCAACACGTGTCTCGAAGGAAGTACAGGAGGTGGAGGTTATCGTGATTGATTCGGATTAGGGTTTTGCGGGGGTCAACGAAGGGTTGTGACTGTAGTAGAAAAGAAGTCTTTTATCTTATTAAACGTTACAGCTATGAGATGGAATGTTCCATCAACTGCTAGATAGCGAAAATACATACATATTTACTTTCCCAAGAGATATGTCTATCCGGCCCTATTTCCTTCATATTCGCCCACGAATAATCAGACACAAAATGAAAGTTCGAGAAACACTAGAGACGGCTATAATGACAGTGATAGCAATTGGTGAGATAGCCAAGACAGTAGTGACGACTGGGTAGCTTGTAGGTAGCACAAGCGAAAAGAAGAGGCAGTGTCACCTCGCCTTTGGTCGCCTGGGAAGTATGCCTCACTTTCAGAATGGAGGCTGCGATTGGTCAGATTCACACCGAGAATAGCAACTCGCAGCAACCTCGCCGCTCCAGCTCTTGCCATCATTGGCCCGGTCAAGACGTATCCTGCAGGCAGAATCGTCTGCCAGAGAGAGCCTTCTTCCAACGAAATTTTGCTTTTCTCTCGGGGGCGCTCTTGCCGGTTACCCCTCAATTTTGGTCTCTTCACCTTGTTTCTCGACAACGCTTGGTACGGCGACGAGGCATCTCAACACGCCTGACGGATGCGCGCTTTGAGGCCCCAGACGCAATTGCACTGTTGCAGAAGTTGGCAGCATCTTCCTTCCTTCCTTCCTACTTGTTGCCTTTGCCACCCTGACACTACGGAAATATGACCCCACTCGAGATCATCGGCCTCGTCAGTGCCATCATCACATTCATCGACTTCGCGGCCGAAAATGTTGCGGTGGCACGAGAGATTGGGCTGACGGGTTCTGCGACGTTCAAAGACAATGCTGATCTGGAGCGTCGGGTCAAACTCGTCGAGGAACACGTCACAGGCCTCAATGCTAGGACAATCGGTGCGGCCAGGGATACTGATGAAGCTCATCTGCTGGACCTTATTGATGAGTACAAGAGACTCACGGTCCAGCTAATGACCCTCCTGGCTGGGCTCAAGTTAGCCAAGAAGCGATACATTCTATGCAAAATGATCAAGGACTTCCGGAAGAAGGACGAAAAGGAGACACTCCAGAAAGGATTGAATGATTGTAGATCCAGGATCCATTTACAGCTTACTCAATTAACGAGGTAAAATTACTCGAGTTGAGCAAAAAGAAAGTGAACAGGCACGCCTGCTAACATTTCTCCTTTCTCTTAGATCGGAACTGAGTGGCCGTCTCGGTGAAATTTCAGCCCAAGGTCACGTCAGCGCTATTGAGATGCAGCAGTTGGGCGCAAACATCAAGGAACTGCAATCCAACGTCGAGCTGTGGAAGCACGTCCCTGGTTTGGTAGAAAGTGTCCACGATATCCTGTCCCGTTCGAAGGAGGCTGTTGAAGGCGCTGCTCAGCGCCTCATTTTGGAGAAGCTTTATGTCGGCGACATGACGAGGAGGTTCGATGAGATTGAACGCGCCCACGAAAAGACATTCTCCTGGCTTTTGGGCCTCAATACGTCATCCATAGGCGAGGCCGATCCAAGTTATGCGTCCACGTTCCGTCACAGCGATGGATCAGGTTATAAACCTCAGATATCCCTGAAGCGAACCGTTAAAGAGCTTCAAGCACAAAAGTGTCTCGTAAACTGGTTGGCTCATGGTGGAGGTATCTTCCATATCTCTGGCAAACCTGGCGCAGGAAAATCGACACTTATGAAGTACCTCTGCCAAAGCACTGCTACGCAATCCTACCTCAATGACTGGGCTGGAGAAAAGAGGCTAATTTCGGCAAACTTCTTCTTCTGGAAGCTTGGGTCCACAGCTCAAAAATCACTGGACGGACTGCTTCGGGCACTTTCATACTCTGTTCTGGAGCAAGCCCCGGTCTTGCTCGAGACTGTATTCCCAAATCAGTGGATAAACGCTACACAAGGAAGAGCGTTTTCAATCCAGAGCTCTGAGATCGAGTCGGCCTTCTCCCGTCTGTTGCAACAAACGGCGTTCTTTTCCTCACACAAGATTGCAATCTTCATCGACGGCCTGGATGAGTTCGATGGAGACCATGACAACATGATAAAGATGCTTCGTAGTTGGGCTGAGAGTCTCTCAGAAGATATCAAACTGTGTGTTTCCAGCCGCGAATGGGAGGTCTTTCGAAAGAGGCTAGTAAATTGCCCTGGAATTCTCCTTCAGGATATCACGAGCCGAGACATCGCAGCCTACGTCAACAGCGAATTGTGCGACAACGAAGAATTCAGGTCCTATTATTTGGAAAACCCAAACGTCGAAAAGCTCATCGATCTGATCAAGGACAAAGCCAAAGGCGTGTTCCTCTGGGTAAAGATTACCTTGAGAGGTCTCAAATGGGGATTTCTTTCCGGGGAGCGACTGGAAGATCTCAGAGCAAGACTCGAAGCTTTGCCTGCAGGCCTGGGAAATCTCTTCGCGTCAATTCTAGCATCCATCAGGAGTGGGATTCATACCAATAAATTAGACAGAATGAGGGCGATGCGAATGCTTCTGCTTGTAGCGGAGCAAACTCGCGGTGGCTTGCATGCTTTACCCCTGCTGCTCGCAGAACTTACGTTCTTGGACGATTATGAGAAAGATCCCAACTTCGTTTTCAGCTTTCCGACCGCAAACGGCGCCAATAGTGCTCGGGTCTCAAGACAAGATAGAGCCAGGCGGTCAGTCTACCAACGTTGCATGGGCCTTCTTGAGGTACAACTTTCTGAACACGATTCTCGACCGCGCTTGATGAGGGGCGTTTGTGACTTTAGTGATGGTCAGGCCAAACAAATCACATCAAGGGAAGAAAATAAGTACAAGATAAGCGAAAATCTCAATACTGAAATCGAGAACAGCCTGCAGAACGGTACTGCACGAATTCATCAAGAGGAGAATTCCGAGATCATCGATGAGGGCGACGCCATTTTTCTGCATACTCATGCGTGGTACTACGACAATCACAGGATTAATCATGAACATCCTTCTACTGAGCGGGTTGTATGCACACATCGATCTGTGGTTGAGTTCTTGTTGCAGCCGCACATCAAAAGTCTCATCGACGCTGAAGCCCAATCTTTTGACTGGGCTGATTTCCGACTTCAGGCTTTCTTAGCATCTTTGAAACTCTTCGATCCCTGCAAGGGATTCGTCAAGAAAGGTTTGGGGCATGTACTGAAACACTTTGTTGAGAATTGCTTTCATTTTCGCGGGCTGGCCCAAGGTCGGCTACTGACTTCCTGCGAAGAACTGATCCGCACTCTGGAAGTTCAAACACCGACTCCAAGTATTGGGTCAGAAGCAAGATTTACAAATTGGTTTCGATTCGATCCATCCGAACTAGTTTACGCTACAGAAACGGATGGAAGCATCGGTCTCGCTGTTCACATCGATCCTATTGCATACTCATGGCCTATCAACTTGGATGGTGGCTTTTACCAATTGGGACGCCGAAGCAAACGGGAAATGTATCACAACGTGCTCTTAGACTTCTGTCTATATGAGATCTCTCATTTTTATCTCGCTAGAGACGTGAAAAAGAGATCATATGAGTTAAGAACTTGCGAGTATATCTCCAAATGTTTCGAAGCGGGGGCAGATCCCAATGGAGCATCCTTGCTAAAATATGGCTGGGGAGCTAGATTTACTTGCTGGCAGACATGGATAATTACATCTATCAAAGGAAGGTCTTGGGGGTCTTCACCGTCTTCTATAAAGCTTTTCCTACTTCACGGTGCGGATCCTAACATCTGGGTTCATTGCAACAACAAAACAGTATCTCTTTGGTGGGCTGGAGCAACTGTGTGGTATGGAGTCATTGGCAGTCTTGCTGGTCGTGACATGGGCAAGTTTCGGTCCCAAGTCAGTCATATCGGAGCAGGAAGCGGAAAAGCAGGCGTCGATCTGCTTCTGGGCGAGTTTCTACCCTTGTGGTTCCCAGATGGCGCCGAGCTACGAGAACTGTGCCAAAGAAGTCAAGAATCAAGACCCACCGTGATGCCACCTTGCTTCACCAATACTGATGTGGTTTGGCATTACTGAATTTATTCCACTCTATGAGATTCTGGTCAATGATCCTCGCGCATATGATTCGAAAGAAGGCTTTGATTTCACGTATGATCGACTCTATAATTCACTACTCGTCACTGTCTATGTCGGAATCTGAAAAGGGTTTCTGACCTTGACTACCTTTGCATAGCCGAAGTCAAAAAGTTTGTTAGTGGTGTGAACTATGAGGGCAGTAGTCCGACCGAAGCACTTTCATAGACTGTGGAATAAAAAAAATGAAGCTTTCTTCATGCTGCGTGATCTTGTTTTTTGGTTTAATGGTTGCGTACTTACTTGAGGTACAAGTCAGGATCCCCGGAAATCACAAACGCCTCGAAACATGATTACGGACAGCTTGTATTTTACACTTCACGAATGAGGCTGAGAAAGACGAGCCATGGAATTCCTATCAATGCCATGCAATCAATTCCAATTTATTCTGAGCTTAAGCGATTCCGCCCAAGTCGATAAAGTAACAGTGGGTACTGCACTCTTGCGATATGTCACTCCAACCCCCAGCATGCTTCTCCTCAAAAGCAACCCCAACGGGAAATACTACTCAGACATCTCCGAGATACCTGGAGGAAAGGTCGACGCAGCGAACTCAACTATCTGCGACGCTGTCGTACGCAAAATTTCGAAGAGACGCAAATGAAGGTGTTGGACGTCACCACCCCGTTGTCTCGCATATGATACACCACGAAGAGGCTTGAGAGAACGCCGATAGGGCAAGAGAAGATCGTGAAGCACCAAGCTCTCCGGCTGAGCTACGTCGTTACTGTCGAAGGAATTGAGTTTCAAGTTGAGAAGAAGGAGCACTCGATGGGGATTTGGGCCACCCGCGACAGTCTCGATCATACCCCCGTCACCTCGGAAGCGAGGAAGTTGGTGTTGGAAGCTCTGGATATTGCGGAGGGCCGGTGAACTACATCTGCATGAGGAGAAGGGCAACTGGCCACTAGACAAAACGCTCAATCTAGGAGTGTTTGAAGGCGAGCTTCAGGTAATTTGCAGCAAAGGGCGTGCAGTTTTCATAACAAACAAGACGTCGTACCTCAAGATCTTGGACTTGAACAAGCATTATGAGTCCACTTCCCAGTCATTAATACACGAATCTATGTTGCCGACGGTACTGCTTCTTAGCAAACCATCGACAAAGATTCCTCGACGTGCTTCCACTCCTTCACATCGGGCTGCCATCTAAACATCCTGCCTGACACATCCCCTTCGCGACTGAAGCGCACCTCGCGTCTCGACATGCGCGACCACTGCTCAACGTCGTCTCCCTCGGCCGTATTCTCATCCTCAATTGCTACGTTTTTCAGTGCGACGCTGTGAAAAGCCCTGCTGTCCCAAAGCCCATCTCGACGGTGGTACTTGCCTAGCAGCTCCGTCGCCTCTCGTCTCACACTGTCCTCTCGGCATCGACAGGCGACGATTAACAACGGTAGGGTTGGACCATTGTCCATGCTGAAGGTCTCGGTGCATCCGCCGCAGTTTTGTTGCGCCGACAGAACGATACGGCTAAGCTGGACCATTTCGCGGAACGACGGCGTCAGCATGATCATCACCCTGATATCCTTGTAGCTCAGACTTGAGACATCGGTCCAGAGAGTGAGGTACTGCACGCGCAAGTTACAGGCGTCCACGTAGGCGTGAAAATCGCGTTCCTGATTCGCCCGCAGGGTGTCGTAGACACCTTGAAAGGCATTCTGCCAACGTCGTAGATGGCCAAGGAACTCAGGGAGCACAGTGGCCAGCTCATCCAGGTGACTCGGAGATAGAGCTGGCCGTACGTAGCTTCCCACCAGCATCTCTTTTGAAAGTCCGTCGACAAACATTTCCGTGTAGATGGGACATCTATGACACGTGTAATGCTGCACGACCCTCCACCAACGCCGTGCCATGTGGATATCTGTGAAGACGATTGGCATCTCCTCGACTGCGTAGGTGCGCTTGCTGCCCCGACAACACCAACTAATTTGCGAAGCATCCTTGGAGTGCAGCACATTGTGCGACCAAGCCTGCATCGTCAGACCCTGAAACACCCACGCAGCATCGTCGCACACTGCGCGGATGGAGTCCGTCACGGGACTGTCCTCGACCATAGAGCGCTGGTTGAAATATGTCTCCATCATCTTGTAAGCATGATTCACATGCGACAGCGCAGCGTTGCGGTCGCCATGGAGACACTCGAATGTGACGAAAAGCACACAGCAGACGATGGCCCAGAGCATGTTCTCGCTTGACGGTTGAGAGCTGCGAACAAGCTTGATCGCGCGGCCATATTGCTGGAGAGCGAACTCGTAGTGCGGTCCATTATCATGGAGTTCCTTCCGGCTTCGCCTGATGAGTGATGGAACCAGCGCGCGAGCCATCCCAGCCATGGCAAGGGCGGCGTGTTTGATTGCTGGCTCACGGCGTGCAAGCTGCGGGACAACGCGGACCATGATGTCGTTGGGAAAGAGGTAAATGTTAGCCACGAGATGCTGCCAAAAGTCAAAGTAGACCTTCTCCTGCGGGTTGCTGAAGAACGCGGATTCATAGCCGGGTTCCCTGAGTACAGCGGCAGGCCAAACCCGCCAAGTTCCCTTTGAGATGATCGGGCGTGGTTGTGTTTGTCGATCTGGTTGCTTCTGCTGGAACTCATTGCCTTCACATACGCCAGGCCCTCGAGGCGACTTGGTGCATTTCAGACAAAAGGGGCGAGTTTCATCGCATTTGATGTGTCGCCGTCTAAAAGTCCAGGGTCAGTATCGAACAGGACATGTAGCCAAAACGGTACAGCAACTTACTTGCACGTAATGCAACCCGACCGCACTTTGCCTGCACAACTTCGCTTAACTCGTGGTCGCTTCCCTAAAGAAAATGTGGCCATCTGGGGAGACATTCCCTGGATTCTGCAGTCCCATGTCAGACTAGAACGACGGTACGTTGGCACATGCGGCGTACCTCTTCTTCCCGCGTCTCACGGTCGGCAGCGGGGCAAGCCCATCGACCAGGTCCAAACTCGACGACATCGAGTCGGAGCTCGATGCAGCGGACTTTGGTTGCGAATGTAAAGTATTCATTTCGAGAAAAACATGTAAGATTGGAACTTGTGTAAGCTTCCATGGAGGGGAAACCGTTTTAAACCAACTGCCAATTACCGCTGCCTGCTGGATATCACTCCGAAGTTCCGGCTATCGTCTAGGATTTGGCCGACTAGCGCTGTAGGGCAGAATCCTTCGAAGGATCACCGGTCAACCCCCAAGCTCCCGTCTCAAAATCTCACCTAGGACAGGGGCTCTAGTATATCCCACTTGGCCGATATTGGACGACCAACGAACCTAAAGAGGAGAACTTTCTAAAGGATGGCTTACATGTGCCCGCAACAGAACGAATTTGCCATCACCGTGCCGAGTGGCCTAAACTCATTGCGACCAAGGGATGCCCAAAACAGCACATGGCAGTTCGGCTGGCCAATCATACCATTCAGCGCCGTCTTTGAAACTTTCTCAGCCACAAAGGATCTCCCAGTTTGACGGAGCGAATCTTCCCATTGAAAGGGAGAATGTCGTGACTGCTGCAGAAGCTAGGTATTCCAGATCGTGACGGAAGGATTACAACCAATCACTGTTCTCGACCGTTCGGCTCCAGCCGCCTTTGAGTTTACGACATCGGATATCTTATTGCCATCACTCATCAACACATATCTGGGAAAGATGGAGGATAGGTTAATGATCAATCGAGGCGATCAGAGTTCTAGTATCCTTGAATATTCAATAGGCATTACAATGCAACCATAGCCAAACCTGTAGATGGCAAGGGGATGTGACGGAACCGCCGACACTTCCTTGACATCTCCGCTCTACTTCGACATTGTTTCTAGATGCGAGGTTTCCCCAGGAACCGAAGATATCGGAAACGCACGCACTCAATTTCTATTGATAAGTCGTGTCGAAATCTGATGGCGAAGAAAACAAAGGGAGCCTCTGCGCCGCTGAGAAGGCGGATCCATGGAGCTCGGTTTCGTCTGCAACTCGCCTGTTTGAGACGAGCGAACTCAGAATGATGTCAAGAGAACTCAAAAGGCTCAAGGAAAAATCCTACCCCACACACGAGCATGAAACAATTAAGAAGACATTTCAATCAAAATAAAAATTCCAATTGCACTGAGCCTGACTTCAAAACCTCGACGCTATTCCCGAAGTATTCTTCCTCATGAGATCGACCAGCAGGTTCAGAAGAGACTATGCATAGCCAAAAGATGCACCTAGAGGTTCGGCGATGTACCGAGAACGACATCCCCCGCGTCTTCGAGATAGTCTCCTTGGCATTCGCCAACGACCACAAATTCGTCGATGCAGTTTTCCCTGAGCACAGCACCTCCGAAGGCCGCAAGTTGGGTAGCGAGCGTATGCTCGCCATGTTTCATGGGGATCCTTACAGCATCTTCCTGAAGTGCATCGACACGAACACTGGCCAGATTGTTGCGGCTGCAAAGTGGAACGTCTACAAGGGCGGCCCTCTCCCGCCGCCGCCTGAGCTTGGTGGTGACTACTGGAAGAACGATGAGGAGAAGAGATTTGCACAAGCTATCTTTCGTGGCTTTCTTGCGCCGAGACAACGAGCTATCGAGGAGAGTGGCGCAAGATTGGTTGGTACGTTGTAGAAGCTCATACGTCACCTGATTTACTTGAACCACTGAAGCTAATCTTTGGTTCACTTCCGCGAGCTATAGCACTTGATATGTTGATGTGTGATCCTGAGTTCCAAGGCCAGGGAGCGGGGAGACTATTAGTAAGAGCCGGCCTTGCTATTGCTGATGAGATGGGTGTCGATGTAAGTTGAGACTTAGCTTTCTTGTGTTATCTCATCAAGAAAAGACTGGAGACTGATTTTGTGATACAGGCGGTCGTAGAGGGTTCGGATCGAGGCAGAAGACTTTACGCGTCGGAGGGCTTTGATGGCCCTCATTATGTTTGTCCCGTACCTGAAGAGTTCGCCACACGACGGAAACAGACGTACTGGTGGATGAGGCGACCCAAGACTAGTATCTAAGAGAGTTGCATGAGTTCCAAGCTTCATGTGTTCTCATTCATCATTGTTAGTTGTTGTGGCGAAGACCTTTGGCGAAGCTCGGGATGATCTAAGGACTATAAGCGCCAACCTTGTGCCACGAGTAGCAATGTGCCGATGTCTTAATGCCGCTTCAAATTTCAACAACCCACCCACGTGCGTTTCAGAGCTACAGTTACATCGAATTGCTCTGTGCCGGCGTTCCTGAACATTATCTATGTGAGCGACAGTGTCGGCTCACCCTCACATTACAATCTATCAGTTATTTGCAGCGGATACTGTTGCTAGACTAAGTACATCCACTCACACTGTATGCCTGACGCGGTTGTCTTATCAATATTGCGACTGGGCTACCCCGTGCATTCTGCTTGTGGCCCAACGAGTGTCGATCATAGTCAAGTATGTGAGTGCTATTGGGTAGGTGCACTTCGTCACTCGCCGTAAGCTGCATCGATGCGAGGGTAACATGCACAGAGGCGGGGTTGGCAGAGCCTGCTTCTGGGAACGAAATCCGGGAATATGTGTTGAGTTCTCCCCCGTCCTCTTTGGTTCGATGCATCCATTGTCGTTTATCTTCTGTTCAAGAGTCAAAAGTCCTCCACGCTCTCATCGTTGCTGCTACATAACGTATCATTCTGTTTTCAAAGGTTTGCGAGATTCTCAATCTGTTCTCTTGAAGGTCTTTCGAGGATATTTGATAAGGCAGCAGGGACCGAGAACAGAGAAATATACGCTTCTTACCACCTGTCATCAGCATGGCTTTCGACCTTGAGGAGGCAAAGACTCACCTCAGAGAACACGGATGGGTTTGTGTCCCGTCGGTTCTCACAACAGAAGAGGCTACCGGCGTACTTGACCGGCTATGGAATGCAAAAGCAGCGGCTGAAGCTCGTGGCGAGGACACATACCTGTCGTTCCTAGATCCCAACCCCAGCAACGTGCGGGTGTTTTACTTGCTCGAGCTCGACAAGATCTTCCGAGAGCTCATTTCGCACCCGACTGCCATCTCCATGGTCAAGGCTGTGCTGGGCGAGAACTTCCTCATCAGCAACTTCACTGCGAACATTGCCCGACCCGGATCGCAGAGTATGGCCTTACATTCGGATCAGAGTATTGTCTTTCCCGATCCGTGGCAGAACGTCTGGGCGCTCAACGTTATCTGGTGTCTGACAGATGTCAACAAAGAGAACGGTGCAACCCAATACATACCCGGGTCGAACAAGTGGGCTTATCGCAAGGAGGTGCCCGATAATGCACCAGAGATGCTGGTCCCTTTTGAAGGTAAAGCCGGCGATATTATTGTCATGGACGGTCGTGTGTGGCACACCTCTGGTAGCAACACCACCGAGGATCAGGACCGGGCACTTCTGTTTGGATATTACACTGCGCCATTTATGCGTCAACAGGTCAACTGGACAGCCAAACTTCCCAAGGAAGTCCAGGATACCTGTAATGAGGAACTGAAGGAGTGGCTTGGCCTCAATCCTGTAGGAAATATTGGCATGACGGGAGATCTGAGGTATATGTCGGTGCAGTACCCTGAAGATAAGAAGAAGGCACGCGAGACGGTTGCGGCTGGTTGACTCCGTGAGTCCAGCCGGTTTAGCTTTTATTCCATATCTGTCATGCCGGCCATAGTAGCTATTTCAATTCATCTTCGCCAAGACAAACATGCCTTGGTAGAACGATGCTTGCCGAAATTTCATGACATATTAATACAAAGAAGTATACTGCATTATCGCCGCTACATCGACAATTACTCGGTTATCATTTCGTTGTCTTTGTTACGCATTGTGATTCCCTAAATGCTACATTAGTGGACGAACCATGGTCTTTAATATTCGTCTCCCGGGTAATAAGCGTAACATGTTTTGAATTGGAGCATTTGAGGTACCACAAGACTTCTGGTCTTAGGTGCTACATCAGGATCAATGGCATAAATGCATACAATGTCTGCATGTCCTTGGTGATAGATACATCATGGCCACATCACACTGAATCACTTATGTGTTATCTAGCATAGATTTGAATCCCTTGTTACCACCCTTCAGTCTATTCACCTAAGGCTTCAGGGAAACAGGAATGTGTAAAAGAGGACAGAACCGCCAACTTCGTTTTCAATTGTCCGTAACATATGCTATTTTAACTGCACTCAGCGAGGCAATTCTGAGACTACAGTAAGACCGCACTACCATCTTTGTCCATCACCAACCGTCACACACTCCAAGATGCAATTCAGAAACGTTCTCTTCCACACTGCAATGTTCGCAATCAGCGTAGGATGTTCTCTTCCTTCATTCCAAATTTCCGTTTACTGACGTGAACCAGGCTTCTGCTCTCCCCAGTCAAAACCAAGTCTCGGAACTTCAAGCCCCTATTGATGGATTCGACATCGTTATCACGCAGTGGGAGGTCCAGGCCAGCCCTGGAGGCGCGAAGTTGATTCTTTCCGGAACGGTCGAGCAGGTTCTTGCGGAGCTCCAGGTTATCAACCCCAATTACGCGGAAGACTTTGACCTCGACTTCGAGCTTCCCTCTCCTGCTGTTCACAAGCGCAACGACTTTGACAACGCCGCTTTCGCGTGCAACGTCACCAATGCTATGGCTGATCAGATTATCATCGTCAAGGGTGCCAAGCACCTCAGAGGCGTCAAGTGAAAGCCTCATCAACCACCTGGACCTAAACATGCGCTCTTGTGAGCTGCAGCTGGAAATCTGCAATATGGTGGTGTAATCATGTAGGCAAATAAGAAATATCATCTTCAAAAGGCCACTTGAAGCTAACTTTATGCAGGCACAGACTTCTCGCGAGCTTGATTCCTTCGCTCTGATTGCTGACGGTACGGATCATATCATTCAAGTCTGCAAGACCAATGGCGAGTGGATTGATGGTCAAACGTGGCACAAAGGTAACTGGAGTGTCATCGTTGGCCGCGCCAACTGCTAAGTCGAGTGAGCCAAAGTGTCTGCTGAGAAAATACGAGATTCAGCAATACACTGACAGAATGAAAGGGATTGGGGGTAAGTCAAGGTCATAAGCCAGGATGTCCAGAGCACTCCTTCTTCAGTTTAGAAACGTTCTACCAGTGATTGGAATCCTTGTTTCAGTCGTTAGTACTCTTTCATTCTCTTTTCGAAGATCTGTGAACATGAACGAGCTATGATCTGGGAGCTCGGTTACTTCTAGCGTAGTCCGCACCGTTTAACCTTTCTAGGGACAGTCTGCGAAGCAATTTTATCGACCCAGCATCTCCAGAAAACGGTATATTGGTTTCGACCAAAATGCAATCTCTGACCATACTCTTCTTTTCGAGGTAACACGCTGGTACAGATTTTCTGGATGTTGTGATAAATATTTGCCCTAGTCGATGTCGTCGCACCGGTCTAAGCATTGTAGTGGAACCCCGGTTTGGCTCCAATGAGGCTCTGAGCCTACGTTTGGCATCCCTTGAATCGGCATTTGAACTTGGATCGACAGCATTGGAGTTCCAGACCTATGAAGACTTACAATAGCAGTGATTATGAGCTGCCGGACCGAGTCGATGAAAAAAGACTGTCGTCATGAGGCTTCTAGCATGTAGTGTATGTCTCCCAATCCGGCAAGCTATTCGCTCAACGAAGCCAAGGGGGAAGCTAGCTCACTCTGAGCGCCACCGGTTGTCACACCCGGGACTTTATCTCCTGACTTAGCGCGATTATTTCGGCGCCTACCGAGACGTTGGTGGGGATTTCATAGACGTCATTCACCTATGCATCCTCTCCAGATATTGAACAATTGGGATTGTGCGCCCGGAGGTCCAGCTGCGGTTTGGCTACGTTGGCTGCAGCAGTAAGAGCTCTGACGCGGGGAAGATTGAGGCAATCCGAGCGTCATCAGTTGTCTTCGTGAGTATATAAGCAGAAGTAGAGTACAATTATCAACAATTGCAGTACCATTTTAACTTGCAATCGAGGCAATAAAATCTAAAAACAGCAAGTCTAGTCATAACAACCGACACTACCCGTCAAAATGAGCTACCCAGAGAAGTTTACTGGCTTCTGCACCGCAGGGCCTAGCTCGTGGAACAAATTCACCAAAGAAACTCTCACACCAAAACCCTTTGAAGATCACGACATTGACGTGCAGATCGAATGCTGTGGTGTCTGCGGGTCTGATGTTCACACTATCACTGGCGGCTGGGGCGAGTACGAGGGTCCCCTGTGCGTCGGCCACGAGGTATGTCTTGTTTCCCCAGATCTTAGTCTCGAAATGTGAGATTGATGGCCATCAAGGTTGTTGGCAAGGCTGTTGCTGTGGGGAAGAACGTGAAGGAGATCAAGGTGGGCGACAGAGTTGGTGTGGGTGCTCAGGTCTGGGCATGCCTCAAGTGCGAGCAGTGCAAGAACCAGAATGAGAACTACTGCCCTCACTTGGTTGGTAAGTTTACTGTTTGCAGCAGACTTTTTGACCCAGCGCTGACATCGTCTGTCAGACACATACAACGCCAAGTACGAGGATGGAAGCCAAGCACATGGCGGCTTCGCCAGTCACATTCGCGCGCACGAGTACTTCACCTTCAAGATTCCCGATGCGATAAAATCGGAGAATGCTGGTCCACTGATGTGTGCCGGTCTCACCACATACTCACCTCTGGTACGGGGTGGTGTCGGCCCGGGGTCCGTCGTCGCTATCGTCGGTATCGGCGGACTCGGCCACCTCGGTCTGCAGTGGGCCAAGGCACTCGGAGCGGAAGTCTACGCTGTTACCCACTCGCCGGACAAGGCCGAAGACTGCAAGAAGCTGGGTGCCAAGGAAGTCATTGATACCAACAAGAAGGACTGGGCTAAGCCTTATGCCTTCAAGTTCGACTTCATGCTCAACTGCTCCGACATGACCAACGAATTTGACCTACAGACCTACCTGTCCACTCTCAAGGTTGGTGGCCATTTCCACATGGTTGGCTTGCCAGACAAGCCTTTGCCTCAGTTCCCCGCAGGCCTCTTCGCCAGCAACTCTGCCAAGATGTCCGGTAGCCATATCGGAAACAACCAGGAGATGAACGCCCTGCTAAAATTGGCCGCCGAGAAGGGTATTGCACCCTGGGTTGAGACCATTGACATTTCGGAGGCAGGATGCAAGGAGGCTGTTGAGAGAGTGAAGGCGAACAAAGTTCACTACCGCTTTACCCTTGTCGGACACCAGAAGGCATTCGGTACTGCTTGAGGTTTTAGAGAAAGAGAATAGAGAACACGTGAATAGAACCATCAAATGACCCCTTGTTCACAAACTGGTTGATTGGACCTGTCCAGAAGTTGAACTAGCCTGCTTCGACAATCTACTTGGCCAGTACAGAGGTGGAAGAAAGTCCCACTTACTGGTGGGTGTCGTTGAGTGTGATGGTGCTGACTTACCCCGCTCCCTAACTTCCTTATGCGGCTTGCTGATAACTCAATTGGTAACATACCTCGAGGTACTGCAGGGCGACTGATGGCAATACTCGAAATCCTCGGTCTTGGGGATTGAATGATCGGTTCGTAGGATTTTTAGAGGATTTCACTGAAGCTGACGTTGCGCCCATTTTGGGTGAGTCTAGATCCAAGGTAATGGGTCGGTGGGGTGGGAATTCTGACAAAATACTGGATCTCAGATTAAAGCTGACTGCTGGCTGATGTGAGACAAGGTCGGGTTAGAGTTTGACCGCATCTGTGATATATCCACGTCAACTCCTGGGCTCTTCCTTGATTCATCTGCTTCAAAAACGCCAAGTGTAGTAGCCAACAGCCCAGCTGAGAGACACATATCCCACACACCCAACCCAGCGTAAATCATCCACAATGGTGTCCGAAATCCACGTTATTTCCAAGCACGACCTCTCCAAACATGAGACCGTTGCAGTTGATCTGCCCCTGCCGCAGCTGGGCGCCTCTTCTATTCGCGTCTGCACATCCCTCATCGGGATCACGAGCAACAATCTCTCGTATGCGAAGCTGGGCGACATGCTGCAATGGTGGAACACTTGGCCCGTACCTTTGGATGCGCCGGCACCGTACAACGACCGGGCCGAATGGGGCATCGTTCCGGCGTGGGGCTTTGCGCGGGTGCTCGAGTCCAACATCGAGGCTATCCCGGCCAAGAGCCTGCTTTATGGGTACTGGCCCACGTCGTCTCATCCGGTTGACTTGTCCCTCGTTCCGAGCGAACCAAAGGGTCATTTCCATGAGGTCAGCGAACACAGGCAGGGACTTGGGAACATTTACAATCGCTACAACCTCGTCGACGAGTCTGCTCAGTCGGAAGAGTACCGAGCATGGTTTGCCAACGTCTCTCCCATTTGGAATTGCGGTTACGTCATGAACCGCTTCACCTTCGCTACGGAATTCAAGCCGGTTCATCCTCTAGGCGCAGGAGCCGGAGAGTGGACCGAAAAGGATGCGGACCTGAGCTCAGCTGTGGTGGTCAGTCTCTCAGCGTCGAGCCGTACGGGCAGGTCATTTTCGTGGAACCTGGCTAGAGACAGAAAGTCGGATGGCGGTCCTTTTGCTCTCCTCCAAGCCACCTCTACGCCAGAATCTTTGAGAGCCATCCCAAAGGCAGCGTTCGAGATCAAGACGGTCAACTACTCCGAGCTCGCCGCACAAGATACGATTGACTGGATTGTCAAACTACAACCAAAACGCGTGGTTGTAGCTGACTTTGGAGGCCGTCCGAAAGAGACAGAGGAGTTCCGCGAGGCCATCAAATCAACGCTCCCAGATTCAACTACGTTCACCAACATCCAAGTTGGAGGAGAGCCAAAGATTACGGCACCAGAGGAGGCCCTCAAGTCGATGGCGATATTCGAGAAGTGGGGACTTGTTCAGCTCAACACGACAGGTATTGTAGATGCTGGCATTGCTGTGGAGGGTGCAGGTAAATACTTTGACGGCGCTGAATCAACGTTCCAAAGGTTCCTGGAGGAGGAGAGCGTAGCAGACCTTGAGCTCGTCTGGGGAAGTGATGTGGGAGGTACAAACGGAATTGAAAAGGCATGGAAAAACATCATCCAGGGGACTTTGTCGCCCCAAAACGCATGGGTTTACAGATTGGAGTAGGGTATTATATGCCAACAGTTCTAGAACAAAAACAGTCTTGCTGGTAGCTGAGTCAATAATTCCATGATAGTTTTTGGACAATGCAGGGTGCTCGGAAGCAGAGCCGGATTTCTGATTCACTCCTATGGCTATGAATTCAAAACTCCGATGTATCCCGGCAAAATCAAATAATGCAGAACCTTGAGTACTAGTCCGAGGTGGTGATTAAACTTCTGAGTCTCAGACGACTGTTCCAGACGAACCCTCCACACAACTGAACTGAAAGCGACGCAGAGGCTTAGCCCGGCATCACCGTTCGTAGGAGCTGTTCAAGGAAATTTCATGTTATGTTGCGGCTAGATTCAGTGCGTGGCATGATCAATATTTCAGCTGAAGTCTTCATTCAGCATTTTCTACTCTCATCCATGGATTCCCTCGTTTTGCTCCTTAGTTCTAGACTTTACCGGTCGTTTGGTATCACAAGACTATTCTGGGCAACTATACCCAAGCATAGCTGATACAATAGCAGGCAGAGACTACACGATTTCACCAAGTCCCTGAGCCAGGATGCCTGGCCAGGTTGACAGATATATGAGCATTTCGACTCCAGAAAATAAACATATAAAGCGAGTGAACAGCTGCCATCCGAACAGAAGGAATCTTTTTGACCATCAGACAGATGCTCATCCAGTCCTTCCAAAGTCTTTCAACTTGCTTTCCTACTGTCTCATCTTTGTTGCTTCCACACGTTCTCAAGTATTTGTCTTTTTCATAAGTCCTCTTGACCAAGACCATGAAGTCTCTCGCCGTTCTTGCAGCACTCATGGCCATTACCTCGGCTGCTGTACCTCGCTTGGTAAGTCTTCATAATCAATACGGTTAAAATTTCGTGTCTGACTAACACATTTTAGCTGGATGGTGATGGAGGTGATCTGTTCAAACGTCAAGATAACTGCAGAACCGCTGATAGTAAGTCTTCAAATTACATAATCAGCTGTCTGCTTTCGTTTCCCAGCCAGTTTTCTAACCAGTGTAGACTTCTGCAACGACAACGACCCCTTCTTCACGAGATGTTGCGATGGTCTGAAATGTATTGTTGAGAATGATCCATCAATCGGCAGAACGAAGGTGTGCCGGTAGAAAGAATTTGGTATTGACACCAGGGTTTCCACTGCCAAGTGCAAAGGGAAATATTAGGGTGCATGTTGAAGGCATAGCGGTCCTCATCTGGATATAGGACAATCAAAGTGGTAAACGAATTTTGCTGTTTGGCTAATAGCTCCGAACTTGTATTGAATGGCAATCATTCGTGAAGAAACACATGGCTTTTTGATTTAACTCCGGCTCTTAGTTATACAAGTTATTATCTTGAAAGCACAATGCCCATCGCCAGAAGGCTCAGAACGTTTTCGCGTGCTCCTCGATCGGCACAAGATCCCCCCTTCCCTTGAAGTTTTCGACAATATCCGCCTGCTCGGACAACATGAACCTATCTGTCTGGTTTCCGAATCTCGAGAGGACTCTCCATCTCGCAAAGTCTCCCGGGTTGCGCTTATCACCATGCGCTGCCTGAGGGTTTTCCCAGTGCCCTCTCGAGAATGAGATAAGAGTCGAAATCTTCTGCTTGGGGATGTCGTACACCAAGGAGCATACCGTCCCCGTCTCTTCCAACCAGTTCACCTGCCACAGTTCGCCGGGCCGGATGCATTGATAAGTCGCCGTCTGGTAGTTTATGCGGCCGTTCATGGGCCCACCGTGGATGGCATAGACAACACGGTCCTCAGAGAAGAACCACATTTCGTACCTCCACTTTTCCGGGTTGCCCTCTGCGTCTTCGGCATCATAGTCATAGATGAGATGCGTATCCCGGATATCCTTATCGAACGTTGAATCCAGTGGCGTGTTTGTCTGGAAGCGGGGAAGGGCCTTCTCGGGGGCTCTATTTGAAAGAAACATGACTCGTGCTTGTGAGAGAGATGACGTTGAATTGGTGAAGATGTAGTTCGTGTAGAGTAATGAGTTCCGATGGGAAAAGGTGAGCTAGAAAAAGTCTAGAATATCTACTTGATCAATGTCCGAAGCAACGACTGGAAAAGAGGTAGTAGTCCGAATTGATGTTTTATGTTGCGGATGTCCGTGGAGAAGGGGTTGTTCGTGGTGTGACGGATGTGGTCTGCCTCGGCGGGTCTGTGTGGTGACATGTTTGACTCTTAGAAGACTATTACATCATAAGCCGAACTTTCCGGCTTCGTCAAGCTCTTGCACCAAGAAAAGCTAGGACGGAGCTAGTTGCGTTCCACGAGGCACTAAATCCGGCTCTGGTGAATCAGGTTCCTGGCTCATTGTGAAAGTGAGTTGCGGGCTCAACTTTTGGCTTGGCAATTGGATATATTTCGCGTTCTACATTAAACGAAAATCCTCTCCCGCCAACTCCTCCTCAGTTAATCCATCAAGTGCTTCACCGTCCATCTGTCCCAACACAAACGCTTCTCCTACAAGCTCGTAGTACGAAGGTTGGTCTCCGCGCCCTCTCTCACTCCAGAAGGGACGAAGAACACAGGGTACAGAGCATCCATACAGGATGCACACGACATCGTCGACTTTTGAATCCTGAGGAGCTATGCCGACCAACTTCCGATTGTTCTTATCTTCAGGGGCAGCCTCGCATTCGATATACTTCCTGTTCCAACAGACAGCCTGCACTCTTTTTAGATAGTCTGCTTTGAGGTTCGTCGCAGCTTCGTCTTGTTGGAGGATCGCATTCGTGTCAATATTTCCGGCCCCGGTATCGGACACAAGACAGGTCATACAAGCTCTGTGATACCAAGCCGGCGGCGCCTTTCCATCCGCATCCCGGTCTGCCACGAGCGTTCTCCAGACAGTGTCTGCGACGCCTTGTAGCTCTGTTCTCGGGTCATGCCCCAAGCTCCGCAGAACTTGCCTTGGAATGATACCTTCGTACATTGGATGAGTATCCGAGACGACTCCAATGCACAGCCCTCTGATAGTGATCGTAAGGTTCATGTCTGATGTTATCCGTCTCGCGCGGAGGACCTTTCGACCAGCCACGGGTCGTTGTCGGGACGGCGCAATGGGGTCTGCTTTATCAGTCTCCTCGCCAGTGTTCTCAGCTGAAGGTTGGTCAAGCTGTTTTGGGAGTGCATTGTCTCTGCCGAAGGAGATTGTTGGTGGAAGTCCATGAGATGCGTTGTAGCAACGGGTCTCCGGCACACCCACAAAACTGTCTCCTGTTCTTCGTCCGCCGAAGCCTTCAGTTTGCGAGCCGTAAGCAGATTCATGTACTGTTTTGATCCATGATGGAAGCTCCACGAGCCTTGGGTAATGCTCATCCAAAACCTGCTTGAGCTCAGGGAGCGCCCAGTGACGGCAAAGAATATCCAGGGATCCGCTGTCCTCTATGCACCACTTGATAAAATTAGTGTACACTTGGAGCAAGTCAATACTGTAGTCTGGTTCGGGCGGAGGGTTTCTCTCTTGCATGCTTTGTCGAAGTTGTTGCACACTGTTGCTTGATGGCAGTTTACATGTCTCCTTGGCAAGGTTGAGGAGCGTGTATATAGTATCTCTAGGATCAGACGTTTCGAATGTAGACAACGATGAGATGAGACTCTCGAGTCCTTGCCGGGGAGCATATATATTTCCGTCGACCTGTCGTTGGAATGTGTTGGACAGAACGTCGACCAGAATCCGGGCACCAAGTGGCTTCATATCCTTAATTCCTTCCAGCGACTTCTCTAGTTTCGGATCCCGCTTGATGTCTTTGAGGATGCTGTCGAATCGGAGTGCAAAAATGCTAACAGCATCTGAAAAGTCCCTCCAATTGACCTTCTTTGAGCCGCAGCGCACCTCGGCACTCTTTGCTAAAGCAAGTTCTTGAATGATCCATCGCCGAGAGAACCATCGACGTCGCATGAGATGCAGAAGCTCCGACCAATTTGTCGCGTACCTTTCTTTGAATTTCTCTCCCGTGTCGTCTTGGAGTATGAAGCTGATGAAGTCCATTGCTCTGTCAGTCTTGCCGTGCTCATCTGCAGGGCCTAGCCAAATGGCGACATTGGCTGCGGTTGAGTATATTTGACCCATGATCGCGACCTGGTCCTGCTTCTCCTTGTTGTCTTTTTGATTGATACAAATACGGTCTACCCAGATAGCCACCTCTTTGTCCGGCTGTCGAAATTCCTGGAGAAAAGCGTACAAATTCGGTTTCACACTCAACCGCTTCATCTTTCGGTTGAACTGAGTCGCGACTTCTGAAAAATCGTGCATTACCGGTACAACTAGCGGCTCGTTATCCTGAAGCATATCGACGAGAACGATCTTGTTCTCGTCTCCGCCGCCCCAGTTGTATGAAAGAGCTGTGAACTTGAAATCCTCGGGGTTTTCCACGATCTCTTGGATTGGGAATGACTTCAACTCGATAATGACTTCTGCAAATCGGTTGGGATTCCGTTTAAGTAACATGAGACGAATTTCTCCCTGCTCTATTGGGCAATCTTTGTAGTCGTATCGCTTTTCGTATAAGTTGGCTGCCCTAAGTAGCTGCTGCCCCTTCGTCAACTGGTCTTTCCGTGTGTGCGGGCCGTCAATGAACCCTGTTTGTTGTCTTTTTGCTGGGGTGGCAGGCGTGGGCTCCACTGTCTCAAAGCCTCGTTTCCTGGATGTGCTGGTGCCATTAGGAAGCTTTCTAGCAGAGGCGATTTGCCTTTGACCGTTGTGGTATTGCATGGCTTCTTCTCGTACTGAACCTGCCTCAGACATCGGCTCTGGGGACTCGAAGCGTTCGAGCGACATTTCCTGTATGCCTCAAGCGATTGAGGATATATGTACGTGAGAAATTTGATTTTCTTTTTGGAGAAGGAGGCAACAAATCAAGGCTGAATGTTGGACGAGGTAAAGCCCGACCACAACAAAGTCGAATTACGAGTGGGCGGTAAATGGCTGCAGCCAAAGTGGAATGCCGGGAAAAGTGTACAAAGCACTTGAGTGGCCAGGAGGGCGGAGTAAAACGAGGCACCGCCCTTGATATAAAAGAGTCAGAGGGGCTGGGGTCTCGGAATCTACGCCTCTTGCTGGCCAATTTCCATCTTGCGCACGCGATGATTTAGCGCATTATGCTGGCAGCATTGCAGATACCGGGCTGTGAAGGTCTTGCATGTAGCTGAAAGATCCTTTACACCCATGACAAGGGGCGGTCGATAGTTGGAAGCCGATGTGGCAAGTGGCAGTGTGCCATTAGGACTCAGAGTCCGAGAGGTCTATCCAATGAGTCCTTCGAAAGGCAGGGAATCTATTCCCAGATTGAGTGCCTCAGCGCCATTGAGGTGGGCGCTTTGCAAGGTAGACTGATCCTGGAATGCCAGCCTGCTTCCACATCGGCAATTCTTATCGCTTTCCCTATCGTTGCGACATCTCAAAGAAGACAGAGCTCAGTTGGAGGTCAGCCGGGGGTTTTCCACTTCACATGCAAGAATAGCGGCTGAACAGTCAGGATTCAAGTCTTTTGATCACCCTGGAATACCCGTTTTGTTGGTAAACATACCTATCGTTGGCCACGCTGCATCCCGCCTCGCTCTACATGTACCCTCGCCCCCCGGTCGACTCCTGTGTAAGGGGGAGAATTGCTTTTACCGCGGACGCACCCCGGGAAAGGACTCTACGTTCTTCCGGTAAGGTCTTGCATGGCCAACATGACATGCATGTGATGAAGTGCAGCTTGTTGGACGTTGGTGCATGTATTTTCATATTGGATGGTGAGCTTGGCTCGTCATAGGTCTGCCTGCTCCTTTGTGTAACATTGAACCACAGGTCCACAGCCTCCCAGGGTAGAAGCGAACCGCCACGCAGGCTTCTAGCTGGGCTCCCATCGGTGTGCCATCCAAATTGAGCCCGTCATGAACAGTCCCCTCCTCAGCTGTCTCGGGAAACGGTGCTGCGATCACCATGGAAGTCCTTCGTCAAGCATAAACAGCTCTATTGCCTATTACCATGTCGACAAAGTTGCTGCTATTTACTGACTTGGTTTCACTACAGCTTAGAACTCGCTTCTGAAGTCGTGATCAATCGATGCTGTTCAAATGGACCCCTTGAGTATCAGTATGGGCGTTCTGGCCGCGCTGCAGGTTGCTTCCTCAATTCTTTCCTTCTGTTACGACGTGCGATCAGGGATGAAGAAGATTCCTTGGTCATTGATACAGATAATCGAGGAAGTCCGCGACGTTCGAAACCTCATTGAAGCAGTTCAGTCAGTCCTCGATCAGGGAAACTTGGTTGAATCCCCAGTACCAGACCACGGCGATACGTCACTCGAGCTATCCGCGAAAATACAGCCTGCGCTTGCGACTTGCTTATCTCAACTCCAGGCACTCGAAGCTCAAATTAAGCCCGAGCTAATCGCAAATCTCTTAGACTCAAAGACAAAGGCTTTATTGAACTCGATGACGTGGAAGCTAAAGCTCAACGACACGAAAGAGTCCATTGCCAACTTGCAGCGCTGCAAAGAAGGCTTGCAACTAGCCATAACTTCTCACAACGCGTCAGTTCAAGCTTCTGCCCAAATTCATGAGATTTTTCCTGACTGAAGTCATGTTTATTCAGAGTAACACTGCGCAATGTTGAGCGACTGACCATCTCGCTTGACTACAAGATGAATGACTCTCGGGAGCAGCTTGAACGTATAGATAGCAATCTGAGCACAGCAATACTAGGTACAAGGGAACAGGTTAGATAGAGGCGACATTCTGTCATGTATTCTGACAACTTGCAGACGAGCAACAGAAGGCAGTGGTTGACTGGCTTTCTCCCCTGAGACCTCGCCAAGCTCACGATAGAGCTCTAAAGTCCCACCAAAATGGGACTTCGGATTGGCTCCTCGCTGGCCAAGAGTTTCAGGAGTGGTTGAAAGGCGAAGTCAACTTGCTGTGGCTGACTGGACCCCGTGAGTATAACCTTCTATGGTTGATTCACATGACTACAGCAATTCTAACGAGATGCTTTAGCCGGTTGTGGGAAAACGGTCATGATGTAAGTAATAGTATACATCTGGGACCACGATTCTCAGTGACTGATAACCTAGACAGAGGCCAGACCATTGACTCAGTTGCCGCGCTGGAGCAACAAGACTCTCTTTTCGCCTTTGCCTACTGTGACTTTCGTAACCCTGATACACAGATCTCGACCAATGTATTAGGAACAATGCTAGCACAGCTGTGCGCTCAACTGCATGACTTCCCCAAAGATTTATCGAGCGCACATAAGGCCAGCATGGAGCAAAACTTCGGGTCTCCTCTGACAATCGAGCTGCTAAGTGGCGCCATCGCGTCTATCGCTGCAATAAAGAGGGTTTACCTCTTCGTTGATGCCGTTGATGAAGTCTCGGATTGCAAGGCAATAGCGGAGCACTTGGTCAGCTTACTCGATCCCACAACAGCGATAAAGATCTTTGCGACAAGCCGCAACGACGTACAGATTCAACGGACATTTTCTAGCGCCCGCCGCATCTCCATGGAAGAGCACCTATCAGAGACTGACGAAGACATACAGCGATACGTCAGTTCACGACTCGAATCCGACGCTGACCTGAGTTGGCTATCTTCACGGTTAAGAGAGACCATTCAGAAATCACTCTTATCAAGGTCCTGTGGGATGTAAGTGGATTACCAGCACCAAATTTCGCTTTGCTGAATACTCCTATCAGATTCCAATGGGCAGCATGCCAGCTCGACTCTTTGAGTCAGTGTAGAACCATTCGCGACATCAAGAAGTCTCTGGGAAAGCTTCCAAATGGGTTAGATGAGACTTATGGCCGATCCCTACTGAGAGTGCCGCCCTCAGACGTCCCTCTCATCCAGAAGACCTTGACTTGGCTTGCGTTCTCACCGGTACCTATCACTCTACATGAGCTATGGGAAGCACTGGCAATCGAGAAAGGGAATGATGTCATTGACGACGAATCACGCCTTCGAAGTCCGCAAGACATCTTGGTGATTGGAAAAAGCCTCATCACCGTCTCAACTGATGGTCATGTGATGCTTTCTCATCTCTCAGTTCGAGACTATCTCGTCTCTGCTGAGATAGTCGAAGTCCCGGAAACCGCAAGGTTCTCCCTTCGTTCAGGTTCAAGCCATCAAGAGCTAGCTCAGGAGTGCCTTACCTATCTTTTGCTATCGCCCTTTTCTGATGGTCCCTCTCGTACGCAGAAGGAGTACCTGTCTCGACTCAAGCAGTTCCCGCTCCTCAAGTACGCGACCAAACACTGGTTCTATCATGCTCGCAACGCAGACTACAGTGAAGAAACCCAGGAATTGGCCATGCGGCTCTTCTCGGAATCTGGTCGGCAAAACTTCATGTCTTGGGTCCAGGTCTTCAACGCAGACGCCTCATTCAAGTGGGACGTGTATCCGCGACACGCTACATCACTCTACTATGCTTCATCTTTAGGTCTAGATGAGGTAGTGGAGTCTTTGCTTCAGTCAGCAACGCCTGAAATGATCAATGCTCCGGGCAGCCGCTTTGGAGGAACGGCCCTTCATGCCGCAGCCATAAGAGAGCACATCACGGTCATCAAACGCCTCATCCTTGCGGGCGCTGAGCCAGGCAAGCAGGACTTCAACGGTGTATCGCCGTTACCTAGCGCTGCGAGTCAGGGCAGTCTTGATGTGGTCAAGGTGTTGTTGAGGAACGGGGCTCCGATCAATGTGAAGGACGGAATGGATGGAACTACTCCACTTGAATGGGCACGTTTAAGTGGCCATGAAGATGCCGCGAACCTTCTCCTTGAAGGCTTGGAAGAGTGCTCGTCGTCGCTTCCTTCTTCACTTGGATCACCTTCTAGTACACAGGGGTCTCGGACAACCGAAGTTTCACATAGAACCGAAGAACCGCAGGTGGGGATCTGGCAGCCCGGCGTAGGGTTCTTTCCTGACTACTACGAAAAGCGCTCTGGACTAGAGTCTTCGCTTGTCCTGAGTATAAGCATTGGAGAAGAGACATCGCAAGTCGATGGCGAGTTTCTACAGTCTCTAGAGAAGACTGAGAAACCAAATCCAGTTTGGTAAGGAGGAGATGTTGAACTCAACCAAGATACTTTTAGCCTGTAGAGGTTTAGATACGGGTCGCACTTAAGCCTGCTGTCAATACTGGAGCCTGGTGTTGCCTTTGTATTTCAGCCAAAGTCCAGATCTTATGACTCTGTAATTTGTTGCCGTCATAAGTAAAAGTTTCCTAAGAAACGTTTCACACTCTCTCAACAGTCGTACTGAGGCTCTTCATCATGTCTTGCGTTGAGCGAAGATGGTTCAGGATCTGAAATCGATATCAACACCCAACCCAGATTTATTCACCCCTAAGCGCTGCGAACTACTGGTAATGTTTCATCCCCCGTCTATGCCCTACGGTAGTCGTTGTATTCTATTCCATCAGGTATACGTGAGAGCTGTCTCGGGAAGAATCGTATCGTATTAGCGACTAGTGTTCGGATCTAGAACTCAAGTAGCCTGGCCGCCACATCGGTTTTTCAAGAGAATTCTGGCAGCGCTGAAGAGTCCAATCACACTTGTAGATTTGGTAGAAGCGCGTATCTTCATGCTAGGTGCTCTCATTAGTAAATTCCATAAGTTTGGGACCCAAGATAAGTCGATACCTGTTCTAGTATCATGTGCTTTCTCATTGCATTTGTTAAAAGAGACGGTCTGCCTATCCCCACGTCGACCCAAACCAGACCGGCCGTGACGAGTTCCGAAGAATTCTTCGGCGCCGAATCTTACGTTTCCGTCGCCAAAGGTATCTTCGTAGTCTAAATTCGACGATGAGAGTTGCTAGACATGATCTAAGCATGGTTGATCTCGTCCGCGACAACGGATTTCGTTATTCTGTTACGAGGGAGGTCTCTGACTATTTGTGAGGCTTAGCTACCTTAAGCAAGTAGGTATGAAGTACCTCAAGCAGGATTTACCATATACAGTATGCTTTCACCGGTTACTTTGTGGGAGAGTGTGGTGCTGAAGATCATTGTGAGCCTAAGTTGGGCAAGTGTGCCGCGGGTTTTCAGTAAGAGTATCCTTTTTGTAGCTCAACTTCCAAATTCTATCTCCGTTCTTTTAGTACATAATAAAACCTCCAAAAGTCTGGGAGAGTTCATTCTCGTTAACTCGGTCCAGCTTTCGGAGTTACCTAGAGTATCTAAGACAACAACATCAAAGACACCTTGACAGTCATACGTTGTCGCGTTCAGGTTTACAAAGGCATTGTTGTAACAGGGGAACAGAACAGGTAGGAGAAGCAACAGTCCAGACCAGGCACCGAGATCACCTTCGCCACCTTGACTCGGCATGCCGATGCCGCGGACCTTGTTCTTTGTGATTCGATGACAAGCTGCGATACAAGGGCGGCCGTCTGGGACCCCTTTGTCCACGTTGTCTCGTCGTATTGTGACCTCGATAAGCGCCTTTGTTTTGGACGAACCAATTCTCAAGGTTAGAGGCCCTTGTCTGAGCAAGTCACAATTCGAGGTTCTGTGGTGTTCTTTCCTCAAAGCAGGGGGTCTGCGTCAGAATTCGTTGGCATATATCGAGAGAAAACTGCTGCCTCCTTCCGATCTGGAGACAGTTGGCTGTAAATCACTCACATCACATTACGAGAAAGCCACACATTCACTGCAAGGAACCCAAATCCACGATCAACAACCAACCCAAGAGATACTCGTCCAAGGTACCCAACCCCATCTTCCACCAAAGAATTTACAGAAACCACAGAAAAGCCCAGCCATGTGCATGAAAGTCTTCGCCCTCCAACGCTGCCTCAGCCCCGAAAACGGCGGCTGCGGCAGCTACTTTGCAGACTACCTCGAGCAGCGCGAATGCAACCACATGGCCTTCCCCGGCCTCCCGCAACACAACTGCCGCGCCGTCTGGGCCGGCTTCGAAGACGAGCGCAGCTCCAAAGCCATCCACCGCGACGAGTACGCCAAGCGCGCCCACAAGCTCTGCGCGGACTGCCGCGTCCGGCACCGGCTCACCTACCTCGACAGCGAGGCGCAGGCGGAACGTCGGGGCGAGTACTCGGATCGTATGAAGACGATCATCGAGGATCTGACGCGGCGCGCGGATCTGGGACAGATGGAGTTTATGAACCGGGTGTACCGCGATATGTGGGATGCTGCGCTGGGGTATGTTCAGGGGATGGCGAAGACGACGGATGGGGTGTGGGATGGGATTGAGGCAGCGCTACGACGGCACTTTGGGGATAACGGGATGGAGATGATCGTGGTCGGACACCTGGTCCAGGACTTGAAGAGTGCGAAGAAGGAGCTGCTTGAGCAAGTGATGACTTCGACAAGGGAGATGGCCACGGCGCTGGTTGGACCGAATATGGATTTCCAGCAGGATCTGGAAGCTGGTGGGTTTAGGAACGAAGGGTACATCAATGAGGAGTGGAAGTTGCAGAGGAAAACGGCTGTTGATGCTTCGAGGGCGAAAGCCGAAGCTGGGGACCTCGAAAGTGACGACGAGATGGGGCGAGACTATGGTTTGTCTGGACCGGTTGGACAGGTATATAAGCAGGCCTAAGTCCCCAAGGTGAGTGTAAATAGAATCCTCAGTGACGGGCTTACCTCTATAGCTCGACAAAACTTTGCCTTCAAGAGAGAACTGTGATGCTCAGAGCTGTTGCTTTCAGTTGATGATATCCTGATCACCACATTTCAAGATGTGATCTGACAATGTACCAAGCCATTTTGATCATGTGCTTTTGAGTAGGCCCAAGTCTATCGGCTAGGTTTTCGTTGAACAGGACCATTCAACGCTCCGGATCTGGACCGGAGCGCCCCGCCTGGAGCATGCCCGCTCGGTGGGGCCAGCGGATCTCGACTCAGGGCCACCCAATCGCTGCTGGTACATGAGCCCTCAGTTCGTGCCGGCTAGCATGGATCCTGGACTCTCTTCAGGTTCATCCACTGGCGTTGTGGCAGAGTGGTCTAATGCGCAAGACTAGAAATCTTGTTCCTTCGGGAGCGTCTGTTCGAATCAGGCCAACGTCGACGTTTTGCTTTTGCCGCGATGGCGTTCGTCTGTTATGGCTGTTTGCTATCTTTTTGCATGCCAACGGTCAGTCAGAATGTCAGTATCCGTAACTGCAGACACGAATAGGGTCTGTGGACATAACGTGACAAGCAAGCATGTGCCAGAGATCAACATCCCGCAATCGCACGGCGTTGAGCCGCCCGCCTCGTGTTCTAAGGGAGCTAGCTCAATGCGTTGACCTGGCACATTCCACATCGCCCCAGGTTCCAAAGCTCCAACGCCAGATGCGGGCCGCCGCGTGCGTGCCGTTTATGGCATGTATCGCATGTCGTTGTCGTTGCCGTTGTCGTCGCGTCGAGTCCGCTGTGTAACGAGTCGGAGCAATTGTTGTCTCGTCTCATCAGGGACCAGGTGAGGGTGAGGGGCCAACGGCGATCATAGGGATGTGGGCAGCCATCTGCCTGGCTGATTTCGTCTTCCGTTCATCCTTCCATTTGTCCCGTTGGGACGAGACGATTCAGTCGCGAAGGATGGGATGATGGGATGATCTGCGCTAGGCACTGCGGCGTTGGATAAGTGGCGATTAGTACTGGATACTCAGGTTCCCAAAGCTAGAGAATGAGAATGACATTTGCTTCACGGCGAGGTTTGCATTAGTTGTGCAGAATTCAATGGCATGTGCTTGTGCTATGCAAGTGTTCGTACTTACATAAGCCCAACCTTGTACTCATTGTTAGGTAAGCCACGTGCCTCGGCCAGCAGCCATGTGGGATGACATAATCACATAATCTATGTACACTGGTGTCTCTCGCTCCGCGTCAGAAGGATGGTGGGGGTCGGAGAAAACGGGGCCATTAGCACAGGCGGATGGATCTCTGGATTCTGGAATGGGTGTGCTTCATTTCGCCTTGCGTCTGCCATGATCCAATCAGACGCACTCGGAGGGTTTCTGATGTGCTGTGGATGTCGTGTGGATGTCGATACCTATGTGGGATGGTTGCCCAGAGTCCAGACGAGACGAGACAAGACAGAGAAAGGGAGGAATGGAGAGAGGACACAAGTAGAGACGAAGACGAAGACGAGGCAGGGAGTCGAAGATGAGCCGTCACTTCCGAGGCTGATGCAGTCGGAAGCTCTTTCTGGTACGGATACCTTGGCTCAATATTGATTTCCGGGCAGGCATCCGTATTGATGGAGGGGAGGACTGGACCCTTTCTTGCCCTTACCCGATGGCCTGCAGCAACCCTGGTGCGCTTTTCCAAGATCCATCGAGGATGACATGATGCCGATGAATGACATTGACACGGCTAGCCTGCAGCAGTGGGTGCGCCAGGCCGAGCGGTGACTCTATTCTTTCTGTCTGTCCTCTCGCCCTGCTGGAAATCCTTGGAATTGGGGTCCCGAGTCCTTGATCCTGGATGTTGGGTAACAATGATTATTAGTGTTTGCAAAAAGCCGCACGGCCCAGGAGACGAGGCCGAGTCCTGGAGTCCTGGTGGCAGCAGCCAAGGCCTTGGACTGTGAGTGTCTGAGCATTCGCCTTGTCTGCCACTGCGTTTTCAGCTGTTCCTTGGTATGATGTTCTGTGACTTGAGAAGCTCGGCACGACGATAATCACTTGAACCAGAGTAGTGATCAGAAGGGGATATGCAACGTCCAAACGAATCAGGCCGTAGACGGACGGAAAGAGACAGAGATAGAGGCCTGACTGGCATGGCATGGACAAGGTTCTCCCACGCATCCGCCAAAAGCAGCTGGGAGTAATACCACCTCACATACTAAGAACCGGGCAAGGTATGCGACAAGAGCAGAAAAGAAGTGGTGACAGCTAACGGCATCCAGCACTTCTTCGTGCCTGTCCGACCTGCTTACAGATGCTCTACAATTACCTCTATTCGTTATCTGCTGCCTTTTTCCCTTCCACCTCTTTTTTTCTTTCTCACCCCGTCATCCTGAACCCGATCCTGCCATTCTCACCACTGCTTTCCTCCCACATCTCTCCCCCGCTATACCTTGCTATCTTTACAAGGTATTCGTCCATTCATTACTCCTTCCAGGCAGGCGTATGACTCGAGTTTTTCTTCTTCCAATATCCTCCGTCTAATGCCCAGCAAGCACCGTTACCAATAGCTTGCATCGAATCTCCAAGACATCCCTCCACCACCACCACCGCCAACCAACACTCACAACGCTCGCGCCTGCACACACGCACCCGACGCCGACGCAAACTGACGCTGATACACCATCGCATCCGAGCCAGGACAGACGAACTATGACTGCGCCTCTGTCTGCAAGGAGGTGAATGCGTCTCACTCAAGAGGCTGAAGACTGACACCGTCAACGTCGTCTAGTCACCTGTGCCAACACTACTCGTACCGAGTTTTGGGGACTATATTGGACTTGGAGGACTGGAGTCGCGAGCTCGATCCAGCTTCCCTTCGCTCGTTATCCGCCGACCTGTTTCCGTAATTGCTTCCTCCTCTGCGACCCCCCGCCACCCCTGCGCCGGTGGTTCGGATCACCACTCGCGCCTGAATCACCCATCCATCCAGTAGCTCGTCCGTCCCGAAACCACGACGATGTTTTCCCATTTACGAATCCACCGGAGGGGACAGTCAAATCCCACTTCGCCAAACCCCGAACAGCCCTCGGCCACGGCTCCCTGGGATCCCTCGCTTCCCCAGCAGCATTCTCCCTTCATTCAAGATGCCGCCTTAAGCCCAGACAATCGACCCCAGGCTTCGACAACGAATTCCTCACTGCCTCCCACCCTGCCGCCCATTCCCCGCGTCACCTCTTCCAGCTCCGAATCACCATCCCCGCTCGAGCGACCGACTGTCGATACCAAGATCAGGGTGACGCCAGAGCCCAACACGCAGAAACCCCAGCCGCCCGTACCTCCACCGGTGCGCTCACCGTACAACGCAGACTCTGGCTTCCTCGGTGGCGTTGCCTTGCGCAAATACCAACGCGAACAGCAAGAGCAACAACAACAGCTCAAGAAGCAACAAATGGCGGCGAAATCACCGGATCTGGTCGCGTCTCCGGTTCTTCAAGGCAGCCACGAAAGTCAATTCACAAGGTCGAAGCCCGCACCCCCGCCGATAAACACCGCCCCTCCGACGAGACCCCCACCGCAACCCACGAGTGCCTCAAAACATGCCGGCTCCTTTGCGACCCCGACCGAGTTGCATCACCAGGGCAATACCCAGAGCTCGCCCCAAGCTCAGTCCTACGCTACCACCGGACGACGCCCTGCAGGAACGAGACTGTCGAGCGAGCCCATCCGCATGGCAAACCATGCCTCCGACGCCCCCAAGGGCAGGAAAGGCCTGCCTTTTCTGAAAAATCCAATGTCAACACTCCTTGCACGGAGAAAGACAAGCCAAAACGCTCCAGACTTGACGCCTCTCCCGCTGGGAGGAAACCCGTCATACGATCCTCGCATCCGGGGAACAAGAGTTCACGACTTTAGCGCTCCACGTGCTCGACGTAGCCTCCCCAATAATGAGGGCCCCAGCCTTGCCGCAGCGCCAACCCCCGGGACGAAAGCACAACCGCCGATACCTGAAGAGATGTCAGATTTGGGTCAGACGTCGTCTAGGGAGAGCGCAGCACCAACACAAGCGTTTCAACATGGAAGGAATACAAGCAGTGCTTCTGAATCTGGCCGGTCGGGCTCCGTCAGCGTCATATCACAGCCGGCTGTTGAATCCGGAAGCGGGTCGGTCAAGACAAGAAGCAGCTTGAACTTGGAGTCAAAACCTCTTCCCGACGTGCCGCCCAAAGACAATACGGCACCATCGTCAAGTTCGGCCTCAATAGTCTCCAAGAAACCCTCAATCAGTGCATCCTCGATCTTATCCAAGAAAACACCGTCCACAAGAGCAAATCCTTCAAGACATGCCTCCGTGTCTGGGCAGGATGTTCTTTCCTCTGTGCCCCGCCGGTTGAAGAGTACGTCCTCAAGATTCAGCTTCGACATGGTTGGCGCGGCAAAGCAGGAGAAGCTGCTGGAAGAACGACATCGTCAACGCGAACTCGAGAGGAAGACTTCCGACCCTGAGCCTAGCGGGCCTCGTGATTCTAGGTTCGATGACTTTGACGAAGACTTTGACTACGATGCGATGATGGAGGACGACGGGCTCGAAGAGCCGATTCCGATGAGCAACGATTTTGGAGACGACTATGGATACGAGGAGGATTTTGACGCTGGCGGCACAGATCCTCTGGGTCTTGACGACGGTGAAGACTTTGATGCGGCTGGAACCGACCCCTTTGCACTTGATCCGGTACCAGAAGTTGAGATCGAATTCGATGAGGATGCTGCAAACGACCCCGACAACGATCAAGAGAACTTTGCTGGTTTTGTCTTTCAAAGATCAGGCCCTCCCTCGGCCTTGACCAGTCCACACAGCGCCGGTCTGTTAGCGACACCGAGGGATGCAGACGGCAAGGTGATTGGATTCGCAATCTCGAGAGACACGCCAGATCTGAACCAGCTTTTGAGTCCGGGCTTTGCTCTCGACCAGAATTTGTCACCCAGCACGACTGATCCAGCTGCCGGACTTCCGATCGAGGGCTTGAATATTCACGACACGGCACAGCAAAATGAGGACGAAACATTGCGCGAGCCAACCCAGTCTTTATCGCCCGCTCCACTATCAGTCCCTAAGAAGGACGATCTCTATTTTGACAATGGTCTTCTCGATGAGTTGGAATTTGCCGGAGAAGGGGACGGTTCTTACTTTGACGAGTCCATCTTTGATCTGGACGATACAGACAAGTATGGCCGTCCTATCCCGGGCGCCTTTGCCAGGGCTCAAGCTGCCAGGGCTGCAATGACCGGTG